TTCCCCACTTATTGCCCCACATCGCCGGTAATCGGATATATGCCGCTGCTGCCTGAATTTCATTAGCTAATAGCCACCTATTCCCGCCACGCCCACTTTGCCAACTACAGAACGCAGCTGAACGCGAAATAATGTCTAATTATAAAGCGAAATGGGGGAAGGGGGAGGGGTACGAGGGGTAGGGGAAAAGTGTTGTGCGCAGCGGCGGCGGAGGAGGAAAACGGCGGAGAAAAGCCGGGGAAAGCACCTGCCCCACTCAAGTGTCGGCCGTATAAATAAATTAAAAGCGGGAGAATGCAAAGCGAGACGGCAGAAGAAGCGTTTTCAAGGGGCTGCCAAAGGAAAGGAAAATCGCACTAACTACCCAATTATTTCATTCAAGCTCCACTGCTCCGCTGCCGAATGGATGGAAAACCAGAAACGGAAAGCTTTCGAGCACACAAACAAAGCAGTAGGAGAAAAACGAAAAGCGAGGAAAAACACGGCTAAACAACAAGGGAAAAAAGGCAGAAAATCAGCTTGAAAATCGAAATACAATACACAACAACAATGCGTCAAGTGGTTGGGTTGCTTCGGGTGGGGGAAACGGGTGGGGCAACGGGCGGGAAATGGGCGGGAAATTCGGGTGCGGGTGCGGGTGCGGGGCTTTCAAGGCGAGTAAGCAAATTTAAGCACAGCTCGGATAATCAATGGCTGCAAATCTGCGAATAAAAAAACGCCAGCGAAATTGGAAAATAAGCGTAACACAAAACCAAAACCGGGAGAAGCCCGGGGCCCCACAACACCCCATTTTCCGCACTTTTCCTTCTTCAGTTGTCATTGTCTGATTGTTGCTTTTCTTCTGTTCTGTTCTGCTCAGAGTTTTACATTTAAGTACTGCGAAAATAAACACTAAAAGAGGAGATTCCAACTTTGGTATTGACTTACACATAATTTATTACGACGATCTACATGGGAAAAGGGTGATCTGTTTTCAATATTTCGTAATGCCTTCGATTCCCTTTATTTTATATTTCTTTTATATATTTTTTTATATTTTTAATGCCACTTAACTGTGTACTGTTCATGATTATTTTTTAAATTCCCCTTATTAAGTAAAGTAACATAAAAATTGCCTTTTTTTCACTTTGCATAAGTAAACTGTTTGCATTCTTTAATTAATACTTAAAGCGAAAACTATCTTTCCAAAGGCCTGTGTGTCAGTCAGTCCGTCCCTCTCGCACACACGCAAACGCACAGCAGCGGCGAACGCACGCACACACACAAAGGTCCGCCATCTTGGAAAAACAACGCCTTTTCGTATTTATTACAACAGCCAGGGCAATAGCAGTGGCAACAAAGCGAATTGCAAGCGCAAATCGAGTTAACGAGCTAACTGCGGGACGTCCGGCCACCCACACTCTGAACTCCTGGGCAAATCCTCTGTAACACACCCACACCCCCCTCCCCCCACCCACTGAACGCCTGCGAAAACCCCCGGAAAAGCCCCGAAAATTGTGTTTCCCCCGCGGCGACAAACAACCACCCAGAGAACTGGGAGACAAGCCGAAAAAGCAACCCCAAAACAAAAAGCAAGTCTCTCGTTGTGTAACAACTGACAAGTTGGCTGAAAGGCAGTCGACCATCCACCCCACCGCCCCACCACCCCACCAAAACAGCACCACAGCACCCCACCACCACAGCACCCACTTGCCTTGCCATTTTTCTTTTGCCACTTTGCTTCTTCAACTTATTTACGTCTCCATTACAAATAATTGCGCGTCATATTGGCTCAGCTATACTTAGCCCTCGTCTTTTCCGTCCAGACGGGGAAAGCCACCCCCCAGAAGCACCACCCCCTCGAAAAGCGCCCAATGGGGCAATGTTGCCTCGGCGCAAATAAATACATTTCGCTTTTTGGGAGCAGCGAAGAAAAAGAAACGACAAACGAAAAGGAAAAGGAAAAGGAAACCTTCCCGCTTTTCGCCTAGACAACCTCCTCCTTGTAAATGTGTAGGTAGTAAATACGCTCGAGTATTATTAACGTAAATGCAAAATTGCCAATTTCGAGTGTATTTCCTGTCAACAGAAATTTTCCTCTTTTTTCTCTCCGCAGCGAAAATAAAATTAAAAGCGAGAAAAAGCGAGAGAGGAGGGAAAATATAAATCGCTTGCAAGGGGCGTCGGTTTGCCTCGGCTTCATCTGGTTCTTACATCGCCTAGTGGCACCCGTGTGGCCTATCCACTAAATCGCACAGCTACTACGCAACGGTGCACTGAGAGAAAAGGTTGTTAAATGAAAAGGAGAAGAAGATCCAAGAGTTGTGTAACATTCCCAAAAAATAGTAAACTCTGCGAAAGCAAACAACTGTCTGGTACTATTTCACATCCTTAACTCAAACAAAGCCGAGAAGGCATCCCCGATTTCTCGCCGTGTAATCGCGTTAGGAGAGGCCCAAGACAGGCGTAGATCTACTCCACTCTACTCCACTCCACTCCACTCCACTCCATTTGCGATGCCAATGCCAAACGGTGGTAGGTGGGCTTTTATTAATATGTCTGGCAATTTCAATTTGACTTTATTGGTAATTTTACATTTCGTCTATGGACGATGGCGGGGGGTCCTTGGGAGGATCTGCTACTTGGACGGCTGCCATTTATCAGGAAGAGTGCCCAGGGAGTCCATAAATCGCACTCGCTCGATGGGATAGCTACGACCCACTGGAAAATGGCAGAGCGAGCTCGTATTTTCCAGTTGAAACTGAGGGCATTGAAAGCTCTAACTACTGCATTGGAAACTAAAGGAAAATGCCTTTGAATGGCTATTTGCAGGTGCAGTGGCTACCCAATCAGAAACGCCTGATTAAGCCTCGCACTCAAATAATACCCCAATAAATTGGCATATTATCGTGAACGCTTCGCTGGGCAGTTAATGAAATTCACGGAATGCCGCACAAAACAAAAGCCATTCGATCAAAATATTGCTTAATTGAACAATTAATCGAGGCACAAAGGACCTGCGAAGGAGCCACGTCCAAGGGGCCGGACACAAAGGACTCGGACTCGGACTCGGACTCGGCCGACTCGGTATACATTTCACATTTCCCACTCCGCATTTCCCACTCCTCACAGAGTCCTGCAGCCACAAAACCAGGGAAAAACACAAGTACATATCAAATTAATTTAGGCGGAAAACGAGCCGGCAAAACCCGGCAAATGGGAATGAAAATGGATAAGGAAAATGGCAAGCGGAAAACTGGCAGTGGAAAAGTGGAAAAGTGGAAGGGACGGCGCAAAATATCGCATGACAGAAAACAGAAAATCAAGCAACTCATGCCCCGATTGACTTACCCGAGCAGCAAATTAAATTAGTTGGCGAACCGAACAGAACTGAACTCAACGGAAAGCAAGAGAGCTGGACCAGACCCAGCCTTACACTGAGCGAAAAGCACAGAGCCACACAACAAAACACGTTCGATTGCGGAACATGAGGATGATGACTTGAACTTGGCTTTCACAAATCACACAAATCACTCGAAATAAACCAGCCTTTAATAACACTTTTGCCACTTCTCGTTTCTCGCAGTGCAGTCGACATCGATAGCAGGCCAAAGTGGCTGACCACTCATCGCCCCCTCCGCTATACTATATATATCTATATATGTACAATTATTAAGGCTATTTATAAGCGAGCGGGTGCTTTTAGAGCGTTTTACGTTGGCTTCGATCTGTTGGGTTTTATATATATATATTATATATATATATATATGGGAGGGTTGGTCAGCAGCCGCCGTTCGCTGACCAGCTAATTGTTAATTGATGTGTGTCTAATTGTGCCGCCAAAGTAGCCAGGCAATAAGAGCGCCGCCCAGAGACCCGTGCATATACTTATAGCTATCTGAATAGGATCCGTTGGGTGGGGCAGAGTCAGGTCCAAATTAGTTCGCTACCCTGTGCCTAATTCGTTGGAAAGTTGAGCAGTTTTGGCCTAATGAGTTCAGCTCTCCAGCAACTGTTAGTCAATTACCGGCCCTCAATAAGTTGGCAAACTAATAACTTCTCCTAACGGAGAGAGACTCCCGGGAAATCTTTATTAGTCTATCGATCCCGACACAATGAACCACAAACCATATGGATTGGTCAAATTAAGTGGCCGGAAGAGGGAGGCCTTTCGTGCTCGGCAACCTCATCATTGTCGTCATTGTCATTGTTATCATTATCATTATTATTATCCTGTGCATTGGCTCTTCCTGGCAATCGCAGTCCCAATCACAATAGAACGCCCTGTGCAACACGCCTAAGCCGATTCCCGTTTAATTTGAGACCGAAAAAAGGGCTAAACCACTTAACACCCTAACACCCTAATTGTCAAAACAAAGCCAGCACACGAAACCGCCGAGCTCGTCCATTCGTCCTTTCGTTCCTTCGTTTCTTCGTCCTTTCGCCCTTTTCATCTTCCTGGGCCTTCCTCTACAAGGAGCCAAGGAGCACGCAAAGAAAACATTTGCCATCCGAGGGTGTGTGCTGCTATTTTCTCGATTTTCTGGGAAGGTGCAGGCACAAACACTTTAACCCTTCGCTGACATTTGAATAAAATCCAGGCAACTTGTCAAAATCTGCGCGACACGTCGCCGGGTTGAATGGAGCGGAGCGATTTTCCAGCTGCCGCTTTATCGTGTGCGAAAAATCAACTTCTCGGATGTCTGCTCGCCATTGTCTGCCGTTTAGAGGAAATGCCATTTGCCACAGGGACTGGGCTTCGGATTGGGATTGGGATTGGGATTGGGTTTTCTCTTGCTATCGGGGGCCACATCCTACGACATGTGTTCAGCAAGCGCCAGGAATCCAGTCGGAAGGGTAGGAGGTTGTGATTACAATGGGTTCGCTTTGATGAGCTCTGAATGCAATCATAATCAGTCATAATCTTAGTTACTTATCTCGCCAACACCTACATACTTATATTCCCAATTCCCGAAGCGAACTTATCTAATCCCGATCTGCACTTTCTCCTTTCTCCGCAGAACAAGCCGCCGCTCGTGGCCAGGAGTACGCCAGCAGTTTGGCCAACGCCAGTGGCGACGAGCAGTCGCCCAGCAAGAACAGCAGTTCGTCGGGCAACGGCTCCGGCGGATCGGGATCCGGGTCGGGATCTGGATCTGGATCGGGATCAGGATCTGGATCGGGGGGCGCCAACCAGGTCTCCAATGGAATCGGACACTTGGGCTCGCCGACGGCCAGCAACGGGGGCTCCGCCGGGGAGGATCCATGGGAACCGCCGCCACTTCCGGGAGCAGCTCCTCCACGTCCGTAGGAAACTCCGCCGGGAACGGCGGCAACCCTGGCAGCCGCTCCTCGCCCGCTGGACCGCATCACTCGGCCGCCCTGGCCGCCCACCAACATGCAGCGGCTGCTGCGGCCGCCGCCCACCATCACGCAGCGGCGGCCGCCGCCGCCCATCACGCCCACCACGCCCACGTTCAGGCGCACGCCCATGCCCACGCCCACGTCCACGCCCACGCCGCCCACGCGCACCACGCCGAGGCGTTCCTGGGCGCCGCTGGCGGGGCGGGCGGCAACCCCAACAGCCTGCTGGCCGCCCACGGGGCGGATGTCCTGGTGGGTCCTGGCGGCACGGGTCCCGGCGGCAAGAAGAAGAACAAGAGGCGGCACGGCAGGACGATCTTCACCAGCAGCCAGCTGGAGGAGCTGGAGAAGGCCTTCAAGGAGGCCCACTACCCCGACGTGAGTGCGCGGGAGCTGCTGTCCATGAAAACCGGATTAGCCGAGGATCGCATTCAGGTGAGCAAGAGGAAGATCTCCTCAAGTGGAGGATTCAGACAACTAGTGTGCGATTACAAACATTTGGATGCAGGCTACCTTCAGACCGGATTAAAGTTATAGGTTAAGCAATGGGGTTCCTATCAGCAGTGTTTATTTGAGGTTTTTGCAATCTAAGCAAGGCATTGATTTCCAAGACTTCAACCCAGAGTTAATCAAGAATTCCCTATTTGGGATTATCTTGAGTGGGGGAATGGAGCCATCAGGACATCACGTTGCACTGCAGATTCGGAACAAGGATGCGCTGGCTTTCTTCTGTCGTTTTATGGCCATTTTTATGGCTCTTTTTTATGAGGGTCGCAGGGATTGCAATCAAAGGCGTCTTCGATTCGAAAGGGGAGGTTCGCAGCCCCCCGAAAAGGACTTTCGAATGGGGGGAGTGCGAATGGCACTTGGCAAGTGTTGCCACACGTAATGAGGCCTCGCTGATTACGTAATTACGAGTGCACAGAATTGCAATTGCAACGTCCAAGTAGCGAAACAAAAACGGAAACGGAATGAAGTAAGAAAACGTGGCGGGCGGCACTCGCCGACACTCCAAAGTTCCACAAAAATTCGATACAAGAGCTCGCGAGGTGCGAGCTTCGAAATTGCAAATTACTTTTTCCAAACCGCCCGTTTCGACAATAGAAACTGAAGCCATTGCAATTGAAAGCCAAACATAAGGGGTAAATAAGGCCAAATTCAATGTCATTTAATTAAAAGGGCTTGGGAATTAAAATCTGGTAGTGGGAAAAGAGAAGCCAAGCCTTGGATTATGTAATGAAGTTATGCAAGGCCCCAAAAGTTGATTAAAAAACCTGACGGGAATTTGTTCTCTTCTTGTTTATCCTTCTCAATTGAATAGAGTGCGTATTTAATACTACTTGAATATCCTTTTGTAATTTCAAACCTTTCTTATTTTGGACTTTCCCTCAAAAATCGACCATTTTGTGGGTCTCCCCACTTTCCGTAATTCCCGTGACTTCATTAACCACTTGAAAAGCCGCAAGATGGCGCCAATGTGTGTGTGTGTGAAAGTGTAAGTGCATCCTGCTTTTTGCGTTTGTGTGCGAAAATCAAATTAACAAGCACAATTGGCTGAAGGCAACAACAACAAAAAGAAGAAGGCGACTGCAGTAAATATAAAGCAAAAACACTCACACACACACGCAAATACACTTCAATTAAGTGCAAATATGGCGCACAGCTGGAAAAAATGGGAAAAGGGTAAGGAGAAAGGGAGGCGAGGAGGAGAGGCAATCATTAGCAGCACTATAAGAATGGGAGTATGATGAGAAGGGCGAAAGAGGAGGTAAAAAGGCGACGGCCATGCAAATTCGTAAAAAACTACGGCAAATATCGAAGCCACCATTAAAAGTCCGCTCTTTCCCCCTTTTTCTTGTGTGTTTTTTGCCTGCCGCTTTTAATTGCATTCCATTTTGCGTGCATTTCGCATTTCATGTTGTATGTGTGCTTTTTTCTGCACTTCTCCCCCTTTTTCAATATTTAAACCCCTTTGGAGCGAAGAAAAAGAAACATGGCCAAACGTGATTTTCAGCGCCTCTCTCTTTCTCTCTCTCTGGAAGTGCTCACTTTCCCACTCACTCTTATTGGCTTTTTTTGGAAGCGCTTCTCGGCTTTTGGAAGTTGCCAAAAATGTTGCTACAGCCAAAAGTCAAGAACCAGGCGACAAAGGCATCACGATTACTTTTGGTATAGACATGCTTTCGAAAAAGTTGGGTTCTTGATTTACAAAACCTTCTTAATGCGAAACAATCTCAACTATCTTTTCGAGAACTTTAAGAGCTAAGTAAACAACTCACCGTTGACCTATAATTTTAAATAATCCAATACGAAATTTTCGTCGCCTGTTAAAGGTGCGACAAGGACGAAACTAGGAGCTGCATTGTCTGCCAATTTTACAGTTTCTTCTGCTTTTAGCCTTTGATGTTTACTCCACTTTCTTTGGGTTTTTGCTAATTTACACACTCACACACACGCGAAAAGGTAAAAGAAAAGGCTAAAACAAAGACCAGCCCATTGGAAGGAACACAAAATTCAACAATCGCGACTTGAAACAATGCAAAGTCCATTAAATGCAAAAAAGAAAATAAATTGCACTCCACCGCATGTTCAAATTGTTCCAACTTGCCAGAAAATATTGCAACGAAATTGCCACTTTGTGTTCTCAATTTTTGAAAGACAAAAGAAACTGCACTTGCACTTCAAGGGAAAAATTGGGAGCAAGAGTTTCATATTTTACAAAATCTCAAGCGTTCTTCAGCTGAAGTTTTAAGATTGTCAAGCTTATCCGGTTTACGAGGAGTATTTTAAAGGGATTTTTACAGGATATTTCGTATATTTAATTTGAAAGCCTTCGAACGTATGTGACAAATATCCTTCGGGCAAACTTAAATTCTTGCAGCTATGCAAATGAATTGCTCACATAAAACCGAAGTTGTTTATATTACGTGTTTGAATGCATATTTGATACTGGAATTAAACGTTACGGCGAGCAGCTGCAAATTGCGAGTTGCGAATTACAAACTGCACTTGCATGAATGCTCCATCTACCATCTACCATCGGCCATCTACCGTTAATTTTGCATAATTTTGTTGCTCCTTGCATAAATTACACACTTCTGCGCTTCTCTTCTCCCCCTCTCCCTCTCTCGCTCTTAATGAGCTGTTAATATCAGCGCACACACACACACACAACACAACGCAGAAAAGGGAAAAAATGGAATTAAAAATGATTATGCATAATTATGTAATTAACATTTAAACAAAAGAGGTTATGGCTGTGCAACAAAGGCATTTAGCGAATTATTCTCTCACTTCTCCCTCGCTAACCACTCGCAACAGTCTCCCGCGAAAGGGGACAAAGGCATGTTTCAAAATAGAACTATGTGCACATGTACTACATTTTAAGCCATTTGCCAACAATCGGTTGCAACCAACTTGCGAGCAGATCAAGTGTTTTTTGGGCGCACCTCGAGAAGTCATTTATCACGGCATTAGCAACGCCGATTGAGCTCGTCCGCCCAGGAGAGTCGCACCCCGACCACTGGCCATTATCTGCATGTACACAAATACATACATATAAACATACATATACAGATAGAGCGAGGGATTCGGGGGTGTTAAGTGTTGTCAACTCAAGCAGATTTAATTTGCCATGTTTTCGCTTTGCTTTTTTCGTGCTGCCGCTCAAGTGCAACAATAAGCGAGGCAAACAACTGTAAATGCAAATGTTGACATCACACCGACTCAAATGAAATAAAAAATGAAAATGGTAATAGCAATAGCAATAGGAATAGGAATAGCAGTACAAATCCGAATACGAGCGCGAATAAAATGTGAAAACAAGCGGGGAACGCAACGAAAACAGGACGAGGCCGCGTGGCGGGGAATTTAAAGCGATTCGGTCCTTGGAGAATTGCGGCACATGTAGCTGCTGCGCCAGCAACCCTGGGAAAACTTGAACTTTTCACAACAGAAGATTAAGTTGTCCCCGGGGAAAAGTCGAGAACGGCCGCAACTTGTCTGCTTGTCTGCTTTTCTGCTCTTCTGCGAATTGTTAAATTGAAAATTGACCGTTTAATGTTGTCGGCTGGCAGGATTCACCAGGCAGTGCTTAACGGTAATGTTAATGCCATCATCGTGTTCGCTAATAGGGGATGCGTGACAAGTGCCCCGCCCCCCGATAAATTAATTAGTTTTTCGCCCGCTATTGTCCCTGATTTCGGGGGCACTTTCTGATTCGGATTTCCCGCTGCCTCTGCAAACATTTTCCGCACTCGAAGTCACTTTCCCAACTTTCGAGATTAATTTTCGGTCGAACCCTTTAGTTACCAATTCCCAACTGGTTCACACACCTTGTAATCCGCACTGTAGTGGCACACTGGGTAGCAGTAGCAGTGGTGATATCGCAACACACGAGTGGGCAGCCAAGTAACCAGCTCCCTTCCCTTTCCGATCCGCAGGTCTGGTACCAGAACCGCCGGGCCAAGTGGCGCAAGACGGAGAAGTGCTGGGGCCACAGCACCAAGATGGCCGAGTACGGGCTCTACGGGGCGATGGTGCGCCACTCGCTGCCGCTGCCGGAGACCATCATCAAGTCGGCCAAGGAGGACGAGTCGGTGGCCCCCTGGCTGCTGGGCATGCACAAGAAGTCCCTCGAGGCCGCCGAGCTGCTCAAGAGCGACGAGAGCGACCGCGAGACGCCTACCTCGGACGACACCAACACCAGCTACTCCGCCGGCAGCACCCACAACTCGCCGATCTCCAGCTTCTCGATCTCGCGGCTCCTCTTCGACGCCCCGCCGCCGGCGGCAGGTTCCGCGGGCGGGAAGGGCCACCACCACCACCACCACCACCACCACGGCCACCAGAAGGGGGGCCACCACCACGCCCACGCCCACGCCCATGCCCACGCCCACGTGCACGCCCAGGCGCAGGCGCACGCCCACATGCTGCTGCACCACCAGCAGCACCACCTGCACGGCGGCTCCGAGGCAGCCGCCCTGCAGCAGCAGCAGCAGCAGCAGCAGGGAGCAGCAGGAGTGGCCGGAGCGGGATCCGCGGCAGGAGCGGTGGGTGGGCCCCCGCTCACCACCCGTACAACCAGCAGCAGCACCTGCACCACCTGCAGCAGCTGCAGCAGCAGCAGCAGCAGCACCAGCAGCAGCAGCAGCACCACCATCACCACCAGGTGCACCACATGCACCACCACAACGCGGCGGGCTACGCCGAGGCAGCAGTGGCTGCCGCAGCGGCCGCAGCAGCCGTGGCCGCAGCAGCGAACGCGCGGAACGCAGCAGCCGCGGCCGCAGTGGCGGTGGCATCCGCCTCCGCATCCGCATCCGCGTCGGTGTCCGCCTCCTCGGCCGTGACCATCGCCGAGTCCGAGGCGGAGGAGGAGCAGGACGAGGGCGAGGACATGGACATGGAGCTGGACAAGGACTGCGAGGTGGAGGAGGAGGAGGTGGAGGTGGAGCCGCGGGACCACGACGACGACAACGACCAGGAGCAGGAGCGGGAGGGCGAGAGGGAGGAGGAGGGGGAGGGGGATGCCGACGCGGACCCCGAGATCGACATCTGCGACGACCACGACGAGGAGGTGCGTCTGCAGGAGCAGCTGCTGCTGAAAGTCAAGCAGGAGCAGTCGCACCACGGACCCAGATGAAACATGTACATCGACGTGTTGTTCTAAGGACAACGATGAATGGATTTAGATTCCGATTCGGATTCGGATTCGGATTGGGATTGGGATTGGGATTGGGAGCACATCCGGCTAATGCAATGAACATTTTCCAGCAATAAATGAGATAACGCACTGGTCTCCACAGCAACAAATCTCATAAGCTAAAGGCATTACATTTAAAGATTAAACGAAAACAAATCGAAAACAAAACAAAAACAAAAACAAAAGAAACCCTAAACTTAAAGCCAGCAAACATTTTTTTTCATACACCTAAGGAGCACACGTAATTAATCTATGTATAATCGTACATACTAACGAATACTCTCTCATTTTTTAGTGTACATATTAAATTATTGCGAATATAAAGACAAACAAACACAAACGAACACTAGAGCCTAAGGAAAGCTGCAACAACGATTTGCGAAATTTTAAAAATATGCTAAATGTGATTTAATTTAGTTGTCCATTCTGAACAAGGCTTTTTATGGTTTAAGACATTTTTTTTGCCCCTTAAATTTAGTCATTTTTTTTTTCTAACTGTACTGTACTCCCTGTAAAAATGTACATACCAAATTCAATCGATCGAATATACGAGTATTTGCCACGACCTGCGATGCAACCCCTGTCCACTGCCTCTGCCCATCATTTTCTCCACTTTTTGTCTGCGTAATTCGAGTTTTGGAAACGAAACAAAGATACATGAGTAACTGCAATTGTGTAATTGAATTAACAAACAATCCACATACAATACACATACTTATATATGAAAGTTAGATGAAATAAAACGGATGATATACAAATACAGACGGGGTCTTGTGTGTTCTTGGATCTTTTCAATCGGAATCTTAAGCTTCGTTTCGTAAAGTAGAACTATCTACCCTGGATGTAACGAGGCTTGCTCTGTTACTGTGTAAAGTAGAACTATATACACTGGATGTAACGAGGCTTGCTCTGTTACTGTTTACATGTCGCAACGTAATGCGAATGATTCTCCGTTACACGATGTAATGCCACAGACTTCCATGTTAGCTTAACATGAACATGTTTATGTAGCAACCTCATGTAGTTTCGGAAAGCAGGGTAAAATGCTCATGTACATTACTCTCTGTAAAGCAGTTGGTTCGTCCAAAACGTAAAATACATTCTACACTTCCAGTCAACTAAGCAGTGGCTTAGTCTTACAAGGAAATCTGAAACATTGAGGGCGGAACACAAAAGCCAGAGCTGCCAATACTTTTCTTCTTTTTTTTTTAAGGTTAAGCGGTTAATAGATCGAATCGAACAGGAGTCAACGGACGAGGAGCCAAGGCCAAGACCGAGGACCTACTCGTCCATGATGAAGTACAGGAAGCGGCGGTAGTTGACGCCCCGCTCGCAGCTCGTGTCCTCCATGCCCTGGGTGAGCAGCTGCAGCTCCTCGGCGGAGAAGCGCTCCTCGCTGCGGTTCAGCAGCTCCAGCAGGCGGCCGGACTCGATGAAGCCGGTGCCCAGGGGATCTTCCCGCCGCAGCGCCTCGATGAACTCGTCCCGCTTGGCCATGTCCATGTCCACGGCGTGCCGGCCCACCGCCTGCAGGTAGAGCCCCGCCTGCCGCAGCGCCTCCTCCGCCTCCGACTCCGGCTGTCCGTCCGCCCGTGCGTGCCTGGCGAACAGCTGCTGCACCAGCGGCTCGTAGTGCACGTTGCCGGCGACGTCCGCCACCGAGTGCAGCAGCCCGAAGACCTCGGCCTCGTCCAGCCGCTCGCCCGTGGAGGTGAGCATGCGCCGCAGCTGGCTGTAGGGCAGCATCCCGGTGCCCGCGGGGTCGCGGCTGCGCAGCACCTGCAGCACCTCCGCCGCCGTGGGCCCCCGCCCCTCGCTGGTCGGCGCCAGGGCGCAGTAGAGAGTGAGCACCAGCTCGAAGGTGGCCCGCCTGGCGAAGCGCGCCCCCTCCGGACCGAGCGCCTCCCGCCGCCGCAGCTGCTCCGCCAGGCGGTCTCGCATCCAGTCCTCGCCGGGACTCAGGCCCATGGCGCGCAGGCAGTCCGCCACGTCGGAGAGGTCGATGCTGGCGCATCCGTCCACGAAGCGCAGGGCTGACGAGGTGGGTGGGAGAATGGAGGTCTCTCTTGGTCTCGAGGAGGCGGCTCACTCACCCGAGTCTCCGCTGGCCGGCGGCTTGCTGCCGTTCGCCACGAATAGATCGAAGGTGTCCCGCAGCTTGGGCAGCGCGGGCAGCAGGGCCATCAGCTCCGCCTGCGTGTGGAAGAGCCCAATCCTGGATCCCGGATCCTCCGAGCGGCTCCGCGTCGCTGCTCCACTCATCCTGCCAGAAGTCGCAAATCTAAAGGGAATTTCAAGTAAGCTACACACTACAATTTTGCCGAATTTGGTTGCGAGTGCCGAATGGGGAGTTCAGTTCTGATCGGTTGGGTTTGGAATTTTGGATTGACTACTTTTTTTTGAATGACGTTGAAATCAAGGAGTCCCACGATCCACATATATAGGTATGTATAGTAATAACAAGTAATGAAATAGTAATCTTTTAGCTGCCATACTCTCCCAACTTCTGTTGGCACAAACTCCGATCCTCCTTAGATCCCTGGAATCAGATCTGTGAAACGGAAGCGGAACGAAGGAACGGAAAACCCAGGAGTTGGGAACGAATTCCATGCATCACGCACCACATTGTATTACATAAGATCGGAATTACATTTCATTGTTGAACAACATTTGAACGGCAAGTGGGATGCATGAGGAAGCTTGGACGGAGCACAGCATCTCTACAATTGCCGGATGCTCGAGGGACCATCCGCGTTGTCGTCGGGATCCAGGGTCCCCTGGGTCTGGGTCAGGGTCTCCTGTTCTGTGCATTCTGCAAGGGACGGCGCGCCAGTGATCTGCAGCTTCGCATCAACTCCGGGATGGGCCTCATTTGAGTCTGCGGTGTCAATAGACACGGCGTCTTCAAGGCATCCTCCTTCCAGGCGCATCTCCAGCAGGGCATCCCCTGGCTTGGCAAGTCCGTTCGCGGCCTTCCTCGACGGCACCCGACGACGTCTCCGTCCCCTGTGTCTGCAATACCAAACTCATAAGACACCAGCGCACACACATTGCTGCCACAGGTGGTTGCACTCGACAGGCCATCACCATTGAGGCGTCGCCATGGCGGGACAACCTTCTCGGTCGTGGGGAACTCGGAGGCCATTGGGCACTTACTTTGCACTGAGCATCGTTAGAGAATCGGATGTGAGCAGCGTTAGGAGCTCCTCCATGGAGACCGCCAGCTGGATAAAGTGTGCTTTCTGCGTCCGCATTTTACCCTTTAGCCTGACCACATGATTGGAGTCCTTCAGGACGCCGCGCAGTTCGTCCTTTTTTGTTTTTCTTTGGTTGGCCTTCATCACAAACGTCTCGTTCAAAGTCGTCTGAGTGGAAATATGTATGTTGTCCGACTTGTGATGACCCAGGGGGCAGGTACAGGAGCAGAATGAGTGGAACTACGTCCGCAGCTCGAAAGGAAAACTCCAGCCTGCCGAGTCGAAGTGTTTGGAGTGCTGCAAGGAGCCTACTGCCCTCCTGGAAATATAAGTATGTTGACTCTGCGAATGTCACACAGTTGTGTATTTCCAACACGCATCTCGTAATACAAAGTTAATATAAAATAAATACATTTATTGTGACAAAATACTTGGCCTTAAAATATTTCGAAAAATCGTTAAATTCGTACGTACATTCAATGCGTTTTACTGGATGTTTGTGTCCTAAAAAGAGATATAAACCCTCGGCTCGACCGGCCGACACTTGATCTTAGGCTAAATTTTTGGTGGAATCATCGAGTTACGAGTTGTGGTGCGTGCTTAAAATAGTGTAAGTCGAAGACATATTCGTTTCGAAAGAGAGGGCATGATCGCGTGGCAGTGCTTCTCCATCTCCATCTCCATGTCCAACTCCAGTTGGTGCTTAAGGTTTTGGCTTTGGGTGGCATTGGGCTCGGTTGCGGCTGATCCGGCTGATGCAGCTTATGCGGCTCCTCAGGACGCTCCGAATATCGTCTTGCAGTGGGTGATGAGCGAGGAGAGCATGAAGATCTCCTCGGTGAGGTTCGTCATGTGCTGGGGCGTGGCAATCAGCGTGGGCGCGAACACGGTGGCCAAGTTGTGCTCGTTCATTTTGTTCACGGCGTAGTGGGAGGCGACGCTACGAGAAAAGAGAGCAATGACGGTGGGGATCCTCGTGGAGCGGCAGAAATGCCTTCAGGCTCACTCACCGCTTCAGGTGCTCGAGCATGAACTGCAGACAGCTGTTGTGGGCGGGCGGCAGGCGACGCACCGCCTCCGCCATGAGCTGGCGCTGCTCCGCCTGCTTGTCGGTGCCTAAAAGAGAGCGGGTCTGGATCAGTGGGCACGCAGCTCGGCGCGGTTCACACTCACGTCCTGCCACCATGAAGCTGGGGTACGCCTGGAAGGTGATCAGCGGCACGGGGAGCAGCCGCAGGTAGAGCTTCAGGGTGCCGGCGATCACGTTCACGTTGCCGTAGGCCGTCTCCGACATGTCCGTCTTCTCGCCGTCCCGGTCGAGGGCCAGCTTGAGGGCCTCGATCTCGTCGGCGAAGCCGGACACCCGGTAGATGCCCTCCTGCAGCATGCCCCTGGCCTCCACCTCCTCCACGCAGCGGCGCACCACGAAGGGGATCGGGTGGTGCGGCTCCAGCTGCACCATCGTGGTGAGGTCCGTGCCGAAGACGCCGCGAATGCGCTTCAGGTCCGGCACGCACTGGCGCGGCACCAGCTCCGAGCACTTGCTGTGCGCCACGAAGCCGCAGGCCTCGCACTTCACGCCCTGCGCGGTGAAGCCCCACAGGAAGTTGGCGCAGAACTCGCACCAGTTGAGGCCCTTGAAGGTGTGCACCTGCGGAGAAGACGCGATGCAGATGGGGTCATGTGTATCCCATGGTTCTCACCTTGAAGTGATGCGGTTTCTCGTACACCAGCGGCACCGGGTCCGCGGCAGGCGGTGGCGGCTCTTCCTGCTTCCGATCTTGCTGCTGTTCTTGCCGCTGCTGCTGCTTCTGCCGCTGCTCCTCCTTCTCCCCGACTGGTGGCGACTTCGTGCCCAGCTCGTTGGACAGGGCGCGCAGCTTCCGGCCGTTCAGGGTCATGTAGGGACTCTGCTGATAGCAGTTCTTGGTCTGCTGGTTGATCTGCTGGATAATCGGGCTGGCGTGGAGCTGCATGTGGAAGTTGATCAGCCCGTCGGCGACCATGTCGTGGACCGTGTCGAAGCGCTTGTCCTGCCCCCGCAGGTAGTGGCCCACGCCGGGCTTGTGGAGCAGCTTGTAGTGCTTGGGGCGCTTGTTGAACCGGAGGCTCAGCGTGTAGTAGCCGTCAGACTGGGGGGCTCCGCCGCACGAAGTAGCTGCCGTCGCGCGCGTTGGCCAGCAGCTGTTCCGCCTCCAGGTGGCCCATGAGCCCGTGGTACTCGGACCCGTACAGACTGCCCGCCAAGTTGTTGGCCTCCACGGCCTCCGCCGTGCTTTTCGCCGGAGGCAGGGGCAAGGTGCGCTGGCAGCGCAACGGGCACGGAGCTGGAGCTTCCAACTGCAGTTTGTACACTGTTCGGGGAGAGGGGAGTCAATGAAGAGCGTGTGTTGACACACAGGGGGTCCTCTACTCACACTCCGGCTTCCAGACCTTTTGAACCGGAGAACTCGGCTCGGGGGCACCGCCTACTCCGGCGGATCCACCTGTTCCGCCGGCTCCTCCTCCGCTTCCGACGGCCAACTCCGGATTCCGGGACATCCTCCTACGGTTTGGCAGTCCACTTAACCGCTGTTCACTCAAATTATAAAGGAATTTACTTATTTTATCAAATTAACAAGTCCATTTTCGCTTTTGTTTTGAAGCGGCGTTGCCAGACCAGTGGAGGGTGGCGCGGTATTCAACTCCGAAAAATACCAAAACCTGACCATTGTTGTATTTTTTAATCATTTTATTTAAATATTTAAACCGTGTGTAATAAGTTCAAAAAATCTCACAGAAAAAACGATTATTGCTCACAGTAAATAATCACTGAATAACATAAAGGATATGACTCAAAATGACTAATCTGTATGATTTGTATGACAGACCTCATGCGTCATAACAATTGAGTTTAGTTCTTTAAAAAAAAAAAAAAAAACAAAATAAAAGATTAAAATTAAATCAGTATCACCCGTCGCCACCAGAAAATAAAAACATCAGCTAAGGTTTCAATTGGTTTAATAGATTTAAGTACGTTTCTTTTGTAAAAAGACCTACACATTCACTTGTTCCTCTTTTATTATTTATTAAATACAAATATTAAATTATTTAAAAAAAATAAACATGTAAAACTTCAAAATGCGCATTTAAATTCGGACATGCGCCAGCGACGCATGTCAAATTTAATTTCGAAATACTTTTTCGCGATTCTCTCGCTGTCTCCGTTGAAATATATAATATATTATATGTATCGTGTGATTGGTACAAAAGAACGCCTGAACTAGGTGATAATTACTGATTAACTTCCTCATTTTCATTTTTCATTTAGAATAATACGCATACGCACATTCACAGACGCGGTGATTAGTTTCGGTTAATCGTGGATCTATGTCTACATCGATGGTTAGTTTAGTTTGTTTTGGAAGTGGGAAGAGCTCCAGTCCATCGGGCGCTTTCCCCAGCACGTCTGCGTCTCGATATCCTTGGTCGATGTCCTTGGCAAAACAGGATTCAGGATCCATGATGTCGTGATGTCGGGGAAACGGGGAATGGCGAAGTTGGAATCGCGGAGTTGGAACTTCTGGCGGAATGAATGGCTCAGCTAGCTTGGCAGGTGTTGTGTTTAGTGTTGTGTGTTGGATAGTGTGTTGCTTCTATTGTCGTGGTGCTGTTTAGCTGGAATTGGGGCCCCGGACGCCTCCTAGCCGTTCATGACCATGCGCACGAACTCCTCGTAGTTGATGTTGCCCTGCTGGTCCTCCATGTTGGCCAGCAGCTGCTCCACCTCCTCGTCGGTGAGCTTCTCGCCCAGGGTGGTCAGCAGGTGACGCAGCTCGGCGGAGGAGATGTAGCCGCTGGCGTCCTTGTCGAAGTGACGCAGTCCCTCGATGAAGTCGTCGGCCGTGTCCCCGGAGCGGGCCTTCGAGATCGCCTGGTAGATGGGCAGGAACACCTCGAACGAGATGCGCTCGTCGGGCTTCAGCTGGTGGGTGCACTTCTTCACGTCCGACTCCGTGGGGTTCTGGCCCAGGGCCCGCAGGCACTCGCCCACCTGGCTCAGCTGGATCTTGCCGTCGCCGCGGTTGTCGAACAGGTTGAAGGCCTCCTGGAATTCTGCGGAATAAACGGTATATCATTGGCAACTCTCGTCTTGCGGTGCCCCAGTTGCACTCCTAGAAGACGATAAGGGACGCTTTGCGGATCACCTTCCAGGGTGGTGAAGGTCTGCTTCACGTGTGCCGTGTAGAAATACATATTGAACCACTCCGATGACCGCTTTGCCAGCTACTGACTAACTCAACTGAACCGAGCCGAACTGCGTCTGCCCGGATTTGGCTGGCCAGCGGATCACATCGGCATCGGATTCGATCGGATCGGATCCCCGGTCCGCCCTCCTTGGCCATGTGATACCCTCACTCCGCTGGGAAGTGGCTGCAACTCTCGTGAAGTTGGGCGTTGGAGTCCACTGTTTACATTCGGCATAAACAACCCAAGGCGGAGCCTGGAAACTATTTGTTTTGAGTAGCGGTTTCGTTTCATTTCGACCTGCTTCGATTCGATTTAAATGGGGGAGTAGAGCACAGAACAGAGAATGGTAAGACTGCAGTCGGAGTTAAACAAATGAAGGGGCAAGTTCTCGCTCAGCTCGCGATCCCTTCTGCAACAGAGGAGAAGTTCAAATCGAAGGAACAAGTGTGAAACAGAGAGTTGGGAGCCCCAGAATAATAAGAGTGTTTAGCAGTCGATGTCCTGAGCGGACGAGTGTTGTTTTGTTTGGTTACCATGCGCATACAACGTCCAAAAATGGCAATAAAAACAAACGATTCGAGCTCATTTTTGTCCATTTTAGGCGATGACAAAACGGCGACGGCTGGCGACTCGAGACCGGTGAATGCTAAGCCAAAGATTGCAGTGCGACGGCGACAAGGTGAGTTGGAAATGGAAATGGAAAATGTTTTTGGAGTGTGGCATGTGTACACGGTCGAATGCGGCCAAGAGCCAAGAGCCGAGAACCGAAAGCCGGGAGCTGACGTCAGAGTGTCACTCAGCACGGCTGAATTATCAGGGACCATTGACTTTGATTAAGTTATCACGGCAGATTGCGTAAAGACTCGATCGATTCGTTATGGAATCAGGCTCGCACCGTGCTGCATTCTGACCCACAGAAGGTGATGCTCCGTAAATGGAAGCTGGTTTTCCGTCTGCCAGCTGCCTCTCTTATCGAATTGTTTCGCTTTGCAACCGCAATTGCAGTTCTATCTGAGGCGAGCTGCCGGCTGGTCGAAAAACCGGGTGATTATCCCATTCCCCAATCCCCTGCTCCCATATCGATATCTTATCGCTCACTTCCTTGCGCCTCCGAGTTGTTTTTCTGCACTAAAGTACCCTTGCAGAGGGAACTTTGGTCCGGCCAAGTCTCGAAGAATATGCTAACTACTTTCGATCAGTTTTTCTTCACCCTCACTTGCCTCTTCAAAATTAACTTCCTCTGGCTGTCTAAATAGCATACACCTACAAAAATAAGGAGTTGGGTTGCGGAACCAGGTGTTCATCATATCCTACAGCTGACCAAATGGCTGGTCACTACAAACCCCAACTGGAAGCAAAGCCTAAGAAGCGGTGTCTTTGTTGTTTCCCAAAAGATTAACGGAGATTTGTTATCATTTTAACCAAGTCGTGCCAGCCATATCTGCCTGTCGTCCGACATCGATAGAAAACCTGGTAAACCGTAGTTTGCGGCGACCTTGAGCACACATGCCCTGTCCTGCACTGATCAGCAACTTGGTTGTCCCCAAAGACATCGACATGAACACGAGCCGCCGGCCACCTCCCAAACGCCCTGAAGGGTATCCCAACTTCGGCTGGCTGAGCTCCCCCCGGGAACCGCTCTTTCTTGCTGTTTTGCCGTTTTCGGGTGAGTCACGATCGTATTCGTATGGCTGCTTTCGCATAGCTTCCAGCGTATTTGCTTTATCAATGATTCATGCACATTTATGCCGCATTCGTCGACACAAAGCTGTGTAACACACACACATTTTCGTGCCATCGCTTTCGCACTCCCGCATTCCAGGGCCACGTGGGAGGGAGAGGGCGCGATGTGCCAGCGCACATATATAATAATATATGTTTATTGGCCGATTTTTGACCCCGTTAAACACTCACCAGCCAACTGATCCTCGGTGTAAGCTGCCTGCAACGAGAAAACAGAAGGCAGAAACTGAGTGTCCGTTTTCAAGACGCCGCCAACGGTCTTGCGGTCGACAGCAAACGTAAACAGTGCTGCAGTAAACACAGACCACTCACCATATCGATTTGTTTTTAGCTAACTGGGGAAAACAACACAAAAACACGGGATTAAATTCGACGACGAGGCAAACTAGTGCTGGTAAACTCGGTTTCTAGTGTTGCCAGACAGTGCGACAGCTTGTCCCTAAAAATGACCGCTAGAAAGTCCCTAAAAAAAGCATTTAGCCGTTTCTCCCACCTTTTCCGGGTACCGAACCTCCATCAAAAGTGTTGGTAAACGCCAAAACACACGTGCCGCCCAGTTTGTTTTTATTTTCTCGCGGGGATTGACGCCAAACTGGAACTCGATTGCCGACCACCCCGATGAGCAGCCAGAAGCTGGAGTACGACGCTGCGGTGGGCGGGCATGTCACCCTGCCGACGCACGTGACCACGTACCACTATGCGGCCGGAGTGCTGCAGGAGATCCGGGGCCTTGTAGCCGACTGCCAGGAGACGACGCAGCGGAGCAGCAAGCTGATCTTCCAGACGCTGCCCAAGCACATGCGCCGCCGGGCCATGTCGCACCACCCGAAGCGGCTGCCGCGCAAGTACCGCCAGGCGCACAGGTCGCAGATGGGCAAGGGCGGCAACCAGCCGGTGAACGGGAAGCGGCCCTCGAGGAAGTACCGCCGGCGACCGAAGAACCTGGCGCGCGAATACGTGCGCCGGCAGAGGCGTCACGTCTGGCTGGAGACGCACATCTGGCACGCGAAGCGCTTCCACATGGTGGAGCGCTGGGGCCATCGGCTGGCCTTTGCCAGCTGCGACAAAACGTACCGCGCCTGCTATCGCGCCAGCGCAGAGCACTGCCTGCTGCAGGACATCTCCTTCTACGGCTGCGTGGAGCTGCGCGGGCCTTTGGACACCCTGCGCCAGGGATTCGGCCGGCTATCCAGTCCGCAGTGTGGACTGGGGATCACGGCCAGGACCTTCCTCAGCGGACGACGCGAGGGCAGCGTGGAGCTGTTCGAGGCGGACAGGTACCCGCATGGAGCCCTGCAGCGGGTGAGCTTCATGTGGCGCCCCCAGAAGAACGAGGGCGAGGGGCAGCACACCGTCTGGCTGTGGCTGCATCCCAGTGCAGCCCAAGCCACTCTGGAGCAGCTGCTGGCTGTGTTCCGGCTGAAGTCCACCAAGCAGCAGACGCTGCCTCTGGCAGAGGAAGCGGAGCAGCAAGCCGATGGCAAGCCCAGGGGGAATCTCAGCCAGCAGGACTCCAGCGGCAGCCAGAAACCCCTGCGTTTCTGGACACAAACGAAGGCCTTCGAGCTGCAGCCGAGCTACTCCAACTCCGAGGAGTCACTGCACTTGGTGCTGCTGCAGCGGGAGTTCAATCGCTTCCGTTTGACGGGCCCCCGAGCCCAACGCGTTCTGGCCGCCAGCCTGCGGTCGCATCAAGGGCAGGCGCTCCAGGAGCAGGAGCAGGCCAACTACTGCGAGGCTGCGCTGCAGCTGAGCTCGCCCGCCGAGCTGCTCTCCAATCTGGTGATTGGCAACCAGGTGGTGGATCCGCGCCTGCAGCGACCGAGCAAGCGCACGAAAGCAAACGGGAACGGAGAACAGCCACGCTCCGCGGCCGATCTGCTGGTGGATCAGCCTAAGGCTCTGCCAGAGAGTCCGTTGTGGAGCAAGGAGGCGAGGGAGCGGCTGGCCAAGGGCATTATGTCCACGCACACGTACGAGCTGCTGCGGCGACAGCACGCCGTGGTGCCGGGCGCTCCGTGCGCCTTCGAACAGCAGCTGCAGGCGGTTCCCGTGATTCTCATTCAGAGGCCCGGCTCGCAGGACTCCAGATACAAGAGGCTGGCCTACGGCTGCGGCTGGGATGTGATTGCTCCCGGCGGATACGGCATGGCCCTCTGGCTGACGCTCACCATGTGGGGCGCCAGGCCGGGTGGATTACGGGAGCTGGACTCCGTGGCCAGGGAGGCGGGCGCCGAGATGCATCTGCCGGACACAATAGCGGGTACACTATCACTTTCTGTTCTCTATCACTTTTACCTGACTTACTGACCCTTTTGTTTCGCCAGGAATTCAACAAGCTGCTGCCTCAGCGGACGAGCTCCGTGCCCGCTACTTTCGGCTGCCGCCCAACAAGCGCACCAACTACCGAAAACTGGCGGTGGCCAGCCCGTTCAGCGCTCCGTGGAAGCACCTGGTGCGCGACTGGCGCTCATCTCCTACTCCTGCCAGCGTACCGCCGTTCTACGTGCTCCGCCATCGCCAGAAGCTGGAGGAGATTGCTGAGGCAGTGCAAAAACGCAGGCCACTGCCGGAGCCGCTGCCCGAGGAGGCACTCATCCAGATCCAACTCCGGCTGACGTCCCGCGGTCGTGTGAGCGACAACGCCCTGATATGCCTGCCCACGGCGGCGGATTACAAGCAGCGCTGGCGGCAGCTGAAGCAGAACGACCAGAGCCCCGTTCACGTGGAGCCACCGCAGCCGGACCTCAACGAACAGCCCCGCAAGGAGCTCCGCCAGAGCCACAAGCTCAAGCTGAAGCGACTGCGCGCGCGAAGGGTGCGGGAGAAGCGAAGGCTCCAGGAGACCGCCACCAAACGGGTGCACATCCGGCCAGCGAACACCGGGCATCTGGTGAGCGCCCAGCTGCAGGAGATGTGCCGTCTCTGGCTCCCCTCCGACCCCGCGGAGATGCGGGACAGCGTGCGCCGGCAGTGCAGTCGCCTTGTCTTCGGCTACGTCCGCACGGCCGGCTTCAGCTTCACGGAGGCGCAGGTCTGCGCCGTCGGCTACGTGACTCCGCTCGGTCTGCAGCAACTAATTAATGAGCTGCCGAAGTCCAGTGATCACCGCAGGCAGCCGCCATTGCAGTGTCTGGTGCGAGACCCGGACAGCCGGGACTACCGCTGGGCCGGCTTCCAGATCAACCTGAATGTGGCCAGTCCAGCCTTTTGATCGGTTTTTAAGATAGATAGTTGGTAAGATACGATGAACCAAATAAAAGTGGCTATCACATAGCTGATAAATAGATAGAAGTTGAGTGGTTCCTAAAGCAATAACTGTGCGGAGAGGTTAACTAAAGAGAGCTTTGGTTAAATAAAACACTAGGTTTTTGTTGTACATAATTAATACTAATTTTTATTCAATTTAAAATTACTTGTATGCCATCTTTACTTCGTTTACCATCAACTCTGTACTTCTTTTTGGTTTTAATTTGTATTCGTTATGCAATGAACTCAATATTGAGCAGATGTCAGTGTATGGGTTAGTGTGGGTGTGTGGGTGTGTGGGTGTGGTGTGTTAAGGTGTTCAGGTGTGTCGTATGAGCTTGTGTGTGTGTGTGTTCTAACAAAAGGATTTCGCGCTTGGAAATGTTTGAATTTTGTATCCGTTCTCGTTTTTGTATCTTAAATGCGACAATGGTTAAAAAATTGCTTACAATTTTTGGTTTTTGTTGTATTTTCTGTCTGTGAGCATATGCGTTCGCACACATCCATAATTTATAATTAATAATATTCATTCATCGTAGACATTTTTCGGATCGTTCGTCCATTTGAATTCGTTTGTAATTGTTGGTTTGGTTTACTTGATTTGTTGTTTAGTTGATGCGATTATGGGAAATGTATTTGAAATGCTTGTAAATTTAGCTTTTTGGTTTTCACTTTGTATATATGTTATTAGTTATTGAAATTGTCTATATACTTACGAGTATATAAGTTGTTCGTTTTTCGTTTCATGGGATTTAGCAGCTGCTTTGGTGTTGATCTTTTTGTTCTTGTGCGTTAAGTTTCTGTCTAAAGGTTTCAACTCTTTCGAATTCCCAACTCATTTCTTTTCATCGACGCTTTCCCGAAATATCAGTGTTTCATTTTCTTGCTTAGATACAGATACATAATTCCATTATGTAAACTCTCACTTATAATTATACAACTTAGTTGAAACATTTAATAAATATTTCTTTCTGCTCACTTCCCTTTTCGGTTGTACGGCATAAAATATGATTCGATCTTACGTTTAACTAAATGTTAAGGAAAAAACAATTAGATTTATTTATATATATATTCATATATATATATATATATATAGATGTATATATATATGTATAGTTAAATATATGTATGTGATTTATGTAGCGTATGCAACTTCAAGTACAATTTCTAAGAGCCTACGCAAGTACAAGTTTCAAACTGAATTTGATTCGCAAACTTTGGATATATGATTCCGATCCGGATACGGATCGACTGTGAGTCAGTGACTGAGTGAGTGAGTGAGTGTGTGCTGAACTACTTATGGTTAGTTCGATTTTGGCTTGGTTTACCTATGCTTGCTACCACATTACATTTGATTGGATTACGAGAGTATTGAATACGTATTCTTCTTGAACTCCCCGCGCCTACAGTTAACATGCAATATATAGACTTGTAGACTGGATTATGATTATAGATTATAATCGGATTCGCAATTACTCGCTCGATTCGCTATTGGTAACGTCTCTATCTTCTTTGGTCTTTAGCAAACTGATGCTTTCTGACTTGAGTTGCAGCTGTGTTTTTGAAATGGTATCTTTATCTAAGTCGCGGGATTTCGAGGATCTGATGGGGTTTATATTCGGGATCGGATAAAGTTGGGACTTAGGTATAGTAGGGAATAGGGTTCTGGTTCTGGTTTGGAGGGGACGGGTTGTTAGCTGTCCCGATCTCTTGTCTTGCGCATCGTCTCCTTGTATAAAACGTTGAAATACTTTGAATTTGGTGGGTTAGTATACATATATTTATAGATATACGTGGCATATATATCTTTCAAAATGTTCGATTCTTTTAACATTGTAAATTGTAAACAATTTGATGCTTGTCAATGGGTTTTCCCTTCTCCTCCCGACACTTTGCTATCGCTCCTCTCGTTTTCCACTTCGCATTGCCCAATATGTTCGTTCATAAATGCGGGGATTCACTTGGAAAGTTCTTCGTTTGCTTCAAAAAATGTCTCTTTTTTTTTTTGTGGTTTTGAGTGTCGCTTAAGAATTTCTTGGTTTATCCGATTCTTTGCTATAACATACATACATATATATTATTATTTTTACCGTTAATTATGTTTTTCTTTTAACATCACTACTAATAATCAAAAAATGGACATTTATAAACTTTTATATATTGTATATTAAAAATGTTTTTTTGTATTTTTGGCCATTGAATGCCTACATTTTCTCTTTTTTTTCTGTATTATTTTGTTTTTAGTTGTGGTGTTTCGGGGAATTTGTTTTTACAATTGGCCATGAAGTTGTCTTAGCGCCATGGTTTCTAAATTCTTACAAAAGTTGTGTGTTGACTCAGTGAGTGAGTTGCCTGGCTGAGAATAAAACGAAGAGGATACTAAATTAAATCAAGTTGAGAACAGAAGTGGTGGCGATTAAATAAAATACCAGAAAACCATATTAATTCATCACAGTTTGTTGTTGTTCGGCTGTTACTGTTGTTGTTGTTGTTGTTGCTAGAGAGAAAAGTCAGATCAAATTGATTCAGAACAGAAAGTTCTTTGGTTTCCGTTTCCGGATTTCCGGGTTTCGTTGCCGCTTCCGTTTCCTGTGGCCGCGTTCTTCATGGCATTGCATTGTGTGTGTCCCTGTTTTGTTGTGTTTCAGTGTATGCGTGTCGTGTTTTTCTATCCGGGGACTCTCCTCCCCATTCGCAGTCGCGGAAAAAACACGCGAAAAGTAAACAACCATTTTTGTCAGAACAATTTCAATCTTATTCGTAATGTGAATTTTTTAATCGATTCAATTTTGGTTTCGGTTGCCGAAGCGGATAATGATAAAAACAATTACGAAATTAATATTAACTTGCATTTTAGATTTTTCGACTTCGATTTAGTAACAAGGTATTGCAGCGTGTTAGAAACGAAACTAAGCTAAACTAAATTAAATACGTAACTCAGATTGAAAACATGTCTAAACGCTATGACTTAGATCTTAGGTTCTTCACGAGTTAACAAAGTAAAAAAGGAAAGCAGCGGGGCAAATTAACAAGCGACCTACAAATCGTTATCGGTTGGCAATCGTTAATCGTGCAGATTGGTCTGATCGGTTCGGTTCGGTTCGTTCGTATCGTTCTTCATTTCGTTTCGCTCTTTCGCTTGTAAACAGAAATTTAAAATATATGTAATCATATCTGCATTAATGTATATATTATATGTGGTATGCATATATGTTTAATACGTTATTAGAAACTAACTCTTCACTTGATTTATATCTGTTCTGTTCTGTTCTGTTCTGTTCGCGTTCTGGGCTTGCTACAATTTGGTTTGGTTTGGTGCATTTCATATCTCCCACGTCGGCCTATTCAGACATTCAGACATTGGGGCCTCGACGACATCGCCTCCTTACTCCAGGCGTGCCTTGTAGGTGGTCTTCCAGATCTCGGCGAGTGTCACGGCACTGTGGAACCGATGGAAGATGCACAGGGGCAGTGTGATGCGCTGGATGATCGACCAGGGCACGAAGCCGTAGAACTCCAGCTGAACCTGTGGATGCAGCACGGTTGAGGGGGTTAATAACTGGACGAGGTGGCTGGGACTCCCAGGCCAAACATCAAACATCAAATATTCACGACATGCAGGAATCAAAACAGCAAGACAAATAGGACGAGTATGTACAGAAGCAGAGTAGATCCGTCAAGACAACTGTAGGTTCAGTGATTGAATGGGGAGTGCACTCGAAATAGGTTCAAGATAATTTAAAAACATGATATAGGCTCCCGTATTGGGGAGCTTTCCCCGAATGGAAGGCATGCAGAAACAGAGGAGAACAAGGAAAGACACTACAGCTAACTGATGGGATAAGGGAAATCGGAACTTGGATATCGAACAGCAATCGAGAAACAATATCAGGTAAACAGGTAACGGGTAGAGAACGAGAGCGTTAATCGTCTTACTCAACTCAGTCTCGCTTACGTACATATCTACTTACAGGATTGGCGAATACTTTTTGAGCTTCGAATGTGTAGATGGCGAACATGGCCACGTTGCAGATGAGAAGGAAGGTCACGATCTGGCGGCCCGGCTTGCTGCGGTCGTGCTCCGGCAGGTGGACGCGACGGCGGGAGACGTCCGCGATGAAGAGCAGCTGCAGGATCACCTGGAAGACGGCCACGCCACCGGTGGTCGTCACCAGCAGGCTGGGCTCGCTCTCCAGGACCTTCAGGCTGCCGGCGATGATGCTGAACACCGAGTAGGTGAACAGGCCGAAGGCCGAGATGCGCAGCAAGATGTCGTTCAGGTTGGACTGCTCCTCGCAGCGGAACTTCAGGTTCTTGACCCTATTTTTTTGGGAAGAGAAAGAGACATTCCGAATTAAATAAACACCCGTGAAGTAACTGATGCAGGGAGAGCCCATCAGGGATCACATCATCGCCACAAGGTGCTCTCCCCGCAGCAGTCAAACGCGATCCCGACCTGATGAATCCCACTATGATGGCCAGGATGGCGAACGCCATCAGGACGCAGTGGCTGGCGTCGGCGAGGTAAATGGCCAAGAGCGAGAACTGCTGATGGCGCACCAAGACGAAGAAGAGTATCAGGCAGATGAGGGCCCCGACCAGCAGCAGGAGCCCGAAGAAGAGCCCCTTCGACGAGCCGACGCAGTCGACGCGCCCGGAACGCGCCTGCTGCGCCATGGCCACCGCCCGCCGCGACAGCATCACCTCCAGCCGGTGCTCCAGGTCCTCGTCGTTCATCCGGCCCGGATAGCGGCCGATGTGCTTCCACATCACATACAACACCACCGCCCCGATCAGCGAGTACTCGATGATGAACGGATAGAGGTAGGGCGCCGAATCATAGACAATGGTGCCCATTATGTCGATGCGTCCGCAGGCGGTGGAGTTGAGTGTGCCGATGTTGGAGGACAGCGCCGCCGGGTAGATGTTGTCCAGGCTCTCCAAATTCTCGAAGCTCACCAGACCGGTGGCCTCCTCGTGGCCGAGGTCCGCGTACGTCTGGAAGCTGTTCTCCATGGGTCCCTGGCCGAACAGGTTGTTGATCAGGCTCGCGGAGCCCTCGGTGCTGCTGGCCGGGCCCAACGTGCTCCCCAGGAGCGAGTCCACAAAGGAGCCCGATCCCGATCCCGTTCCCGATCCGGCAGTGGGCGTGGCAGCGGAACCGAACCCGTCGACTGGCGGCAGGCTCGTCGGCACGGCGCTGGAGAAGATGCGCTGCAGGCCGCCGAAGGGCGACTCGCTGCCGCTGGTCAGCTCGGAGTTCAAGGCGGCGGCGGTGGCGGTGGTGGTGGTGGTGGTGGCGGTGCTAAATGGACTGAAGGTGGTGCTCGATGGCAAGATGGTGGAGGTGGTGGTGCTACTTGATGACAAAATGCTACTGGCTGAGTCTGAGGCTGAAACTGAAACTGAGGAGGTTGGACTGATGGTGGTGGTGGTGGTGGTGGTGCTGCTGCTGCCCGCCGCCGTGGTGGCCGCGGTGGTGGCGCTGGTGATAAACTTCTTCAGCTTGCGGGCCATAGTAGTGCTGTGCCATTGGTAGTTCGGAGTGGTGAACGGCGCCCTCGTGGTCGAGGTGGTGGTGCTGCTAGCGACCACCGGGTCGCCGCCACCCATGCCCAGGCTCTTCGAAATACCATCGACGGTGTTGCGGACCAGCTTGGACAGCACGTTGTCGCTCTTGTAGACGTCCTTGGGCAGGAGGTCCTCGCCGTCGAGCACCTCGAACTCGCTGTTGGGACCCGCGTGGGTCCTCAACACTGTTCCCGCGTGTCGGAGGGCGTGCTGGCGGATCGAGTGCGCAATGGAGGAGGCGCCCGCCTCCGGCTCGTTCTTCTGGTGGTAGATCGTGATCTCCAGCAGCGACTCCTTGACCAGCGTCCGGATCCACACGCAGATGTTGGTGGCCACCACGTGCATCAGGCCGAAGCGGGCGATCACCTTGAAGCGGTGGATGTTCAGCTGCATCCGAATGACCGAAACGGAGAGAGATGGAGAACGAGAAAAGAGAGAGAGAGAGAGAGAGAGAGAGAGGGTGCGCGGGGCGCTTGAGTACGGCGAAGAGCTTGTCGGGGATTTGAGTCCAGTGCATTGGTTACTTATACAGATACGGATACGGATTAGATTAGAGTACAGATTGGAGTACGGGCAAATCTCAGTTCCGATGGGGGAACTGCGAGCCACTGGCCCTGCAGAGGATTCCTTGCCAGAGGTCCATCTCATTGGTCTAGCCTATATCCTTCATTAGCCTGCAGCATATGCTGTATCTTACTATAGTAATAGCTACTACATTCGATCGGACAATTAGCAATCTGAAGGGAACCATGATTTGCAGCTATAGGAATAGACCCCAGACCTCTCTGCAGGGTCAGTGGGGCAAACAAAAACCAAAGGCCGCCAACACCGAACCCTTAAAGATACAGTAACTTGCTTAGACTAGTGGTTAGCATATCGCATCATACATATGTATATATAGTATATAGTACAGATATTGGCATATAAGTGGTATAGGTATGCAGTTAGGTGAGCAAAATGGCATTGGTTGGCAGATGTACAGGATGGTACAGGTGGCATTAGAGTAAGAGTTACAGGTACAGTAGAGTAGAGTAGGTAGAGTAGAGTAGAGTAGAAAATGAGTTGCATATCGTACCTGAAATGGCGGCCTAGTCTGCGATCGCGCGAATGGGGCGGAGTTGTGGGATTATGTACACAAAAATGGTTCATTAAATAACTACGTAGCAGAATTTCGAAATTTGTTTTAAAGAATGAATATGCATTGGTTTGGTTTGGATGAGTGAATGGACGTATGAAGTATGATTTCAGAATTATGAATGAGCTGTGGATGGCTGTTGGTGGTGGGTTGAGTGGTCAAAATGCGTGTGGTGCTGAGGATCTGAACTCTGTGTCAGAAAAGCAAAAGATCAAGTATCAATTCGAGAAGTGAGGGCTCAATTTGATCTCCAACCACAGTGGTTTCCGGAAGCAAGATCACATTGGCGCCCTCACCAAGTAATTTGATGTGTCTGTTGTCTGTGGCTCTTTGCCAATGTTCGTTTCTTGGAGATTGAGAGAAGCAAGCGAGTGAGGTGGCAGATGATGTGATCAGCGATGGATGCAGTTGCAAATGCAGTTACAGATACATTACAGATGCGGATGGATGAAAACTGAACTCAGAACTGCCAATTAGCACGCCAATTTCAAGTTTGTGGTGAGATTTGGATTGAGATCGACAAACCGAAACCGAAATCGAAACCGAAAACGATTCGCGATACCGCGGCCTAACTTTAACCAAATCGCGACCTAACTTCGAGTTCTACGGTCTACGAATCTAGGGAGACTAACCTCGCTGGTGTTCCCGAGGAGGAGCTGGGTTGGATTCGTGTACTTATGGTGTCTTTACATTTAGCATACGAGTATAGAATAGCCGTAGATAATAACAGTAGGTAGCAGTAGTATAGTAGTAGGTAGTAGGTAGTAGTCATACGCTTACAGTGTTCTTTAGTTTTAGTTACGTTTTAGTTTTAGTTCAGACACACAGAATGGGGACTTCCGCTTCCACTTACCCGGGCGTTCATGAATATGAAGTACATCTGCATGAAGGTGAATATCATCTGGAGCAGGGGGTTCACGCCAATCAGGATGTGGTGGCAGGGCGAGTCGAAGGGTATCTCGAAGAACGACCCGAACTCCAGTCCGATGTAGATCATGGCGCCCAGTCCAAAAGCTGTGGGTGCGAGGGGAGAATTTAAAATCAAATCGAGATCAAATCAGCATGGTTTTGCATTGGGGATGCTCCAGCTCCACTCACCAATGGCTCCCACGCGCAGGAAGAAGCTGCCGTGCGTCAGATCGCTGTGGGTTGTCTTGCGCTTGCGCACGTTCTTCGGGGTGACGGCCACTTCGGCATCCACGGGTGCTTCCTATGTGCGAATGGACGGAGAGATCGGGCGATCAAGAGACGTGAGACATGAGAGAGTGTGCACACTGGCATACTGGCATACTGGTATACTGGTATACTGGCATACTGGGGAGTCCCACGACCCTCGGAGGAAACTAATTGGTACGACCTCAGCACTGGGTAACTAATTGCCAGAACCCGACAAGGTGGCTCGTTCAATTGGCGCGTGGTTCAAGGAGAATGCTGGAGGTTGGGGGTTGGCTTCGAGAGCCGACCTAGATAATTGAGCATTATAACATTGGAACGAACCTAGATTGTGACAAGGGATAGCCAGCAAGCTAGCAAGCTTTCTACTAACGGACACTTAGCAGGGCGAATATATATGTTCTGTACAAGTATATAGGGTAATAGTAAGCTCATTGCAAACCAGAAACTTTGCCAGTGCGTGCTAGTTTAATAGAGAATAATAGAGATCCCACATTAGTTCAACTTCGTTTTCAAGAGATCGTCTTCCAGGGAAGTGATCAAGTGGACTTATTCAGAGTTTGGGAACTTGTGATGTGACAAGATTGATTGACGGATTGATTTGATTGACTGGTCAAGAGGTAACCAACCATTGAGCAAGTACTCACCTGATATGCGGCGCCCTTGGCTGCCTTGCCAGAGTCCTTTGAGCCCTTCGCATCCTTCGAATCGGCCGGATCGGCATTCTTGGCTTTCTTCGACTTCTTCTCCTTGGGCTGTGGTTTCGGTTTGCTGCCTCCGTTGCCGCCGTTGCAGCAGGAGCTCTCTGCGAAAGAGCATTAAAGCAATGTTACTACTGTTCCTGTTGCCGAGGAAGCTGTGAAGGATGAAGGATGAAGGATAAAGCGATGGAGGAGCAACCCACCCTGCAGCAGGAAACAGAAGACGTAGAGGAGGAAGAGTATGCTGACGCCGTAGAGATATGTGAAGAACGTCTCGTAGTACAGAACCGGCAGTCGGTGGGTGGTTACATCGCTGATTACGTAGGCGATGCAGACGACGATCAGCAGGATCGCGTACACCAGGCTGGTCACGATGAACAGCGATGTCCTGCGAAAGGCGGAGTCCGAAAGTTAGTTCGCTGAATGTCTGGGATTCCTTCTAATTCGATTATGTACAGTGGAGTAAACACTGGGTGCGCGTATATACGGGTTGTGTGTGGGTGTGTGTGTGTGTGTGTGTGGGTGTGGGTGTGGGTGTGGTGTGTGTGTATGGTGGCTATTGTGTGCGGGAACTGTGTCAAGATCTGGCCAGGAATCGGCCGTAGTTATAGAGCTCCCTCCCTGTTGACCCACTGTTCCACTTGCAGCGAGAGCTAATTTCCCACTTTTCTACTGTTTGTGTGCGTTCGGGTGCGAGAAAGTGTCTGACATGCAGCTAAATCTCAAGTGCGATTCCACTCGACGACTCAAGAACTTAACCACCCTGAATTAGGCGCTATTTGATGTTTGATTAGCCACAGGCTCTCAGTCCTTGTGCGATTTAAACTGGATTTTAACGGGGACTGCCTTCGAAGGACTAAATTGAACATTTCATAGCATACTTTCCAGCACTTAAATAGCTAAACTAGTGCTTTATTTTGTTTGCCCCCTCTATGCTCCTCACAGAACCCATTTGCAGAGTTCTGTGACCCAGTTAGTCACAACCCCCTTTGCCCACCTCCCACTAAAGCATCCGTCTGCGAGAGTACGTGCCCTGAACCGAATCAAATCCGCTGTTTGCTTAGTATAATGCAAGTATTTGCAGAGCATTCCTCGAATTATGCATGACTTCACAGGGGACGGAGGTATTGCTTCAGTAATTTATTTCATCCTTGCAAATAACTCAAGATATTCTACGGGCTTTACCCCTCGAAGGACCCAAAAGATGAAAATACTGTCTGTGTGCCCACATTGATCGGGGGAAGGGAATACGAATGCAACAGGAGAGTTCGAGGAGCAGCGGGATTTGGGGTAGGTCGTGGTTTCACGTGTCACTTTACCATAGTTCGATGGGTCCCGTTATCGGATTTGTTTCATATGTACCCTGTACCGTTATTTTCGCTGGCATAAAACTGTACTTATTTGGATTTGGCTTGAACGTGTAGCAAACCCTATAAGAATTAAGTTGTTGATATCCAGTTCGTAACGCAATGCAACACATATACAAGTTATCTTTAATGGTTCGGATTAGCATAGCCTAGGGCGGTTGGGGCGGGTCAGTAGGCGGAAGACGGTGGGCGGAGGGCGGAGGGCGGAAGGCGAATGTTCAGGCGCACACAACAAAAAGGAAAATCCTTCGGAGGACCTCGATGAGAGAGTGAGACGGCGCTTTACGGCTGGGATATTGCACTTTTGGTTATATATACTTTACTATATGCTATGTTATGTACCTTAAACGTATATACGGGTTAGCATTACTTGCTTATGTACAGAGTGTGCGGGTGTGTGCGCTCGTATCTGTGTGTATGTGCTCAAGTGTTTTGGGTGATGCTGTTATACACAGGGATTAGCTAAATACTTAGTACTAAATGGAAATGGAGAACGGCCTTGATGGCCGCGAGGCAATTCTCGCTGTAAATTCCGATCATAAAAACCTCTAACCCTTACTAGTTGGTTCCTCTTCAAACCAAGTAAGATCTTCTATGGAATTTGTCTTAATTAAACCCCGAAACCCTAGAGGCATTTCGTGGGTCTCCGGAGAAATTCTCTCAAAAGCAGTATGATCACTCAATTTTCCCTCAATTTTCCCAGACTTTCGCACCTTTGCAGCGGCTGCGGCATTACGTTCTTGAGCTCCATCTCCTTGTTGGCGGCGTTGTTCTTCTCGGCGCTGTCGGTGCTGCCGGCGGTATGGGAGCGGGACACCGGCAGCGTGGCCATGTTGTCCCCGCCCTCGACGTCGACGGTAGCGACCTTCACTTCACCGCCGCCCATTGTCTCCGTTTCCGTTTCGGTCTCCGTTGTGCTGGCTTTTCTCCGACTATCCCTCTTCGATTTCTCTATCGACTGGCGATAGGATTTGTTGGTCCTTCGCGGCGGGTTTCCCTTTTGCTCGGCTTTTCCCGCGTTTCACTTATCAGTTCAGTTCGTAATTGTGCGATTCGATAACTCTAAATGAAGCAATTTGCAGGGTTTATTTTCTGGTTCTGAATGCAACAGAATAACTATTGTTTGACTTGGAGAGCCCCTACACACGTACGTATATGCAAAAATATATCTGGCTCGCTCTCTTTTAGGGGCCTTGTGGAACGCATTTGAGATGCATCCGACAATTGGGCAAATGAGGCGTGGCCACAACTTTCCAAGTAGACTGCATCCCGGACGGGAGCGACCTAGTGACCTCTCTCTCTCCGTCGCCTTTTGGGGGGTTGAAAGCCGTACTCGGCACTCGGCACTCGGCACTTGGCACTTTGCATTCCGGCGGGGAAAGTGGAGCCCATATCTTGTGGAGCGGACAGACTCCCGTTTCTGCGTGGTGTGTATGCATCGGACGCGGACCTATGTGGAAAATACTATCTCTGTACATCGGGAGTCCTCCTCAGGTTCTTGAGAGGCCCTCTAGCTGTCTCTTTTCCCCACTAACTCGTTGTCCCTTTTGCTCCCACTCTGGATTGTGTATAATAAGCTGCTTAACGCGTGTGTGTATTGCCCGGTGCCATTAAAAGTCCTTTTTTTGGAGGCCTGGCCAGCGGAGTTAACTTTAGATGGCGGAAAATCACTGCTATTATGACATAAACCCCACAGAGAATTGCTTCACTTGAGTTAAAACGGCTTATAAGTCAAAGACCACAAAGGTTTTTCGCTTTCACAGGTAGCTTCACAGTTTCGGTTTTCACATAGAGCATAAAGCATAACAGCACTAAAACAAACACTTTTCGAGTTGAAACACAGCAAAAAAACTCATTGTTAGCCTCGGTTTCCGATGGGACTTTGACTTTTCATTGAGCAACTCCAACTGATTGGAGGACTCTGGCTTTTGGAGTCTTGGAGGACTCTGGAGGCTACCTGGCGAACGGTTCGCTCGACACGTCCAAGACCCTTTACTATCCAACTACAACTGAAACGGGCCCTGGCAGGATAAGCAGCATCCAGCATCCAGCATCCTTTTCGGCCAGCAGCCGCCCTCAGTCTGCGCCGAATCCCTCGCGCTCTCTCACTCTCTCGCTCTCTTCGCATCTCCGTCTCCTCTCGCTCTCCCTCTCTATCCCTCTCCCTCTCTCTCAGTCTCTTAAGCTCGCAGGATGCTCTCGACGTGCAGGGGAAAAGTCCTGTGAGTACGCCAGAAAGTAGGACACATCTCGCTGCGCGACTTCATGAGCGACTTTTGACTTGCTCTTCCTGCTCTCAGTTCTGATGGGTTGGGTTGTGTTGTGGGCCTTATGGGGTTTATAGGGTTTATAGGTTTGCCCCCGAGGAGTCCTGCCATTCATTGCGTGCAGCATCCACTGGTTCCTGTTCCGCATCGACATAAATGTTTATTGTTGCGCTTTTATAACATCTATCTAGCCGTTGTTTATCCTGCTGATAACGTTAATGCCTCATTATCTTATTATTATTTGGTTTTATTAACTTTGCATTGATTTATATTTGTTAAATAGTTCCTGAAACCTGCCCTCTCTCTCGTAATTTTTCCGTCGCCTCAAATTCCGAAACAATATATCTTTTAATTGAGTTTTGCATCGGGAAGCAGAGATTCTTTGTGCTAGCCACTACGCCGATGAAAATGGGTCACTTTGCGAGCAGGCCAGGAGTCGAGGGGGCGCCAAATGCCAATCAGCGGATGCTCTCGTATGGGGCATGCAGCAGCGGCACAAATGTCAGTCATCGAAAAGCAACAGTCCAAAACTCAATTACCCACGATGCCTGGCCTGCCTCTACTGCTTTTACCACACCATTTGATGCTGATGTTGTTGCTATTGATGTTGCTGTTGTTGTTGCTATTGTGGTGCGACGTGCCCGCAGCCACCCACTGAACCACCCCGCAGAGGCAGCCGTTCTGGCATTGTGGTGGGGGTTTGGCTCAAAGTGTAGATGAACTTTGCATTTTATTATGGGTTACTTGGATGTGTTCGATTTTGAGGAAGTGAGGGGTTTACGTTTTTGCCAATATAAAATAAATACTCCTTTGGTACTCAGCATTTTAAATCCTTTACCGGATCAAGTACATATTTTCTTCCGAAGACTTAGTAAGATGCTTTCACAGACCCTAGTCCTTTTTCTTCACTAATCGCACTTGAGGGCCCACTGTGCGCTGGACTTACGATAAAAGCCGACGAAGTCGTCATGCTGTCTGGCTCGCTTTGCTTCGTCCTCGTTCGTCCTGTTCTGCCGTTTATCGTAACTCCAACGCTGGCTCCCTTTTGTGCCGCCTGTTCGCAAAAACATTGCGGCATTCTGTTTTGGTCGCCCATTCGCCGACAGCGTCGCCCCATCCCTTAGAATTCCCAACTACCGAGTCCCGAGTCCCAAGTCCCGAGCCATTGAACGTGGAGTGCAGATTGCGACAAGGGGTTGCAGTCATCCAGAAGTGTGGCGGTATTAACAAATGTGAGGGTGCAGTGAGAGAAAACATATGTATGTTTTTATGGAGTTTTTACTGCTTTCTAGCGTAAGAACCATAATGCATGAGTGGAGGAACCTTTAGGTTCCCAGAAGTTATATCGAAATCGAAGTAAGGAAAGCGCAAATACAGTTCAAAACCTCGTTGAACATTCACGTTTTCAGTGTAAAACAACGAATTGTAAGGATTTGCGTCGCAACTAGCCAACTGCGTCGTAGTTGCATTGAAAGGCATAAAAGCAGGAAAAGCTGGAAAAGCGGCGGACGGACGGACTCCAGAGGGTGAAAGGGGGAAGGTGAGAGGCACAGGAAAATGCTGGCGGGGGTTATCGAATCGCTGGCAGCCGCGCCCTGATGTTACCAGCCAGATGAAGATGGTGACGTGTGACCCAAATGCCACTCACTAATTCCGAGAGTAAAAAATTGAAATATAACCCCTGAAATTCGGCCTTTCTAATGATCAAATTCAAGCCGTGGAAGCACCCTAATCATCTGTCCGCTGGTAATGCGCAGTTAAACAGCAGATATTCGAAGGGCTTTGGAATTTCTGGACCTACAGTCTTTAGATCCAATGCAACTTCAGCATGGTGACTCCTTGTCCCACTCAAGGTAATGAAAACACGGGTAAACCTCTGACTTGTTGTTCTGTCTAATTGGGTTCAATGTCGAAGGCTTCTCCTTGGGTGTTCATATACGTAATCATTGTGGCCTTTCATCTGCAGCCCTCGCAAATCAAAGAAGGGTTGCACCGCTCGCCTAATTATATTTTCAACCACCCCACGCAGCAGATGAGGTCTTTATCGGGAGCTTAAGCCTTTATTTTTAAAACAAGGTATCAGGGGTGAGCAGAGATCCTTGGGTTCGTTACAAAAACCTTGTGTCTAATCGGCCGACAACGTTTTTGCCAGGGACAACGCCACAAATAGATGTTGGCCTTTTTTGATTGATCGAGAGGAGGAGTAGGCTTTAATAAAAAACCGTTGGAAGTCGAGATATTTTTTGATGCCTCTCAGAACCGCCAGGAGTAATATGTTTTCAAATAAAAACAAGGAAAAGCGAGCAGAGGGCGTTTTCCGATTGCCTCAGCACAGAGTACAGAGTTATCCACGTTGTTTTATTCCTACTGCAGTTCGAACAAGTTGACGACCGTGTTCTCAAGTGAGGCTGACAACTCTGGCCAAATGCCAAGCATCGATGGCTCCGCCGCTCTCCTCTGCGGCCATTGTGCCATCGCACTCGCATTGTTAGCAATTTGCAGCGACTCACGAATGTAAGTCATTCGTACAATGACACTTTGGGTGCGGAGACAAAGGCTTAGTTCCACGGGCGACTTTTCCAGGGGATGCCATTGGGGGGATAGGTCCTCCTACTCCTACATGGAACAAAATGATGCTCTCGTCCCGAACAACAGCCAGGTGTTCGAGCCAGTGGATTTTTCAAACAGTTTCGATCATTTTCTTTGTGGTAGAAGAAATCGAGCTGCTTTTTTATCCGTGTACGTGGAAGACGCTGGCAGATCTGGTTGGCATGCATCGCTGACAGTTCATGCCGCAGCCAGCCGAGTGGAATGCTTTGTCGGTTTGTCAAGTTGCGTAATTTGTTTGCAACTTCAGGCCACCCGGCAGCACCCTGCACCACCCACTCCACCCACAGCACCCACACCACCCACTGGGCGCATTGTGTAAGCGATTTCGGGATGAATCGCTGCCTACTTATTTGTTTTGTGTCCCGACCGAAGAGGAGCAAAAGAAAACACTCTCGAATAAAAACGATGCCACGCCATCGGAAATGTAAGGCAATGTGCCTGCCGTCCAGTTCATTGACATTATAATCCACTGGATGCCAAAAAAAAAAAAAACAAAGAACACAGAACACAAGAGCCCAAAGACACAAATGGAAACAACTGAATGAAATTCGGGCTGAGATAGTTTTTTAGCCGCCATGTGTGTGTTTGCGACTCTCTAAGCGGATATCCTACTTAATTTTGGATTTGTGTTGGCACTCAGTGAAAAGTTCCTATAATTCCCAGATCATATATCACATTTATGTCTATCTAATCGTTGTACAATGCTGTGACTCAAGTTGCGTGTAGAGCTCTTAGTAAGATTACAAGCTTACCATTCTACATCCGAAGAAAATAATAAGTAATGGCATTACATGTTCAGGTTAGTGACCCAAAGATCTGTTTATATATGCTTGTTTCGGTAACTACGCCTCTAAGAAGCCATCGCAAAATGCAGGTTATGGAAAAGATTAACTACGTTCCAGTGAGAAGTATCTAGTAGTTTCATTCCCAGGTTAGTAGGAAAAGGATAAGATCATACGGTTGCAGAGGGATCTACTTCTTTGCTATACGATATATGCATTTCGGGAGAGTACAGATAAGATAGGATAGAGTTTGGAAACAATGAATAATGGCAAATCTGACCTTTGCTGTGGGCGCGTCAGAACCGCTGGATGTTTGCCGCTGTAACGGTTTCTTACTGATTATATTGACGACTTACAGTTTTACAGTTTTACAGTTTTAAAGTTTTACAGTTTTAGGGGCTCTACTGAGGATCCAACACAGAGGTTTCAGATATCAAAAAATGATAAGGGTAAGGAATTGAGACATCCACACAGGGATAATCTTTAGCACATTTTAATATTATTTTTCATATTTTGATACGTATGTATATCTTCTTGGAATGTGAAACGGAAACGGAAGCTTAGTAACGCAGGAAATGGATTGCGAGACACGAAACACAAACACATTCGGTGGAGACACATAGTGTGGTGCTGGCTCTTTAAGATTTCGGTTGGTTTGGCTGGTATTTTGCGGGTCAGGATACAGGATAAATTGGATACATGGAACACACTTACTTGGCGTTTTTCGGTCGTCGTGCGTCGATCGGGAAGTCGTCGTCGAAATCCAAATTGAAGTCCTCGCCGAGATCATGCGGCACTAGTGGGGTGCGCTGGTGTGCAGGACTCGTGTGGTAGCCATCGCCTTGCAGCTGTTGCGAAAGATACAAAGGACATTTTCCATTAGATTTCAATGCCTACGGAGTCCCTTCCTGTACGACAATAAATTGGAATTTTATAAAGTACACAATGTACAAGGTGTATACACAAAGTTTCAACAAGGAATGAATATACATATGTTACAAAGGGAATTTCCCAAAATTATCAAAGAGCGGTTAGGAATCTCCCAATAAGATCTGTAGAGATTTCACACGTAAAGGTTTCGATTTTGTTTAAAAAAGTTTGTTAATTTTAGTCCATTCACAAAAGAAGGTTTCACAATTGCATGCATTTCGAAAAAAAGACGTTAATTCAATTCCAATTTATTGCAAATTATATTACTCATAATGTTTGGCTGTTTTCGTTTTGATTTTCGATTTCGAGGAACACAAAGTTAAGGGCGAATCGGTAACTCGTGCAAGGATTTTGTTGGTTGAAGTTTTGGATCCGTTTCGAATTCTTTGGCTAAGAAGAAAGGCTGTTAAAACAATTTATTATTTGGCCACACACAAAGACACACACACTGATTAAAGATTGAGGAAGGGTTAAGAGTTTAATTCATATGCAATATTACAAGCTTCTTGAACTCCAGAAAGGAGTTTGGAGTTCAACAAAAATTGTTTTAGGCTGTACAACAGTAAGCACAACGAGAGTATTGAGTATTGTGTTATGTGGGGCTGAGTGTGTTTCGATTTGGATGTGGTTAGATGGTTTGGATGGTATTTTATATTGCATATGAGTTGGGAGGGGGCAATCCTTGTAGCGAGTGTATCGAAGGCCCCTACCTTCACCACAGTGCCGACCTGGTTGGATTCGGATGCCGATTGGCGGTTGTCGAGCAGATTGGCCCGCTCCATGTTCTCCAGTTGAAGAGTCTCGCGTGGCTGGTCCAGAAGTCTTTCGCGCATCTCATGAATGTAGGGACACCGCTGCATTCCTCTCTCTCTCTCGCTCGCTCGCTCCCGGCTCTCTCCTTCTCGCTTCCCTATCTGTCAGATACAATTTCGGTTATAGACTCGACCTGCCGCGGAATACAATTGATGCGGTTGAACACTTCTAGCGGCTTAGCGTTCTACTAATGACGAGCAAGCTTCCAGTGCGATCGGAGTTACTTTCATGTACACCCGCCGTATACGTAATTATATATATGTTTTTGTAAGCTTGTATAAAGTTCCTAGGGAGGTAATCGCTACGATTGGCTCAACGTGATAAATCAGTCATTCGGTTTGCAGCAGCAGTTAAATACTAAGACTTTTGGTTGCGCAAATTGGTCGTTCTGAAACGAGATCAAGTAACAGAATGACCTTAGATAAGAGCAGTGCTTTAAGAATACAGAATATCAACATTTGGGAGAACAGTATATTATATAATAAACAAGTGTGTAACTGAAAGAAAGCTAATATTACATGCCCAATACATCGTTTTAATGTTTTTGCCTATGAGTTATTTTTAAATGGGTCAACACATAATAGTTTCTGATTTTACGCGATCTCCTCGAAGCATTTCGCTTTCGCACTCGCTCGCATTTAAGTTACGCATTGCCCCATTTATATTGCACAGAGTCCAAAGTGAGGGGGTTCCCAATGGGCTTCTATCGAGAGTTTATATCGCCACACGACCTCAGATTCTGTGCTTCCACACGCACGAAAAGCGATAAAGAAAATAAACATTATGGAACAATATTCTTCGGCGTGCAATTTCCACCCACACGTCCCCGTTTTCCAAAATACATTGATGGCAACATGTAGTTTTACTAATGCAGTTATATATGAATTCCCGACTTTAATTCTAATTCTATATCCTCATCTATTTGCAGCTCTATCTCATTCGGGTTACGGATCTAGAATCTTAAACTTGCAGAGATTCCATAGCCACCCTCGTCAATCTGTCAAGATCTGTACATATTATTTGGCACACGTCCATCAGCATCATCTTGGCGGGTTGGATGGGTCTTGATTCGATCGGATTGAATGGCCGGCGATTGAGGGTCATAAAATTACGCCAGTTTTCCTTCTGGAATTTCCACTTGTTGCTCTGGCTTCCAAGGGCAAAGGCATTTATTTTTAATTCCAAGCGGAGGCATTATTTTTGTGATGGTCTCGATTGGGAATTTTTTTGTGGAATTTGGCAAGAAATCGTAAAAACTAAGAGATTATTCATGTGCTTTGATCCACACAGAAGGAGTTAATTTTTCCCTGGAATTCATAAACCGACATTATCGCACGAAAATGCATTCTTTGAAAGTCGTCTGGGCTCATTGACCATACTTTAAAATTGGATCTCAATATTTACAATCAGCGATCTCCAACTGGAGAATGAAGTGAGTTTGCGAGCCTTTTTTGGCAGCTCTGTTACCTTTTTTCTCGGCTATTTAAGCCGTTTTAGAGCGAATTAAGGCAACGGCGGCGGTCATAAAAAGCATTCTGGCCAGAGTGTTGCCTCCGTTTGTTTGCAAACGTCTTTCAGCAGTATTTGAGCTCGTGTTTCTTTGCTTTTTCCGTAGCTCAGTAGTTTTTCCATGCTTTTCCAGGGTCATTTGCCAGCCAGAATTGTCGCATGTTCTCGTTCGGCTGGCAGCGAATATCTGGCAGCAACCAACCAACACAGTGTCGCAAATTGAGAGCTTGGCTAATACCATTAACATTTGATGGCTAACACCTCCCCACACTGGCGCAAAAACTAGCCCACTGCTGTTAATTGAGAGCTGTCTTATTTCGGCTTCGGTGCAGCATTATTGCCAACAATCGAATCGAATCGCTAACTTGACCTGATTAGCGTCGAATCGATTACCATACTAAATTCCAGAAAAAACAAAATGAACCAACTTACTTCGCTGCCTCTTCGTTTTCTCTTTTTTTCATTTGCCAATCAAGCGGCTAACAAGGTTTTCCCTTTTTAAGATCCGAGAGGAGAGGCCTTGCAGTCACCGAACGGGAAATGTGAGTGAGCCCAACTGTCTGGTTTTCTGGCTTTCTGGCTTCCATTGTAAACAAACTGTGCCACTTGAATTGGATTGGGAGATCATTGCTGCTCCGCTTAGTTTATGACAGTGTCCGATGACAGATTGCACACAAATGACAGCCGACCCGCCACCCTGCACCCTGCAGCCTGCACCACTCGATTGCCACCCCACCCACCCACACAGAAGCTCAGTGGATCGGCGCCTCGGGGAAGACAAAGGAGGAGGCGCTCCACAACAACCAACCACAAAATAGATGAATGAAAAGGGAAATACGGAGGGGAAAAGCTGATCTATGCAGATCCATCCGCGGATGTTCCAGAGACGGCGCCCACATGGAGAACCGGATATGCAATTGTATACCGTGAAGAAAGAAAACGAATAGGAATCGAAATGGAAATGGAAATGGAAATGCGAATGGGAATGGGAATGGGAATGGAAATGGAATCGGCCAAAGGGGCAGACGAGTGGAAATGGGCTATGAAAATGAGCATGAGAACTGTCAGCAGATGGATGCAATCCGTGAAAATAGGGTGACCTTATAAACAAACCCCGACTGCAGTCGCCCGTCTGGCAGCACACTCAGAGAAATGGTGGGTAATTAATTAATCAATTATACATATGTATCTGATTTTTGTTTAAATTTTTTTAAATATTCCTAATTAAAAGAAAATCCTAGAATATGTTAAAATATATGTACCTTAATTCTTTGAAATCACCTGAGCCGCCTCTTAAGTTCCGAGTGCGTGATCCACAATGGGTTGCTTTTCGGTTGCTTTTCGGTTGGGTGGGTGGTGCGTGGTCACTCACCCACTGATTCACTGACTCACCTACTCGTCAGTCAGCCAGTCAGCCAGTTGTCCATCCCCCTAAGGTCGTCGGCTCATTAGTTAATATGCATGCAGGCACACAGTGTGCAGGGTATGCACTTCGGTTTGTTTTTGTTTTGTTCCTGCTCTTCATATTTTAAGCTGGCCACCAGCCACCATGGGCAAACCACCACCTCACCAACCTCATCAACCTCATCATCGCCAAGGAAGCACCGCACCACCCACTCGGCGAACCACCCACCCGTCCGCTGGGCAACAACTAACCACCGCTAGAAAACGCATGTCGCGGTTTCAACCCTCACAAATGTGCTTCTGCATTTCGGACTTTTATGCCTTTTATGCTACCGAACATTAGCGTCGATTTTGTCGATTTTGTCGATAAGAGTCGACGCGAATCGGTAGTAAACAATCGCTGAACCCAACCCATGGATCGCTTTTGATGACAGTGAAAACATAATTCCTTCAAATTTACTCAGTGATCAACAGAAGATGTCAATGAGTCCCCCTAAATATCGGTAGTTCTACTCAGAGCTTATTTGCACTCAAAGTATAATACTAACTTTAACTTTAAGTGGGAATAAACTCAGCTGACATTTGTGCTTTTACTCAGAATCAGCAATTCACGATCTCTAATCGATGCTATATAATGAACGATTCACAAGCCGAAATGACTCAAACATCAACAATTCCTCCTATTGTTTTTATTGCTAAGACAAAGCAATAAATAAAGACTAAAATATAGTTAGCTTTAATGACTGAGATCGTTTGGGAATACTCTATAGCGCATCGGCAAGTTTGACCCAATTCTGGGGCCTGGTTCGGTTACTTCTGGCATATCCGGCCTTTAAATGCCAGTTTTTTGTTTGTGCGGTTTTCCTCAGGCCGTCGTCTCTTGTGCAACCAAGATTTTCCGTTCGGGCCAGCACTTCTATGGGTTTACTTGGACGAAGGTAGCGGGAACCGAAAAGGAAAAGGAAAACCCAGCGACACCGAAGCGATTCCAATGTCTTTCTAATGGAAGACCAAGAAATGTGTGTGTAACCCGAGAAGGGCAGCAGTTTGATTGCTTTCAAGTGTGGATAGGGGCGGTGGAGGGGGATCAAAGAGCTTAGAGTTACAGGCGGACCTGCATAATGCTAACTACATATAGTACATCCATGATCTAAGGAAGACGAAAGTACTCATCATTGGGCACCGGAAACCATGTTAAATATTAAGTCACTTGAGTTGATGATCATTGATCACAAATACCAGAAGCAATTTCTAAGTGGGGAGGCCTCACAAGGCAATTACTATCTTGAGGCGCTCGTTTGAACAGGCTCTACTGTACTTGGCTCAAATTGGGCTGATGTCATACTGAAGGGGTTATCTTGATCCATCACTTGACTTACTTTTTGGGGGTTATATCCTGGCGTTCAGCTCATACGCGTGCTCTTCTTCTTGTCCCTGCCTTATTCTCCTCCTTTCCCTTTTGCGTTGTCCTGGCTTCTTTGTTTTGCTTCCGCTCGAGAAGAAGAAGAAGACGCCAAGGGGGCGGGGGCGTGACGTCTGTTGCGCGCGCGTTTATGTTTATTTCGTTTCGCTTTAATTCAGCAGTTTCAGCAATAGCTCTATTGTCCTGAGTTTTTGGCCAACAAATAAGAGTTTGTTGATTGACTTGGCCGGAAACAAGCTGAAACACACACACACACACACAGGCACATGGACAGCAGACAAAATGGACGACGCACTCCCAAATGTTTGATCTCCTCTTTCACTGCGTCAGTGTTTTTAGTTTACTGTATAGAGTATGTTTTAGCACTTCTCTCACTGCACATTTACAAAAACAAAGCAAATAATATGTATGGGTTCGAAAGCAAGCAATTGCTAAGAACAACAATAACAATAACCTGAATAATAGCAATTACCAATACAACAATTACTAAGTGGCATTAAACGACTAACTAGCTGGGGTAAATTTTGTTGCAAATCGTTTAATTCTTAGCGGTTCGGGCTTCCCAATTGTTGCTCTCAAGCGTTGCTATTATTCCTTGTCTGACTGTTATTCTTTTAGCTATTTATTTGTTGTTATTTCTCGGCACCGGTCTGAAGAGACGTGGTGTTCCATCACTCGCAAAATTTCGCTGTTGACTGAAATTCCCAACTTCCAACGCAACTAACAACACCGAAACGCAAACGCAAAAGCCAAGCAAAGCCGTGGTAAAATACGATAAGGTAGTCTCGTCGGGCCCATCAGTCCCGTTAGAGCGCCACCCGAACGTAAACGTGTGCGTTTTTCCCGAGGCGTTTTTTTCAGCCTGGTTAACAGAAACTTTACATCGAACAAAGTTTTTCCAAACGGGTAAATTCTGTTTCTCTGAGTGAACGCGAAAGAGCCGAGAGCAACACCCGATTGTTAAGGGACCGAACGATTTTGAACCCGCACACAGCCTTTCAGTCCGATGAAACAGCTGAATATCGTAACTTTTACGATACTCACGGTATGCGCCGTCTGTTGCTTCAGTTCTAATACCGTTTGTTGTTGCTGCTGACTGTGCATCACGTTCTGCCGCCTTGTTGCTGTTGCTTTTGATCTGCCCACCACCTTTCTTGTTTTTTTTTCAACTGCACTGATCGAAATTCATTTCTAAACAAAATAGTTTTTTCGACTTCTGGCGACCAAAAGGTTGTTTGAGTATTTAAAAAAGAAACATAAATATTGGTGAAATATTTTTCCCATATTCTGCTGTAGTTTTTTCCATTAACCCCATTAGATGTACCGCAAGAGTTGCGAGCCCAAATGTCTCGGGAATGTGGCTATAGCACGAGAGCATATAGAATTGGCTATGCAACAATGGCAAACAATACTAAAACCCATCCTGAGAGAAGTACATAAGTCATCATCGTGAATTGAAATTAATTATCGTCCAAATAAATATTCCTTCGCATGCTCGTGTGTCCTTAGGAACTTAGGGAAGTCGAGGAAAATCGTATGCCCCAAGTTTAAGGAGCGGGCTTTTCTGGGTGTTCTTTAATGTACGGCGGCGTTATCAGATTATCGCCCTCGGAACTGGCCCCCCGAAAAGGGGACTTCCCCCGGGGACACGTGTATATGCAGCGATGGAAGATAATGGGCCGACAGGGTGCGCCACGGGACGAGGCGAGGTTGAGCCAAAAGTCGTGCTGCCAAGATGCACACAAGTTTTTGGGGTAGGTGCCCCTGCGTTAGTTCGAGGTGGGAAAGTGCGAAAAGGGGGCGGACGGGGCGGACGGGCGGGGGTGGGCGAGTTCTTCCTGGTCCAAGTGCAGCGCATGCGTTGAGTCCTGGCAAAGGACATTCACCTCTGGGCCTCAGTTTGCCGCCAAACAGGGTTCATTTATGTATGCAAACTGCTCGCATTTGTATCTAATTGCAGGCGTGCCCACATAAAAAACAAAAACAGGCACACACCCCCGCAAATAAATACAATAAACAATAAATGGATAGGAAGTTAAGTGAATTAGGTCCGGCTCCTGGCTGGAAATCTAGTAAAACATGGTAACAGTAACCTAGGGAAGGGAATTTTTAATAATTTCGCTATTGAGCCAATTATATTTTTTGTCTCGTATTAATAAACGATATTTGTCTTATCAATACATAAGTATAATTTACAAGAATAGTGTGGAGATAGTTGCAAAATATATTTTAAAGGATTCTCATAATCCTATAGATGTGTTACCCCTTTACGCATCGCGACTCTCCCTCTTTTCGTGTGTAAGCATGTATTTGAGCGGTAACCTAGTTTTTGGCCAGCTCGCTTGGCCAGGGCGTGGTTCAAATCCCGGGTAACCAGTTGCCAGATGTATATACCCAAGGATGTGGTACATGGCATCCACAGATTGCAGTGCCAGTCAGGGGAAACGGCATCCACAAAGGCCCAAAGAGAGAGAGGGGGCTCGAGAGAGATTGGGGAAATCCTCAGGCTGTCTCGCTCTTGAGCATGCAAGCACGGGCGGCGGCGGGGGAACTCCCTGAAAAAGGGGGAGTGGCACCAACACATCATAGATACATGCCCAAGGTTTGGGATACGAATGCGAGTAAACGGCTACAGCTTCAGTTCTGTATCTGTATCTGTATCTGTAACTGTATCTGTAACTGTATGTTTAACTGTATCTGTATCCGTACCTGTATCTGTATCTGTACCTGCTACTGCGCCCATTCCCCAGTCTAGAAAGCAATGCCACTCAAAAGCGGTCCTTTCAGCCAGCCCGAAACCCCTCAAAGAGCCCCGAACCAACCTGAATACTTGAGAAGCACTCCGGAGCTCCGGAAAGCGCACTCCTTAATGCTATGTGAAACATTTAGTTCTTCATGACCCACATGCGAAAAACAACGCCATTTTCCATAGTAATCGAATTACGTTTCAATTTATTAATCATATTTATTGCATATTTACTGCTCTTTTATAGTCAATATAGTTTTCTTTCGGGTTTTGGGGGACTGGTGGTGTATTTTTTTTCGGGGAACACAGAACATTCACGACTAGTTTTATCTTGGCTTTAACTTTATCTTCATAGTCATTATTGTAAATACATATAAATACTTGTAACACTTAATACAAATTGCTTTTCCTAGGCTTAGCCAAGTTGTATCGGTTGAGTACTATGGGAAAAAGTTTCAAAGCGAATGGGAATGGCATAAGCCGGAAGATATTTTACTGAACAGGCGTAAAAGGTTATTTACCTGCCTATAAAGATATCAAAATTGATTTAGCAAATGGGATTGCAACAGTGAAATATCAGGAGAAATGCCTGGAAAATACATTTCTTGAGCTAAGAAAAGAATATGATGGAATATAGCAGGAAGAGATTTGACCTTTCAGGAATCCAAAGAAATATTTGAGAGGAAATTGAGGAAAGAACAGACAGAACATCTAGACACAAAAAATATCTTTCAATGACTGCCTGAACCATTTATAGATACGTAGTTTAAAGAAGAGAAGGGGTCGAAAATTCAGATCTCTGCTAGAATTACAAGTCCCATAATTACGATTACTACGTTTATTTGGATTTTCCATTTTGAGTTTTATAAGAACATATAATGGTTTTCGGGTATAACTTGAATATTTCGATTGTTTTTTTGGATTTTATTCGCTTTTATTCGCTTTGGATAAAATGTCCCTTTGCTGGTTTCGTTTATCGTTTCGATTCTACGTGGAATAGGAGTTCCTCTAGTGAGTTCGATCTCTTGTCGTAACTACTTAGTTTCAATAAATTTTAATATAATATAATCAGCTGTAAATACAATACAATTTCCAATTTTGATTTTTCGCTGAATGTGCGATTTTTTGAGCAGTGTTCCGAGACGGTGTACAATAAATACATGTAAGAAAATGCATATAAATTTGCAGTTAATTCTAGTTAAAAATTTAGTACGAGTATAAAATTGAAATAACTAATTTAATATATATATATTTTGTTGTTCCTTAAGATTTTTGTTCGTGTTTTTGGTTTTGATTTCGATTTGGCATTCGTAAAACTTTGAATGTACAATGGATGAGTCAGTAGATTCAAAAAACTCGAACTCAACGGGAAAGCAATCAAACATGAACATAGGCTACGTAAAGAACTCTTTGGCATTGAAAAATGTATATCGCATTGTATGTGTAAGTGGAGTCTATATCCTAAATATCTGCTTATACCATTATGGTAGACAAAAAAAACACAGACATACATATTTCTACCTTCTTAAATAGATTTGTGCGTCTTACAGTAAGTGATTCATTGGAATTTCCTTCGCAATCTCTTGATTTGTCCTTCTACAGCTGTCTTTTGAGCTTTCATAATACTGAAGTGGGATTCGCGGGGGTTACTATGTAGATTTGGACCTGGAACAAGCACAAACGTATCACATAAAAACCTATTTGGGCGAAACAAGGTTCCTAACAAGATGTCTCTTACTTCGAAGTTAAGTTAACAAATTCAGTTAAACGCTACGAGTATGCTAAAAATCAGGAAACAGGAATCACAACAGGGGCTCAAATGATTCATGGGTATTCATGGGGACTCGAAGGGGGTTCTTCCTTTTTTTCCGTTCTTGCAATCTGGGCTGAACATCTACATATGCATGTGAGTATTTATCCTTAGGTGCTAGGCTATGTGAACCGTCTACTTTGTAGTACAGCGTTGTCTAATAACTTTTGCGGTTCCTCGATTTCTGGTGGGGTGAATGACTCTCCTGTCCTTACTCCTCTGCTCCTCGCTCTTCACTAACTCTCCTCTCCTTCCTTTGGGTTTCTCTCGCCAACTATATGTTTCTGAGATATATCAAGTATGCCTTGGAACGCCGACTAATTATCCTTGTGTATATCATTTAAAGAACTCGCCTTTGGGGTTATTCATATGTCCGGCCTATCGCTAGTTTGCGTCGTAATGCGGTTGGTTCACAACCCGATTTGCTGATCCTCAGTCAAGTGCTATATATAAATATATAAAATGCTGTTTAGTTATTTGCTCACGACGCCTTCCAACATTTGTCGAACGAGATATCTCTGCTTTGGTTTGATTGGGTTCGAATGCAAGGGCTACACATGAATTTATCTACGGTACGTGTTATGCCTACAATAACTTTTATATCGCTCTTACTGCGCTTGATTGAGTAAAACAGAAGTCATTGCAAAGGCAAACATAAAATGTCAGGGATTTTATGGTTTTCTGGTTCGTTTTACTTGCATTTCATAAGCTTTGCCTCTCCAATACGAGCTCAACGCGTTTTCACTTGATATCAACTCTCGAGAACAGTTGTTGGTAAAAAGGTGAATATATTGCGTATACGCCCTAGTGACAATTGTTCGGAAATGCATTGCGTATACGCCCTAGTTACATTGCTTGGGGTTCTCCTATCGATGTACCTCCGCTACAGGGGCTAAGATCTCCTTGAATCTCTTTGACAATCTCCCTCAATTCTAACACTGTCACCTAACTTTGCTTTCTAACGTTTCTCTAGGTGGCTCTAGGATATGTTTTCAGGGCTTCCACACTTGCATCCGCTTGCTGTTTGTGTTTGTGTTCTGGACTTTGATTTGGATTTGGTGGTTCTCGAAGATGGGCTCTTAGTTCTCTTGGTGGGTGGATTGGTGTCGATTGGTGGTGGTGCGGTGCTCCCCAGCGGATGCAAGCCCTAGACAAAGCTGAGCTCATGGCCGCTGATCGCGTCGATGAACTCAAAGTGCGCGTAAACTCATTCGCCGTTGATCACGTAAACCGGACAGAAGGCCTTCTCCGTGTTGAGGGACTGCGGCGACAGCGCCCGGACGGGTGGCCTCAGTTGGCCACCGCAGCTGCTGCCGCCGCCAGTCCTGTCCTGTGCTCCCTCCGCTCCTGCTCCTGCTTCTGTTCCTGATCCTGCTTCTAATCCTTCTACTCCCACTGCTCCCGCTGGTCCACCATCCTCCGCAGAGTTGCTACCGCCGCTCTCGCCGCTGTCGACCTCCTCGACGGTCTCCAGCTCGCCGCCAGCCAGCGTCGTGGAGCAGTAGCAGTAGGACAGGTTCGTCTTGAGGTCGTCGCAGAATTGCTGCTGCTGCGCAATGCTCTGGATGCGCGAGCGGGCGAACTCTCACATGTACGTGGGCTTCAGCTTGTAGGCCCGCTTCCAGATCTCGCAGAGGCACACGGTCGAGTGGAAGCGGTAGAAGATGGCCAGCGGCATCGAGACGTGCGTGATGATCGTCCAGGCCCACAGCCCGTAGAAGTTCAGCTGGATGGGGTGCGACTCGGCGCGCGACTTCTCCAGGGTGCTGATGGCCCACATGGCCAGGTTCACCACCAGCATGAACGTGACGATCTCCCTGCCGGGCTTCTTGCGCAGGTGCTCCGGGCTGACGGCCTGCCGCCGGCTGGCGTCCAGGATGAACATCGTCTGGCAGGCGGTCTGCACGATCGAGGCCAGCGCATTGATGGGCACCAGCATGTCGTCGCTGCGCAGGGTGAAGTGGCCGGCGATCACCGTGAAGATGTTGTACAGGAAGGAGCCCGTCTGGGCGCCCACCAGCAGGATGTCGTCCAGCGAGAAGCTGCGGTAGGCGTCGTACTGCAGATGCCGGATCTGGATCATCCCCACCAGCGTGGCGATGGTGGCCGTGCCGTAGATGAGCAGCTCGCAGATGGTCACCTCCGTGACGGCCATGGCCACGAACTCCGGCCGCGAGATCAGCACAAAGAAGATGATTAGCGAGATGATGGTCAGCACCAGGATGAGGATGCCCACGAAGAGGCCCTTGTGCGCCCGGGCGCAGTCCACGGAGTAGTGGTGCGGCGACCGCTTCATCGGCGAGCTGATCATGTCCGGCCGCTGCGGCGCCGGCGTCTGGGGTCGCGAGATGCTCCGCCACATCACGTAGAGGATGGCCGCGCAGATCAGCGAGTACTCGATGGTGCAGGGGAACAGGAACGGCGACGCGTCCTGCACCAGCGTCCCGATGATGTTCGTCCGCCGGCACTCGAAGATCTGGTAGGGGCCCTTCAGGCCGCGCGGCACGCGCAGATGGGCCGTCGGGTCGTGCTGGATGATGGCGTGGCCGCGCGAATGCCCCGGAATCCGGTGCGAGATCCTCAGCGTGCGGTTCTCCGGGTTGTAGAAGGTGAGGATCTCGTGCTTCGTCTCCTGGATGAGCACGTTCAGCCAGACGGCCAGGTTCGTGCCGATCATGTGCATCAGGCCGAAGCGGGCGATGATCTTGTAGCGGTAGACCTTGATCTGCTCGTTGTTCAGGAAGATGAAGTACATCTGGATGAAGATGAAGGCCATCCGGGTGGCCGGGGTCAGGGCCAGCAGCACGTTGTGGCACTTGGTGTCCGGGTTGAGTTCGAAGTACTGCCCGAACTCCAGGCCCGAGTAGATCATGCTGCCGATTCCAAAGGCTGCAAGGGGATGGTCGATTTGAAGGCTTCTTTAACCACAGAGCAGAACAGTGGACACTCACCCACGGCGCCCATGCGCAGATAGAAGCTGCCGTAGTGGGCGTCCCGCCTTCCGAGGGGCGCCAGCAGCGAGGGTCGCCGCACGGGGATCGGCGGGGGAAGGCGGTGGTGCACGGAGTTGCTGTCCGTGTCCGACTCGTCCATGCTGTCCGTTCCACTCGCCTTCGTCGTCGACTTGTTCGGCGAGGTGGCTGTGGAAATGGAAGGTGGATGGGAATATGGATTGGATTGTAAGGATGAGTATCACATCGATCCCGAGCTGCTCCCGAGCTTACCAATTGGCACCGGCAGTTTGGGGCGTCCCCACAGCAAGGTGGCGTACATGAAGAGCAGGAATATCATGCTGCCGATGTACAAGTACAAATAGTACACCTAAGCGAATGATTTGCCCATTAATTGTTCTTATTTACTGCCTAGGAGTGCATCGTACTCACCTCATAGAAGGAAGGTGGGATGTAGGTTGATATAACCTCAGCCATGGGAAAGGCTATCCCCATAACCACCAACAGCTTGCCGTACAGGGCGGAGAAGAGGGTCGCCAGGGCATCGCCGCTGCAATGGAAGCCAAGCGATATTTGTACGCACTTATTATATTTCACTTACTTATATCAGGTTTAATGCACACTCAGCGAACTAAGAAATGAACTAACAATGCCGTTTTCTAGAGAATTAAACTACAATTTCATAGAGGTGTTCGGTACAGAGGTATTCGGAGAGTGGTAAGGTCACAACATTGCAAAAAATCGACTAAACATACAAAATTTAATGGTTAGAAAATGAAGTAACAAACTTTTTGAGGTACTTCAAAGTCGGAGATGAAATAAAAATTGTATTTATAAAATTTATATATATAACTTTTATATTATAAAATTATATATATATATATATATATATATATATATATATAATAGGTATACTTGTTAGTAAAGGGTTTTGGGGAATCCGCAAACCGATTTTTGGGAAACTTAAAGGAATGTATGTATGGTATGGTATGGTATGGTATGGTATATAGTACATTATCGAATCTGGTTACTCTCCACAAGTAGGGGGTACTTACGCCTTGACCCTCGGCATCGGCGGATAGACGAAGGAGGGCCGGTGGGTGCGCTTGATGGCGGGCAGCACCGGGTAGTTGGTCAGCTGGTGCGAGTGGTACATCAGGGCCAGCTGTCCGTCCGCCTGGCTCCCACTCAGCGCCGGCTGGGAGCTGCTGCCTCCGGGCGAGGATGGCGGGTCGGAGCTGTCGGGTCCTCCGCCTCCCCCACCGCCTCCGATGTCCCGATCGCCGTCCCCATCTCCGCCACCGATGATGAGGCCACTGGGCCCCGGGGTCTCCTGGATGTTGCCCTTGTGGCTGGGCAGGCTCGACTCGTCGATGGTGACGTGGTGCTGCGATCCCGAGCGGGCCGAGATCCTGCCCGGCGAGATGGCCACCACGGGCTCGGCGGGCGCGGCCGCCAGGGAGCCGCTGGCCACTGGAGCGACCGGAGCGGCCGAGGCGGCCATGAATAGCCGCCGGCGGTCGCCGGGCGAACTGCTGCTCCCGCTGTCCCCTGGCGGGGGCGGGGGCGGGGCGTAGCTGCTCGGCACGGTGGGCGTGGGCACCCGCACACTGTGGGTGTGGTGGTTCTGGTGGTGCGGATGCTGGAACTGGTGCGGCAAGTGGTAGTGGTGGTGGCTGCTCGTGAAGTGCGCCCGCGGCTGGCTGGTGACCACTGGTGGTGCTGCCGAGGAAGCCGGCGGCTTCTGCTCATCCTGGTAGCTCACGGTGGCTATCGGCGGCGCTGCTGACTCCGCCTGCGGCTTCGGTGGCTCCGGTGGCTCGGCGGCACTGCTGCTCGAACTGGAAGCGGAGCGAGAGGGAGAGGGAGAGGGAGTGGGAGAGGGAGAGGAGGATGATGGGGAAGAAGCGGATGCGGTCGACATTAGTGGGTTCTGCGAATATATATTGTGCGTGGCTGGACCTGTGGACCGACGTGGGCTCACTGAATCGGTGGACTGTGGTGGCTTTGGGCCCAGCAGCCGGTTCTGCAGATACGAATGCAGATGCGAGCACCGCGAGGGGCTTAATTAAATAATGGTTTCCCCTCGAAACCATTTATATACCTATATATCGTGTGTGCGGGGATTTATTGTATCGGATGCCAGACATTTCCGCCGCGGATACATTGAACTTGGTGGCCAGTCGAACCAAGATGGCACTATGGTACATTATTTATAGTCACAGGGATTCCGGGGAATCTCTGGCCTTCCGAAAGAGCCACCTTCGCCTCCAATTCCTCCCGCCGGCAGACTAAGTGTGCGCTGCTAAATTGCGCTTAATAACAGATACAAATAGAGATGCAGATACGAGTACCCACACTGATCCAGATCCAGATTTGGATTCCAGATTCCAGATTCAGATTCAGATTCAGATCGAGACAAACACATAGAGCTGGCGAAACAAAAAAGAACAATACCCACTCGAAACAGAACCTAATGAAAAGGCCCCAACCACTCGCCATTCGCCATTCGCCATCGCCACGGGCAATTGAAACTAATCGCCGTCTAGTGGACGCAGCTCAAATCGGGATACAAATGCGAAGAGTACAGTGCGTTTCATGATTATTATGATCATGCCTCCTCAACTAGTAGTTAATCCTTTCGCTTACTTTATCGTCCGATAGAAATGTTATATTAAAACCTGTTTAATTTGCTGTTGGGTTTCAATATGGATTTTACAGATCGCTTTATAGCAATGACAGGTATGTTTAGAGGTTTGGAGGCGGCACTCACACAATCGCAGCATGTTTGCTGGCTAAATGGAAATATGAAATATTTTCAGTACGTGATTGGGATGTTTAATTAAGCGGCAAGCGAGGCGGCGTGCACATGACACAACTGGATGACAGGTGGACCTGGTGTGGGGGGCTCTTCTCGAGGGGCCACATCCTGCTTCACACGCTTCCCATGCCACAGTGCCACCATGCCACCAGAACCGAGTACGCATCATTTGTTTGCATTCAAATCCCGAACCACTCGAAAGAAATGCTGGGGCATCATTACGACATCTGGCTGCGGATCACAAGATGTCGCATCATTCAGAATTCACAGACAGGTGCAGAGAAAATATGGCAGCCTCAACAACTGCTTAGCTAAATAAATAGTGAATGCTTCGCAGAATCACTTGTGAAACAATCCAGATTTTTGTTCAGTGCGCGGCAGCACGGCAACAAGTGCTCAGTGGAGGGAAGCGGGATTTCTGAGGGGTTTGGGCTTATAAATAACCTTGACATCAGGACACAGTCACCAGCACAAACAGCAGCAGAGGCAGAGGCAGAGACAGTGGTGCATGCACCTGGTGGCGCAAGGAGCGGTTGCAATTGTGTGGGTCATGCACTCAAGCGCTCTTGTAATCTGATTTCTAAAAGCGTGCTGCATACTCCACGGCGTTCCCTTTGCCCTGCACTCCTTTTTTTCGGGGTTGTTAACCCGACACGACGGCAACCTTTTGCTCCCGCTCGAGTGTTGCATAAATGGATGAACAACCAGCCCGCCCTTCCACCTTTCCACCGTTCCACCTTTCATCCCCTTCCCCACCTGGTTTGGTTTTTTTCCCTCAAAGTCACAGAGGGCAAACAAACGCAGCCTGTACAGTGAGCACTCGACGGAGGGCCACTCCACGAGTAACTCTCAATAAAAATTGGAATTGGTTGCGGAGTACAAAGAACTCAAGTCAGCCTTTCAAAAGGACGTAAGTTGATTCAACTACAAATAGTTTGGTGAATCGAATAAGCGAAGAATGCTTTCCCTGGGATTTAATAGCCAGCCGGGGACACTTATTGATGCCCGGAAAGATGAATCGATCGGAAAGTACTGGTTACTCAACCGGACACCATCAATCCGGCGACCTGTCAGTCAGTCGGAGCAGTTAATTTCCGGCTCGACAGACGGGGGACATCAAGTATTCATGAGTGCGAATGCATTCACCCCGGATCCGAAGTTCTCTGTTTGGAGTCCAAACAAAAGACGGCTTGGAAATGTCCACTAATGGTGCTCCTTGCATTCGGACAAATGCAGCAACCGCAGAGGCAACACAAAAGTCGCCAGCGAGCACATGGCGCAAGGAACTTTCAATTGACCTATTTTGCGGTGGTTCTCTGGGGGGTTTTTCGGGTGGTCTCCAGGCGTTTTTTTTTAGGCTCCCTGGTCCCTGTTTTGCGGTGGCTTAGAGCAATTTGCAGTTCAGCCGCGCCGCTTGCATTTGGCGCCACAATAATGGGTGTGGCAATGGCCGAGGACAACAACCTGCCAGGGCATCCTCTCCAGCTCTTCCACCTCTTCGCTTGGTTGCAACAATTTGTGCATGTCAAGCCAATCGAGCAGGTCGTGCTCGCCCGCAAGGGCCACCCGCAACCCGCGGCCCATCGTTCCTTCCACTTGCCGCGGCTGCACACCAGGCGTATACGCACTCGAAATGAATCATACGCCCTGTGGCCCTTGCTCTGCACTATGCATTTTGGGAGTATACAAACGAAGGAATGCCTTATCAAAAGCCCTTATATTGTCTGTATTGATTAGTTGGGGTACTATTATTATCATTCTACCCAAAAGTAATCATTTAAAGGGTACAACTGATTCCTGCAGGCGCATTACTTGACACTCCGGGTGAACCCGGTTGCTGGCTTTTTCTCTCGGTATACGGTATACGGTATACGGCTCTGTTTACGGCGTGAAACTTGTCAGGGTGTTGCTCTGGAAACGTGATGTTTAATTAATGCGCAGGAGAGGCGGCAGATGCAGGCAGACAACGGCAACGCCAACGCCAACGCCAAAGCGAAGCAGCGAAGCGAGCGCAGATGGAGCATTTGCACGATGGGAGGATAGGAGGAGATCGGGGAGGACCAACAGGACAGGGAATGAACTGGCGCGATGGAAGCACGAGTACATGAGTTAAACAGTTTTGTTGGGCTATTAGCAGCGACTAATGGAGGCTGACGACGAGAATGAGTTCACCGTATGTTGTTAGATGAAATTGAGGATGGGAGATGGGAAGAGAGGCGCGCGGCGGTCTAAGGACGATTATGCAATTAATGAAGTGCCCGAGGGAGTCCGACCAGACGAGATGGCTCAGTTAGATACGCGAAACGCGACAGGAACGCCCTGAGCCGTGCGATTAGAGGTTTTAAGGGCCTGAAACCCCCCAGCGATTTCGTCTTGAGTCGATGAGTATGAGTTTACCCAAAACTCGAGCGAAAATCGCTGTTCTTGTGGGTGCTCACAATCCAGTTAATGGTGCTTCTACCCTCCCGGACTTCTACCCTCCTGGACTTCTACTCACCCGGACATCTACCCTCCCGGACTTCTACTCACCCGGACTGCTCCTTGACTCCGGCTGCGACGCCCACGGCAGCGGCCGCGGTCTCGGCCAGCTTCGGCGGACTGCTGACCAGCGGCGGACTGCAGACCCTCGGCGGAGTCGTGATCCTCGGCGGACTGTGCATCTGGCGGGCCAGCTCCGGGGGCGGACTACGCATCAGCGGCGGCGAGGGCATCGCCGGAGCACCCTCTCCGGCGGGCGGACTCTGCACGCGCTGCGATCCGGACTTGATGGATCCCACGGGACTCCGCACCGACGCGTGTCCCTGCGAGCGAACGGAGGCCTGCGACTTCAGGGACGCCTGCGGCGAGAAGACCCCGGCTGCCTGGGCGGAGGCCACGGATCCCGAGCGGGATCCAATGCGAGAGCTAGCCCGTGATCCTGGCATCGAACCCTGCTGCGATCCCGACCGCGGCTGGGACCGCTGGCTGCCACTGCGACTCGGCCCGCGACTTTCGGGCTTCGGAGAGCCGCCTTCCCCGCCGACGGATGTGGAAATGGATCCCGTCAGAATGCTGGCCGGGCGCGGTGAACTGATGCTGTCGCCGGCCGGATCCTGCAGCGACTCCCTGTCCACGGATATCTCGTCCGTGCCCTTGGTCAGCTCCTCCTCCTCCTCTTCCTCGGGCTCCTGCTCCAACGGCGGTGGCGGTATGAAGCCCCTGTCCTCGTCCAGCTCTGCAAAGTGCTCGGGCGGAGGAGCTATGATGGAGGAGGCGGAGTAGCCGTTGCTTGGCGGTGTGGTTATGGTAGTGGACTCGTCTTCGTTGTCCAGCGAACGGCTGTAATCTTCGCGAGCGCCGCTAACGGGCTCCGGCTCGGGTTCCGGTTGAGGTTCCGGTTCCGGTTCTGGTTCGGGCTGCATATCCTCCGGGTCTTCCTGATCCATCTCCGGCGGCGGTTTCTCGGCCTCCAATCTGGGTGGCGGCGAGTTCGGCTGGGACTCCGCCTCGCCCTCGCTCTCGTCGGAGGGCGTGAGTGGTGGTATCTGGCTGATGTGCTGGGCAGGCGGCGAGACCATCCGGCTGATGTTCAGTTCCGGGCAGGGAGGCGGTGTCACGGGAGGGGAGGGCGAGGTGGATGGTGACTTGGTCAGGGGCGGGGTCACCTGGCCCTGGCCGAGGCTGTGGCCCTGCACGTAGGAGAGATTCGATGGCAGTGGTGGCAGGGGAGGTGGTGGTGTGGACTTATCATCTTCCTCCTCCTCCTCATCGGGGTTTTCCTCCGGTTCGTCTTCTTCTTCCGGATTATTGTCCTCATCGAGCATTTCTTGGGGTGGTGGGATGGCCGCTACCTCCCCGACATCGTCGGCATCCTCGCCATCGTCATCAGTGCGGAGTCCCGTGTCCTCCATGAGAGACAGAGGAGGAGGTGGTATTAGCTCCAGTTCCAGGACCGAGTTGATGGGGGAACCAGAAGGCGAATGGGCAGCTACTACGCCCTGGTCTTGATCTGGGTCCTCTGGCTCCTCCTCCTCCTCCTCGTCCTTCTGCTGCGGGGGCGGTGTGGGTGTGGGTGGAATATCATCCGTTTCCGTTAGCGTCGGCAGCGGTTGACCCAGTAAGGAAGGCGGCGGTGGTGCCACCAGGAGCAGGACCTCCTCTGCTAGCGAAACTGTTGGCAGCGGCGGCGGTGGAACCTCCAGCTGCTCTGGATTGGCCGTGTTGTCCACCTCCTCGATATCCGAATCAATGCCCTGGGCAAAGTCCATGTAAAAGTTATCCCGCGAATCGCTTGAACCGCGTCGCAATTTCAGCGACAGATCCGGCGAGCTGTCCATCCTTCTCGCACAATGTTCGTCCTTACTTCACGGTCCTTTCTCTCTCTCTCCCCCTTTCACTCCCTTTTATACTTTTAGGAAATTCCGTTACACACACGCCTGCAGGGGCGCCCTCTAGCGCTGGCTTTCTTCTAACTGCGTACTCGAGTTATTAGCCTAGATTTTCTCTGGAGGCTTAAGTTTTCTACTTTTTAATTTTGAAAGTTGATTTTTATCTGATTTTTGGCTTTTCACTTGATTTCACTGCACACGCACATTGTGTGTATCCCTGAAATGCACAAGGAAGTGTCAAAAACACGCATACTCACACACGCACGCACACACAGCATCTCTCTGGTCCTTTCGCTCTCTCTGTCTCTTTGCAGAGATGTGGGCGATTTTGGGAGGGGCGTGGCAGTGCAGTTTGCTGCGCATTTGGCCTTTTACGCAATTGAAGTGCGTGAGTGTGTGAATGTGCGTAGTAGGAACAAGGAAGGGGAAAATGGTAAGAGGAAGGAGTAAGGGTACAGGATTAATATTGTTCGCAACAACATTTATAAACTATCAACTCACTAAAAAAAAACTTAAGGTAGATTTGATTTTGCACTGTTTAACTGTTTAACCGTTCTTTGCCAAACAACTCTATAGCACACAGAAAAAAACTTTAACGGTTACGGTTCGTGTTCCGATTTCCGTTACTTATTGTTCCGGGTGTTCGGTGAAAGCACGGACTTGTGTTCGTTTTACATGTATGTGGCCAACTGGCTGCGACTCCGACTGCAGCGGCACTTAATTCTAGAATGAAGAGGACCGAGTTGGAGCTCGGCTCGGAACCCATAGCGCACTGAAAATTGCGCCACAGCCTCTCTGAATGAGAGAGCCAGAGAACGGGGAAGAGAAAGCGCCACTAGAGCGCAGCTGCCGCAGTGCACAGAGGGCGGAGAGAAATCTTTACAAAACGGTGCCGGCTAACGGTGGTTGTCGAAAGGCATTTGCAACTACAACGCACTTGACCGGATTCCAATTGCTTTTGTTTGCAAAAGTTTCCAGTTTCGAGTGAGTCCGTAATCGCAAATCCGGGAGTCCGCGAAAAAGAGGAAAGTAGGGTAGGAGGTCAAGTGGGGATCCTTCGGAAAAAACTTGAATAACCTGCCATAGCTTTTAAAATATTTGCCGTAATCCAATTACGAACTATAAAAACCTTAGCCATCTTAAATATGCATTTCATATTGATATTGAGCTTCCGAAAAATGTTTTTTTTTATTGAGGTTTAATATAGCATACTTTTTGACGCTTCACATGTAATGATAAGAAATTTACTTCGAGCTAAGTTATCTCACATCCAAAGACTCTTACTTTTTGCCCATAGTACCGCGGCCTACGCATCTTTTTTCTTCTATCAGCTGTGTGTGTCGGGGGATGCGGAAGGCACCGCTCAGAGTACGTTGGAAGGGGTAATGGGCGGCGTGTGAAAAGTGTCACTGCTGGGTGTATTTAAGTCTGATTGTGTGTGTAAGAGAGATGCCTCAATTGCGGTCCAATTATGTGGAGCAAAGAGAGCAGCAGGCCGAGTCAAAAACAAAAACATTGAACGGGAGCGGACCGGCAGCAACGGAAGTGCGCATAACAACTCCTTGTTACACTTCCCGTTGGGATGTGCTGGAATTTCAGCTCGCAGGACAGTGGGAGAGCCACAGAGAGAACATACATATGATACTTGAGGGATGAGAGAACCCTTTTTCGGTAAAGCGTGTCACTGCGAAGCTGTGTGGGCTTCCTCCAAGAGCCTGCGCGAAAACAAACCAGAGGCGGTAAAGTAAAACACGACATCCGTGCCGTTAGAAATTGCTTGTAAATATTAAATCATCACCGAAATATTTTTTTTATAAGTTTTTAATTCATGTTGAAGGACTTCAGTACTTCCTCAGATGTTGCAAAAAAAACTGCGTTTCTGAGCAATTTTATACAGTTTTGGGCAAAGCAAACATTTTTCAATGGTAATTTGTCTGTTATTTAGGCAGGAAACAACTTGCAGCGAAACAAAGTATAATTTTGAATAAAAGAGAAGCCCAACTGCCATCGGATTCAAAATTTTATGACGAATTCAACGATGTATGCCATTCCACATTTGGAAGAGTACTTCCTTAGATATTGCAAAAAAAAAACTTGATTTTTGAATGGTATGACATTCCATAGTCTCAAATTTCCATTATTTTCATTATTCCATTTTTATAGTCAAATACGGATTTATATTTATAAAAATCAGGAATAGGACTTTTAACATAAACTGGATAAAACTTGAAGATGTTAAGTTTTTTTTTGTTGGCCAAAAGGAGAATTCAAATTATAATTAAAATATATAATATTTTATTCTATATTGTTATTAAAGATGACTGTACAACATTTGAAACAAAAACTTATCCAAATGTATTGAAAGAAATATCAGCAGTAGTCAAAATTAGCTGTCGCTTTTCAAGGAGCGGAAGTCAAACAGTTTGGGTATCACATCGCCACACTTTGCAGAGATCTTTATATCTGCCAGGTGATCGGCACGCGTATCGCCTATATTGACTATGGCCACCGGGAGCTTGAGGTCCTTCGTCTGCAGCACAACGCGGTAGCCGGAAAAGACCAAGAGCGAGGAGCCCAGGACGAGCAGGCCATCGCTATTGTAGACCATGCCTGCAATCTGATCCAGTCGAGTCCTAGGAACAGAATCCCCAAAGAAGACTATCTCCGGTTTCAGGTCTCCACCGCACTGCGTGCACTCTGGTATCCGGAAGTTTTCTATGTATTCCAGGGGTATCTCCACATCGCCATCGGGTCGTATCATGTCGGGGGCATCCTTGAAGGCCGGATTGAGGGAGGCCAATATGCTCTGGAACTCGTGACGATCGATGCGGTACTCGCAGGACAAACACTTTACCACATAGCCACTGCCGTGTACTTCCACCACGTTCTTGCTACCCGCCTTTGAGTGCAACCGATCCACATTCTGGGTCACTACCGCCTGGATCCGCTCCTCACGCTCGAATCTGGCCAGTGCATGGTGCGTGGCATTGGGCTGCGTGGCGGAAAACTTGGGCCAGCCCACAAAGTTTCTGGCCCAGTACCGCTTGCGCACAGCCGACGACTTGACGAACTCCATGTGCTGAACGGGCTTGTGGTTCGATCGAGCATAGAGTCCCACGCCCTCCGAGCGATAATCGGGGATTCCTAGAATACATTTGGGCGATACATTTGTTTTCAATTTTAAGTCACAAACAAAGTCGTTTATGCTAAGTACTTAACAAATTAAGCAATTTTTTACTTAAAACAAATCGGTTTTAAAATTTAAAAATTTTAAAAAGATTGTGATTTAGATCACCAAAAAAATAATTATAATAATCAATAAAACAATTTTCTGATCATAAACTGGCCGTTAAAATAATGAAAGTAATTCTGGAAAACTAACCCGATTCCGTTGAGATCCCTGCGCCCGTCAAAACCAAAACATTTGGTTTGGACATTAGGAAGTCCTCCAGACGCCGAATGTCATCCTCCACGGCGGGCTTATGGTGGGGCACGTACTCCTGTCTAGCTGTGGAGCTTCTGAAAGCGGTCCATCGGAACCTGAGCAACTGGCCCACACGCATTTATAAAATATTTTATATTTAGTTTTATTTATTTCACTGGTTACGTTACTAAAGCTGGACCGATTATCGATACTATCGATATACCAAGTACAAATCGAGTACACGTCGCATTATGGCTGAGGAACACCTATTACGTTATATTAAAGAAGAAAAACCCCATATCTTACTAATACGTGTTTATAAAAAATCGTCCCTTTAATATTTTCCCTCATAAATAATTTTCAAGACTCGGCGTTGCCAGACCCCAACGGCAGCAATCGATCTCTACACGCCACCAGCCGATAGCAGCTTGTTGGTGAACTTCCATCTCTAGAGCAGCGGCCGCAGAGTTGTGAAAAAGGAGAGATTCGGTAATTTACGCGTTGAATCAGCACGCGCTGTGAACCCAACAATTGCAGAACAACTCACCCGAGACCCTTTTAGTGATCCTTGCGGACACATAGGTCCGGAAACAGGAAAAAGGACATCCACACTCGCATTTACCACTCCGTGTGGCGTTTGCGCCCATTCGTGCGTGTGTGTGTGTGTGAGTGACCGTCGTTTTTGTGCCTGTGTGTGTGAATTGTCGGCTTTTATTTTGCAAGCACGCTAAAGTTGAGGTGTAAAGGATACAAGGGCTTCACAATTAGCTAAGATGTCGTACCCGCCGCGGGCGCCTATGCCGCCGTACATGAATGCATCTATACCGCCACCTCATGTAAGTTACCGTTGCGGTCCTCTTGTGCCATATCGGACATGTAGCATTGTGACCCAAAAACCTCTCCTTCCAGATGATGCAGAACATGGGCAATCCGCCTAGGAACTTTCGCAACTCAGCGACCATCAGCTCACAGCCAACAGTTTACCATCGGCCGCCGGAGCCGCAGCCGCAGTTCCGCGGACCAATCATCACCGTCTTTGTGGGAAACATCAGCGAACGCGTTCCGGAGGCACTGCTCAAACGTATCCTGGCTACCTGCGGCATGGTCATTAACTGGAAGCGCGTATCCACTTTTGGCTTTTGCGAATTCGAGTAGGTTTAAGCGACTCAGGGGGTTGTGAAAAGTACTTAGGAAGGATGGGGTTACACAAAATCTAAATATCTCATCAAAACTAGCAAATAGCTTTAAAATATTTAAGCTGATTTAAAAGAATTAGCAATTATTAGACTGTATAGCTAGGACTATACTTTTGTTCCTTCTAAACTTATTGCACAGAAGTCGAAAAAACGGCAGCCTTCCAATGGGGTTTTCCTTCTGGTCTCTGGAATACCGCCTAATCGTATTTTTGATTTCTTACAGCGGTCCAATTGCAGCCATGCGAGCTGTGCGCCTACTCAGCGAGATGGAGATCGACGGCAAGAAGCTAGTGGCCAAGGTGGATGCCAAGAACAAGGTGCTCATCGAGGACTACAAGGAACAGGAGTGCAAAAACGGCGACCGCTCAAATTCGGTGGACGAGAAGACAGAAGACGAGTACGCCATTAGTCAGATGCACGATCTCCTAGAGGAGCACAAGCACGAGTTCGAGGGTTTCGATGGGAGCAGCCGCGCCGACCTGTACGGTAGCACTAGCCGCAACAAAAAGACGCGCCGCGAGGACGACATCAAAATCAAGGTGCTAAGCGAAAACGCATTGGAGGAGGAGAAGCGCAACCTGATCAGCAGTGAGATTGGCAAGTTCCGTATGCGGGCAGAGGCCGACGAGCATCGCAAGGAGCTCGAGAAGGAGAAGGAAAAGGAGAAGCTGGCGGCCAGCAAAGAAAAGGAGCGCGACAAGGAGCGCAAGAAGCACCAGCGTGAAAAAGAGCGCAAGTCTTCGACCAGCAAATCCAGCGGCTCCTCGGCAGCAGCCACAGGCTCCACCGCCGCCGCCAACACAGCCACAGCTTCCTCTTCGGCCTCCGGCGGCGATGACACTGACGCAGCGGACAAGGCTGAGAAGGAGGCAGCTCCAACCATCGCCAAGGAATCCACTGCCGCCAAGGAGCCAAAGGAATCGTCCTCCTCTACCGGACGCAGTGCCAGCAGTCGCAAAGAACCGGCCGCTAATGATAATACACACAAGGAGCGGCGCTCCGACTCCAAGGAAACAAGACGCCGGCGCTCAAAGTCCCGCTCGAAGGATCGGGAGCGGGAACGCGAGCGTGAGTTGCGCGAGCTTCGCGACAAGGAGCGCGAACGGGAACGCGAGAGGGAGCGCGAACGTGAACGGGAACGGGAGCGCGAGCGCAACGAAATGCGCGAGCGGGAACGGGAACGTAACGAGATGCGGGAGCGCGAACGGGAACGCGAACGGGAGCGGGAACGGGAGCGAGATCGAGAACGTGAACGGGAGCGCGAAGAAAAGATGCTGAAGCCAGTCCGCGATTCGCGACGCGAGAAGGAAATGGAGGACGAGCTGCGGGAGCGCAAGAAGGCCGAGAAGAAGGCACGCGAGAAGGAGGCTGCCTACCAAGAACGCCTGTCAAACTGGGAGATTCGTGAGAAGCGCAAAGCCAAGGAGAACGAGAAGGTAAGGAACGAGCCAGATGCACTTGTCCGTCTTAGTCACATTTAGCAGCTTATTTATTTCCTTACTTTTGTATTCACCAGTACCGCCTCAAGGAGCTTCTGCGGCAGGAGGAGCGCGAAAGCGACGCCAAGCGCCTCAAGGAGTTCGTAGAGGATTACGATGATGAGCGCGACGACTCGCTGTATTATCGCGGACGCGAACTGCAGCAGCGGCTGGCGGAACGCGTCCGCGAGGCGGATGCTGATTCCAAGGACCGCGAAAAGGAGGCCGATGAGCTGGCTGAGCTCAAGACCAAGTTCTTCAGCGGGGAGTACGAGAACCCGTCGCTGGAGTTCGAGAAGGCGCGCCGCGAAATCGAGAAGCTCTACGAGCCGCGCATCCTAATCAACGTAAACCTGGAGGCTGCGGCAGCGGCGACAGCGCCGGTGCACCAGCGCAAGCAGGCCGCCTCGGCGACCGGCGAAGGTGGAGAGGGCCAAAAGCAGCGGCAAAAGGGTCAGCCGCTGGACAGCTTTGACCCAGACATGGCCGGCATGAATGAAGACTCCATATCGAACGATGATCATGGCTCAATGGCCGACACGGCGTCGAATGGTAGTGGCTACGCCAAGAACAACAACAACGACAAGTCTCTGTCGGACAGCCTGAGCAGGCAGAACAGTGAGTCGCGTGACTCGCTGGCCAACATTCACACGCCCACGCAGAGCGCCATGCTAAATGACCCGGGATCGGGACACGATGCCCTGCTGCCCTCGGCCACGCCACCCATGTCCATCCCGCTTATCTCACTGACGCTGGGCAACAACCTGAAGAAGAAGAAGATCGAAGCCACGGGAGTATTTGTCAACGACGACGACAACGATGACAATATCAATCCCAAAAAGCGAAAGCTGGTGCCGCTAGGTGAGTGTGCCATCGGACTTAAAATTACTTTGCAATATTAACTCCAGTCTAAATACTAAGCATAAACACAAAAAGAGAAGAGAGGCCAGTATTAATGATCCCTTTGCTTTCACAGACTACGACGACAACATGAGCAACAGCACACCATCCGCCCATCCAAGCAGCTCCGCCGGCGGTGCGGCAAACAGCACCAGCGGCAACAACAACAGTAACAGCAGCTCTGCGGATCGTCAGAGCTCCGCCGTGTCGGCGGCCACCGCTGCAGCCGCTGCCGTTAGCCAAAAGATTGCCCAGGCGGGCGGCTCCTCGGGATCGGGTTCGGGATCCGGTGTGGGTTCGGCCACATCCGGAGGCAAGAACAACGGCAGCGGCAGCAACAGCAGCAGCGGCGGCAACAGCAACAAACAGAACAGCAGTGGCAAACATGGTAAGAATGAGGCAGCTGCATCTGCGAGCAGTAGCGCAGATGCTGCCGCTACAAACACCAAAAAGGATGAGAATGGTGCAAAGGTGTATGATGAAAAACGGCGGCATATAAAAAGCATTATTGACAGGATTCCCACGCAAAAGGAGGAGCTATTTAATTATAAGCTTGACCGCAACGAGATTGACAGCGGTCTAATGGAACGCAAAATACGTCCATGGATCAATAAGAAAATCATCGAGTACATCGGTGAGCCGGAACCGACGCTTGTGGATTTTATATGTTCCAAAGTGTTGGCCGGCAGCCCGCCCCAGAGCATCCTAGACGATGTGCAAATGGTGAGTACTCTGCGATTATCTCGCTAGGAGACATTGTACAACTTGAAGTGTACAATTTAGGACCTCAAATCGCTACAATTATATTTACGTTAATGGTTTTACTGAAAACTTATACAAACTCTACCCCTCTCCCTCTTTTCGATGAAATGCTTAGGTACTCGACGAGGAGGCGGAGGTGTTTGTGGTGAAGATGTGGCGACTGCTCATCTACGAACTGGACGCCAAGAAGAGCGGCATTGCGGGGAAGTAGAAGGATGCTCCGCTTCTGGGGAACTGGTTTAATGGGCGGGAGCGCGTGCGGATCTGGGGGTCGGGCGAGGAGCAACTGCGCGAATAGACTCTAAGCTACTCTTACGGAATCTAAGCGACTACAACTTTGTACATACAGGGCGTGCTCCGGAAATTGTTGCGGCCAAATTTCGAGCTTTGTTTTCTAAGCTTTTACTTCGTGAAGCAAATAAAAAAAAAAACAATAATAGATAAAAAGCAGCAGCAGCATCAATGATTTCTTAATCCACCTTGTTAGCGTTAATTGCTAAAATGTATCATCGATTAATGTAAATACACACTAAGATCACTTATAAAACCAACCAGCAGAAACAACACAAGAAGAGAGAATGCCGAACATAAAAAAAATAATGTCTCTTATCCATTTTCCCCTTTTTTTTTGTTGAGACATCGCATTAGCTCCTTTTTCGGAACGAGAGTAAAAAGAAAACGGTCTTCATTTAAATAAACAATGAAAATAAAATTGGAAAATTGAATTTTGGTTATTCGGAGATGCGGGGAAAACCTGGGCAAGTCTTTGAAATGGATAAATACATGATATTAAACCTATACCTCATATCACCTCTAAACAAATTTTATTAACGAACGCCTTTGGGGATTAATTTATCAAAAAGGAATGATGTATTCCAATGATCCTTGACAAAATAACTAAATCTTAACACCTGATTATAGAGGAGTACACGGTAAATTGCCGAGTTTGACTTTATGCTAGTGATATTGAAACGATTAAATAAATACACGATATAAATTTGACAAAAGCACGTACAACATCCAAATATCAACAGTAACACGTGGAAGCGCTTGCCTCCAGATCCCGATCGCTAGCTATATCCAGACCGCTAGAGCCATTGCCATTGTTGAAGTACTCGGAGGAAACGATCTGTAAAGAATATTTAAAGTTTATAAGAAGTGTTTCGTTTCATATATAATAAACAAAAAAAAAGGACTCTTTGGCTCGCAAACCCACCTTCTCCACAACATCCTTGAACACATCACTGACGAATTGATCGCATTTGGCCGAGGTCTCAATGAAAAGCGCCCTGTGCTTCCTGGCGAACTTGCGACCCTCCTCACGATCCACGACTCGTTCCTGATCAATCTTATTGCCCACCACAATGATCGCTATGTTTGGATTATCGCTGTAGCTGTCTAATTCGGCCAGCCAGGCCTCTAATTTGACCAGGGAATCCCTGTTGGTGATATCGTACACGAGGATGGCGCCCAGGGCCTTCCTGTAGAAACTGGGTGTAAGACTGCGGAACCTTTCCGCGCCTGCCGTGTCCCAAAGAGCCACCTTGTAGTCGATTCCGTCGACGTTCATCACCTTGCTCTTGAAGTCCATGCCAATCGTGACGTCATGATTCTCATCGAACTTGTTCTCCACGAAGCGACGAATCAAACTGTGACGAAAACAACAAATGATGCAAGCATTTTAAATTATATACGCAGTGGCCTTTAGACATTGGCTGTGATCTAAAAGATTTTCCCAACCTGGACTTGCCCACACCGCTTTCCCCGATCACCAGCAGCTTAATAGCCCGATCCGCCATTGTGTCTCACGCTCTTACTTATTACTTATTTTAAAACTATTATTTACTTAAACAGATAAGAATTGGCAATTATTTATGCGGATTATCAGTGAGTTTGTTGCTTCGACGTTGCCACCTGGATGATTTGTTTACATTCTCACGCTAGGGGTGGAGCGTCAAATTAAGTGTGACTGCAGCCCTGCAGGGAAATGGAGTTATTTTAATATTTATTTAATTTATTATTTAATTAGGACTTGGGGATATATGATACATATTTCTTGCTTACGCCGATGAATCATGGCTATTGAATTTTACAGTAAACAAGAGCGAATTCTTGAAATGTATATGTTAAATTGTGGTTTTAGAAACCTGAACTTATGCTTAATATGTTTATATCCTTGCAGAGGCTATTATAATTTTAGTCAGAAGATTGAAACTAAGTGAAGGTGGTATATCAATCAGAACAGGGCGGATCGGGCGACTATATCGGATAGAGTAAAAATAAATGGGTAAAAATTATCACGCCCTTGATTTTGCTCATGTCGATATAGAATTAATGGCAATAAAATGATAACGTCGTTGACCATGATTTTTTGAGTGTCAAGTTTTTTAACTAGACTTGAATCATAAAAAAGTTTAATAAAAATCGGACAACTATAACTGCTATAGAAAAGATCAAAAAATTTAAATAAAAGTTCTGGAACCAAAACATACATACTATCGATGTTTATTTTTATTGTAAAATTACGATTTAGAATATTGATATTGAATTTTCTAAAAACCCTTGAATTTCAAATTAGATTCCATGAAAATCGGACGACTATTTTATATAGCTGTAATAGGAACAATCGGTGAAAATATAGAACATATTAACAACAAAAAACCGCCATTACTTCGATGTTGTTTGGCCCTTGAGGATTTTGCTCGACATATGAAATGACTGCGAGGGTGCCTAATCTTCGGCTTTCCGAAGTTAGCATCCTTTCATGTTTAATATGGCATCTTAAAATTAGATCGCCATTACATCTATTGAGATGTTTAATTAAATGCATTTATAGTTGATATTTTGGCTAAAATAAGCTCCCATATCTATTCGATACTGCCGGTGCTGCCGGACATCGGGAATGGCACTATCGTCTGTTCTGTCACCCCTAAGTTTTTCTTTCTTTTTAATTTGCGTGCGAACGAGGTAGGTTTGTCGCTCTGGAATTTAACACGTGGTAAACCGTAAGTTGGAAAATAGGGCATGTAAAGCTTTGGAAAGGGGTTTGAAAGTGAACCAGATGTAGAAATACACCTGCTGGCTAAAAAAAACTGCACAGTTGTAGCATCGAGAGGCGCATCTATTAGATGTTGAGCCAACTGAGTGCCCAAAATAACCTAACTTTTTGCATTGTGGTTTTCTGTGAACTGATGCCGCTTTCCCGAATGTTTATACAGAACTAACAGATTTTACATTTTTGGTTTCAGTGATCGGCCGGACAAAACAATAAATCAACATGGTGAAGGTTAAGTGCTCCGAGCTTAGGACCAAGGACAAGAAGGACCTCACCAAGCAGTTGGACGAGCTGAAGAATGAGCTCCTCAACCTGCGCGTGGCCAAGGTGACCGGCGGAGCCCCTTCGAAGCTCTCCAAGATGTGAGTACATACCAATAACTTCTATGTGGCGAATTTAATTCCGATTTCTGCATACGCCCCACAGCCGCGTTGTGCGCAAGGCCATCGCTCGCGTCTACATTGTGATGCACCAGAAGCAGAAGGAGAACCTGCGTAAGGTCTTCCTGAACAAGAAGTACAAGCCTTTGGATCTGCGCAAGAAGAAGACCCGCGCCATCCGCAAGGCCTTGTCTCCCCGGGATGCCAACCGCAAGACCCTGAAGGAGATCCGCAAGCGCTCCATCTTCCCCCAGCGCAAGTACGCCGTCAAGGCCTAGGATGGATCCGATCTAGAATCCGTATTCGGATGCCTATTTTCTCGTCTGTCTAGTGTGCGTTAAGGGTTCTTCGCTTCCATGAAGAAGAAAACAAATAAAACTTTTTTTTCAAGTGAAAAAACCGATGAATGTTTGATTTGTGACCGAGAATCGCGAGTGGCACATGGCTTGTCCATGGGTTTATCAACACGAGTCGCAGTCGAGTGCTTGTTTTTACCGGCACAATAAATACGTGTGCCAAAAATGATCGATTAGCAGAACTCTTATTAATGAAATTGCTTAGGAACAAATTATTAAGGAAGACATTTCCAACATGATATTAATATCAAAAAAAGAAAAACGAGACCATCCAAAAATGCACCGTGCACCCTCCGAATCGAAAATCAAATGAAATAGTCACCAATACTATTTTTTTCAAATGTCCCAAGTACCACTCTCAAATTTGAATACAAAGTAAAAAACAAAATATGTGAATTTTAATAATAAACAATGATAGTATTGTTGTAGCCAATGTAAAACTGGTTCGTCAGACACGGCTTTATCTAAAAAGTATAAAACACAAAACAGCGCCTTCTCAATTGGACTACGTAAATATATTTAATTCGATTGTCTTTGATGTAAGCACTGCCGTACATCGTTTGTAAATTTATAAATTAAGAAGTAATAGATAGATAATTAATACAAAGACTCGATTGCGATCTCGATCATACTGAATAAGTTTGGCACATTTGGTTAATACTATTCTTCTGCACTGCGTGGAAAAGCGGCGTGCTGCGGATGACGCCCGACAGCTCCTTTGAGTTCTTGCTTTGGTGATAGTTTCTACTTGGCATGGGCGACAATGGCTCGCCCCAGAACTTAAGCAGCGCAAAGATCTTGTAATATGCCACTCTAAAAGAGAGATATTAGGAATTAGTTATAGAACATGACCTTCCCCAATATTTATACCACTGGAACCCTGCACTTACCTGTAGTTGCGATTGCTGGCTGCATAGATGATCGGATTGATAACGCTGGAGGCCCAGGCCATCACCGAAGCGATGATGTGCAGCCAGGGGTACGAGGTCTTGCGCTCGTCGTCCACCACATTGGCGAGCATTAGCGGCAGGAAGCAGATGAGGAAGCACAAGAAAATGGTGACCATCATCACGGTCAGGCGGTTATCCTCGCGCGCCTTTCGCGTGCACGTGGTGGTCATGTAGGATCCGCCGGCGGAAGAGCCCTTGCCCGCCGCATTCGCACCGATCTGGAAGTTGTCGTGGTTGCGTATCTTCTTCTTCTGATGCAGCACCGTGATGTAGATGCAGGAGTACGACACAATGATCACCAAGCAAGGCAGCAGGAAACCGAGCAGGAACAGCGTCTTCTTGATCGATCTTCCCTCCTTCTTGAGTATCGTGCATGAGAAGGTAGCCTCGTCGAGACCCATCTCGCCCCAGATGCCCAGAATGGGTGGCAGCTGTAAAACAAAACGTAGGGATATCAAGGATGTTGATTTTTAATTCCTAACGGTTTTATAATAAAAAATCTCATCTTAGTGGGACAGTCTGTATCAGTCTGTAAATCTTCTTGAAAGGATATTTCTTTTCAGTTACTTACCAGCAAGAGAAAGGACACGGCCCACACGAACAGCAGCTGCAGGGTTATGAACTTGGGCTTGTATATCTGCGAGTAGCGGCTATGGCATGCTATGAGTATATATCTGCCAGAGGATTAGGAGAACGGATTAGCTTATTCAATTGACAAAAAGGACTGATCTGGGCTTACCTGTTCAGCGTGATGCCCACCATACTGAGGAGGGAAACGGCCACATTGCCGTAAAAGATTACCGGAAAAATCTTGCACAACGTGGTACCAAAGGTCCAGCTCTACGAGAAAAATTGTTTAAAAAATATGGTAAGCATAGTTATCCGAAGAGTTATGTAGAAAACATAACAAAACACCCAATTCAAGTATTAATTGTATTCTTTGGCAGACCTAAGAAAGGATGACTCACCTCCTGGAAGAATCGCACCGCCGTCAGCGGCAGACTGAAGGAGCAGAAGAGCAGGTCGGAGATGCTCAGCGAGATGACGAAGGCGGTCGTGGCGTGTTCCCGTATCGTGGGGCTCTTGAGCAGCGCCAACAGGGTGATCAGGTTGCCTGCGGGTCGAGCCGGGCAAAAACAGGTTAGCATGGGCGATCGAGGAGCAGCAGGATGAGCAGCAGGTATTACTCACCGAGAACGCCGATTGTCACAAAGACACAGGCACTAATTGCCGCAAATAATGTCGCCGAGTGCGGGTAGATGGACTGCGTTGTTATTGGGGCATCCATCAACATGTCTTGTTCCAGGTCCAGCCCCAGTCCCATAGCCATGTCCTTGTCCATTCTGCGGGAAACAAAGAAGAGGATGTCATTAGTGGTATTTAATAAGTCGAGTTTTGTTAAGAGATAAGAGGATAAATTCGTTTATTTGCATTTGCATTTTAAAGGCAGACAACTATAGTGAAAACGTAATATGCATAGCATAATAATTAGTTTTGAGATGAATTTGTAAAGCCCGTATATTAATTTAATTCGAATATATTAACAGCCTTTTACCAAACCATTTTTTTTTCTGTGCACGAAAAGGAAACATTATCCGCGCAATCAAGCTCGACTAGCGTGAAAATCTGTGAATGAATGGACGTAATGTATATATAAGCGGGAAGATAGAAAGAGTTAACTAATTGCTGCTCTGCGGTGCGGATGCAGTAGCCCAGTTTGCTCGGCTGGATAGCGCATGGCCGAGGAAAACTCGATCCGATCGCCGATCGCCCGGATTAGCGAGGAAGTCTGCATACTCCCACCGACTTATCGCATCCGAGACATTTGATTTATGCGAACTGACTGCGTTATAAGATTTCTGCCGGCCAACTGGTCAACCGCAATGATTGAGCCGGTTTGCACGCCATATGAATGGACATTTGTACGAATTTTTTGATCAAAAGTTCGAGTTTTCCGCCAATTTCCTCATCACTTGAGCAAGGCAAACTGCTTCGAATATTAGTGTTATACATATAAAACCGCCGTTGCCTGCGTGATTGATGGCTACAAGATTATTATTATCGAATCAGGATTCAGAAGGGGATCAATGTCAAACGCGGACAGGAACACGTAAGACGCTTGTTAGTTGTAATTAAAAATGTATGTCCGACAGTTTTGGACTGTTGAAAAAAATATGCGTGACATCTTTAATTCCTGTCTAACTATTTACAAAAGCCCTGCTTATTTGCATACTAGTCAGCTCGGGCTTTTCTGCTAAATAGGTATATTGGTCTGATGACTCATTAACATCATTTGGAAGACCAGTTTCCGCCGCTTTCTTTTTAATTATTTTACGTACTACTTTTGTGTTTCCATGGTTTTTCCCTCTATGTCACGTACATTTAGTTCTACTATTCGGAAAATATCAGTTCAGTTCAATGCAAATGAAATTCTGAGTAGTAAGCCGATTTTAGAAGTCGCCATTATTCTTATTATAAAAACGGACAGTGTGTGTATTTAATTGTTTACTATAACAAATTACTACCGCGTTTAGCGCTCAATTTGTGATAACATCATGCAATGAATTTTGATCTAAACCTGTATATTTGTAATAAATAAAAACGTGTTTGATACATGACATAATGGTAAACAGATTTGAATCGAAGCTATCAACGCATACTGTCCAAGCGACAAACAACAACAATTTATTACATATCAACCATATGTACATAGATTCGACGAAATTTGGAAATAAATACATAATAAACCTTATCTCAAGAAGGGATTGTTAACAAGTGTTTACGGTTTTGAAACGCATTTGTTTTTTGAATCTCGCTTTTTAAAAGGCCCCTTTTAGAATTTGTAATATTGTTATCTTTGCGAACAAGCAGAAAGGAGCTATCAGCGACTTTACCATTGATGCACTTTTTTACGACCAATTAAATTTTCATTTTCCTTTCTTTTTCCAGTTGATAAGCAGCGAAAGCAATGACAGAAGAGTCTGGCGACACAAATGCAATCAAATGGATTCCGTTGCGGTGTCAGTTTCCCGTTTACCAATGCCATCAAAGAGAACCCACCATCATACTATATTATATATGTTGCGCGTACTGAATCAATGACAGTTTCAATTAGACCGTGCTTTCCATGCTTTTTTGTGGGTTTCACCCTGCGGCAACGCGGTGTCCAACTCTTTTGCAGTGCACACAATTTCATTTACTTAGTGCTTTGCATTTGGATATGTTAAATTAAAAAGCGCCTTGTTACGCATTTAACGATGTTTCCGGTGCGTGGTGGTGCTTCTGGGAACGGGAACGGGAACCCGGGAACATGGGAACCCCAGGGCCCCGAGAAGGGGTACTGTGCAGGAATCTGGGTGGGGGTGATAAGTGGGGCGGGGGAACGGCTCGCTTTCATGCATGATCAACATGTGTGTTTGCTTTTCAGCTCCATGTATGTTGTTTCAGTTCTTTCGGTCTCTTCAGTGTTTCGTTCTTATTATTTTTGAATAGGGGGAGCAACGCCCCGCAACTGGAAATCTGAATATGCATCCCATATATAACATGGCAAGCCGTACCATCCCGTCCAATATGCGCACCATCCAAAGCCATTTTATTCAATTCCATTTCCATACATGCGTGCCCACACAGCAACGCTAGTCACATAGAACTGCTCTGTTTTTTAAAGAGTTTCGGTGTTGTACTAAAGTGTATGAACTACTTATAAAAGTACTCTTGTGGAGGAGTGCTCTTCCTGGTAACACATTTTTTTAAAACCGACGCACTTTTCGTTATGTTGAACGACCCTACATATATCCATATAACTAGACCTACCTAGTTAACCTCGAGTGTGCGTAAGCCCCTGCTTAACAGTTGGCAGTGATGATGGCACAGATATCAGAGATAGCGCTCCCCCTCGTTGGGATGTTCGGATCGCGCCCTCTCCTCACTTTTCTTCGCCGCCTCACGAATATGCATATTATGTACACACAGCTAAGCACATAAGGGATGTTTGTATGTTTACATTAAAGTGTTATCAGCCTTGGATTCCCATCGCTCGGAATTCTTCGACGCCGTCCCCCACTCACTCACAAAATCCAAGACAAGCTGCGGAACAAAGCTTTAAAAATAATCAATCAATAAATATTTATTTTGGGAGGGGGAAGTCAAATGCAAATATGGCTAATCAAAGAATATGTGTTTTTGGACTGATCATTTTATCACTGAAGTTTATATCTTTCCTAGTTAATATGTATGTATGTGTGGGTATGCTTAGCTTATCACATATGAGATCTATCAAAGGAAAAAATCTTATCAAACATTAGGATGTTTCAAACTGATTATAATAGTTCTTGGAAATATTCGATTGGAACGATTCTGTTGCAATGGGGGAGCGGAGAATTGGATTCTGTAATTTTCTAATTAAAAAAGATCTATTTAAAAAACATGGTTCCCGTCATATTTTCTTATCGAGTCAATGCACCAGAAATATTTCCCATTTTTTTGCGCTCTGCTGACTAATCGAAAGCTTAATACAAGTGTAGTGCCCAAATAAGTTTGTTGATAGGGGGTACACTGGATATATATGTACGAAAGTCATTTGTAGATAGTGCATACATACATATGTGTATTGGATCGGTTTGGAGCTGGGTTTTTCAGAGTCTTGAGCTGAATGACTCGCTACCAACTGTTGTGGTGGAAAAGGGACGGGGAAATGAATGACTCATACAGCTGATGTTTGGACAGAGGAAGAGAAAAAGAGAAAGCACATCGGAAGCGGCGCAGTCAAAAAATCTGTGTAAATAAAAGCAAAAGACTTTGGCTCAATCAAACCTAGATATGCAATGAAAGTAAAGTTATACTTCAAGTTCCACATTTTTGAGTTTCAAAAGATTTCATATAAAAAGAAAACATTCTTCTCATTTTATATGAGAAATATTGAATATTGAATTTGATTCTTTGGTAATTCATTAGATTTAATTCCGGTGTATGTGTTGCACTATGTCGTCTCCTCTCCCCCTTCCCCATTTCATTCCCCTCTTTGCTGATTTTGAGAGGGTGGAATTCGGGATTTAGGATGCGAGCGAGGGGGATGGAGATATTCTATATTGTAGAAACAGCCGTTCCATTATCGTTTCACTACACTTACAAACTCCGATACAGATGCAGTTTGCACGCGTGTGTGTCCGTGTGGACCAAATGCAACAACACTAAAAACGCGCAACTCAAATTGTTAACAAAAGTGAGGCCGCTTTTGGCCGGATTCTGGTCTTAAAAAAGAGAAACAAAAGCCAAAAACAACTCACCTGAACACGAACCCGTTTCTGTGTTTTCCGTTTATTATTTATTCTTCGTTTGGCGTTTCTTAAATGCTTTTAAATTGCATTTTGTCAGGCGCACAGCACTCTTTTCGAATTGACAAACACCGATCTTGACGATAAACCGCACAGCACAGCAAAAAAATGCAACAAAAATATATATTCAACCGATTCTGGCCTTCCGACTTTAACTTATCGAAAGAGAGGCCCAAAATAACGGAGAGATCTCCGATCTCAAAGCGAACAATTTCGTATTTTCTTTGGCAATTAACAACAACAGCGCAACGCAGCTCCACGTCGACCTCACCGCTTAACAGATCAAGCAAGAATATGAATTTATATAAGAGAGGCTTAAGCCCCGACCCATGGTAGAATAAGTATAAGGCATAGTAAAACGAGTCTGTATAAGCTAGTCTCGTCGGGTGCAAAATCTTTCGGGTTCAGTCCATTAACGTTAGCCCTTGTGTTCAAATGAAAAAATACTTGTTAAGGTTATTGCAGCAACGCAAGGCGTAACATTTTTTATTGCACAAATATGTATTGCAGGGTTGAAAAAAATTATACAAAAATGTTAACTTATTGTCATATTTTAAAACCATTTGAAACCAACGGTGCATTGGTTTAAGGGACACGAAGAGACTATCTTATATTATTCTACCATAGGCTTAACACTCTGTTCTATCGATATCATGCGCAACGGTGCGCAGGCGCCTATCGATGTTTAAAATTCCAAGCGGGGTCTAGAAGCATTTTTAAACGGGCTTTGGACGTATAAATAAAACTAACTTATACATATAAGCGCATAGTTTGTTGGATTTTTGCTGTATTTCGATCCGTGCTAATCAATTTACTCATGCGACAGTTGCACATGGTTTTTGATTGGCCAATCATTTATCATTTTCGTTATTAGTGCCAAGTTCATGGCCAACGGTGTGTGTGTTACCAATTTGCATGTTTTAGCGCCATTGACTTTTTCCTAGCTTTTCCTCAAGGTCGCGCTTATTAAATACTCGTTATTAGTGATGAGAACAGAACATATATATACAAAAAAAAATTAATAAAAAACATAACATAAGAACATAACTATAAAATCGTCTTTTTGCGAGTAACAAATAAAGAAAAAATTATATCCATTTGGTACCAAAATTTGGCATCATCACAGGTCATTAATTGAAAACAAAAGGACTTTTTCCCTTCTTGGTGGATTTTTGGATTTACCTTTTCAGTCAAAGATCGAGGTTATAACATGAAACAACCACTGAAAAGGCGATTTCCACGCCCAAACCGGGCTACCAAGTGTTTGTGCCAGTTAAAAAGTCGGGGAGGGATCTGGTTGGAGCACCTAACAAGGGGTTTGGACCAGTGGCGGGGTACGGAGTCGATGGCGTCCTGGAACACAATAACGTCCTTCTTTCATACAGACACTCAGGTGCGCGGCACGCGAAAGAGCTTCCTGCTGAATGGCTCCTTCCACGAGGCAGTGGCTCCGGTTCTGGCCGTGGCACAGTGCTTCTGCCTGATGCCTGTCAGCGGAATCAGTGCCTCCTCCTGCCAGGGCTTGAGCTTCCGCCGACGCACCTGGCGGTTTTGGACCAGTGTCTTGTACCTCTGCTCCACCTCGGTGGATCTGGCCTTCAGCATTCGCAAGGTGACGCACAGTGTTCTGGATGTGCGCAGTGTGGGTGAGGAAGATCCTTCGAAGTCCCACAGAAAATAAATGTCGAAGTGATGTGATTTCTGCAGAGCCCATAGTTTTCCACGTGAGCATCCTCATCGCCTCCTGGCAGTTCTTGAACCTGGCCCGTCTCTGGCCGGGATTGATGCGCCACTGGGCGGCCGTGGAGCAGAGGCTACCTGGCTACTCCTGTTGTCTTAGCCGCGCTCGTCCTGCCCGTCGCCTCCGACTTGTGGCCTTCCTGCTGCTGGCGCTTTCCCTGAGTTCCGTTCCGCATACGTCTTACTTTTCCCAAGGATTGCCAAATGACATTTAATGTTTTTCCAGTGGAGCACCTGCTGAGCATAATCTCGGTGGTCTACTACGACTTCTGTCCCCGGAGAAAGGATCCGGTCGAGTCGTACCTGCACGGCACCAGTGCCCAGCTGTTCGCCGTGTTCCCCTACTCCAACTGGCTGGGCTGGCTGGGCAAGGTGCAGAACTTCCTGCTCACCTTCGGCTGGAGCTACATGGACATCTTCCTCATGATGCTGGGCATGGGCCTCAGCGAGATGCTGGCCAGGCTCAACCGCAGCATGGCGCTGCAGGTGCGACAGGTGAGTGCTCCACTGGTGGGGGGTGGCACATTGGCAGGACGTCCGTCCAATACGCTCTGCCCACAGCCCGTGCCGGAGGCGTACTGGACCTGGTCGCGCACCCTCTACCGCTCGATAGTGGAGCTCATCCGGGAGGTGGACGACGCCGTGTCCGGGATAATGCTGATATCCTTCGGCAGCAACCTGTACTTCGTCTGCCTGCAGCTGCTCAAGAGCATCAAGTGAGTGCCACCTATCAGTACCCACCTGTTAGGTCACCTAATCAACGTGCACATCCTGGGAGCCAGCACGATGCCCTCGTCCGCCCACGCGGTCTACTTCTACTTCTCGCTGATGTTCCTGCTCAGCCGGTCGACGGCCGTGCTCCTCTTCGTTTCGGCGATCAATGACCAGGCCCGGGAGCCACTGCGCCTGCTGCGCCTCGTTCCCCTCGAGGGATACCATCCGGAGGTCTTTCGCTTCGCCGCAGAGCTGGCAAGCGACCAGGTGGCGCTCACGGGCCTCAAGTTCTTCAACGTCACCCGGAGGCTCTTTTTGGCGGTGAGCAGCTCTCCCCGAAGGGAGAACCGAGAACTAAAGAGTATCTGGGCATGCTTTATCTCTTAGATGGCGGGCACGGTGGCCACCTACGAACTGGTGCTCATCCAGTTTCACGAGGACAAAAAATCATGGGACTGCTCGGCCTCCAGTTTCAACTAGACTTGAAGCCCCTTGAAAATATTCTGTGGCCTACTTTTGGCCGCTAAGCAAGTACTAAGCGAAGTTACTTGGTATCGGTATCACTCATACGCAGTGTTGCGCCCGTTTGAGGACGTAATGACGCTCGACTATTTTGTGCATATAATTCGATATCTTGAATGTGTTATTAACATTGTAAATTTGTTTTTTCAAGGCAAACTACTGCACAGCCCTAATATTCATGACCACTGACTGCGTCCCTTGGATATATCATTTTTAATTAGTTATCTGGGCAGCAGGTAGCATAAATGATAATGACTACAAGAAATTAAGCCGCACGAGCACTGTGCTACACAGCTGCGAGGAGTCCGCGGAGGAACCAGTTTCCAGCTTCCAACTGCCCGCTTTTTGCACGCGCTTTCCACTTTTCACATCAGTTGGCGTTTTCGTTTGGCTTTCGTGTTTTCGTTTTTATTTTCATTTGCGGACCATTTACTTTGGTAATCCAGTATAAGTATGTGATGCAATTGCTGGCCATAAATGGTGCACGCTTCCTAGGCAGGCCGAAATGCGTGAGCAGCGATTTGATTCGAATTTCGAACTGAACCAGTTGGCCAAATGCCAATGCCGATTGCTCCTCGTTGCCTCGATGCTCCGATGCCTCGATGCCACGATTTGTCTCGGCTCCCCAGCTCCATGATGCTTCCGGTCAGCGGGTCCAGCCGATCTAGTCCGGTTCCAGCCAATTGTTAACCCAATTCACGAGCGGAGTTCGGGGATCAGATCCCCGATAGGAGTATAAAAGACCCCGCGATCGATCCAGCGCCCAGACACACTTCGCGCACAGCTCCTCCAGTCGACACGTAATGGCCATGAATCAGAGTAGCCTCCATTGCCTGGTCGGGATCGGGCTCCTGGTGTTCCTGCTCCTCGACCGCCTGGCCACCGGCCAGTTCATTCCGGGCCCGCAGTCAGGCGCTCCTCGCCAGCAGAGATCCCTCTTTGGGCCAGGTCCTCCGCCGGGCTGGAGCAGCGGCGGCCTCGGCCACGGATGGAGCGGGCCGAGCCTCGAGTTCAGCCCCCTGCCGCCACCCTCCAGTCCGCACGTGACCAAGGACGAGCTGCTGGCCCTGCTGGCCGCCTGGAAGGATGTGGCCGTGAAGCCGACGACGCCGGCACCGGAGCCGGAGCCCGAGCCGGAGCCCGAACCCGAGCCGGAGACCACGGCGGCCCCACCACCGGAGGACGAGGACGAGCCGGAGGCTCCGGCACCGGAGGCGCCGGCCGGACCACCGCCCGGCGTTCCCGTCACCGTCTCCCTGCCCGCCCTCGTGCCCATCCAGCTGGCGGCCATGTGGCAGCAGCCGGCGCCCGGAGCAGCTGCCGGCGGCCTGGGGCCACTGAATCTCGGCGGCCTGGGCTTCGGCGGCGGCATTGCCCTGAACAACCTCGGAGGCGGGTCGGCGGCATCGGCGGGAGCTGCGGCTGCCGGAGGCGGGGGATCCTCGGCCGCCGGAGCCGCGGCTGCTGCAGCACGGTCCGGAGGGGCTCGCCCTAGGGCCAGGGCAAGGATCGGCGGACGGGCGTCGAATGCCCAGCCCGCCATCCGCTTCCCGGTGGCCAATCCGCGCAGCTTCACCTCGAACAACTACGTGGCGCCCAGGCCGCGTTTCTACCGCGACGCGGAGCCAATGCGGTGGGTATTCCGGATCATCCTGGACGAGTGCCATGATCTGCAGCTTTGAATCTTGTGCAAGTGTGGAACATATTCCATCACTCACTCACACTTTCTTTCAGCTTCAACGCAATGGCCCCGCCGCCCTACCAAACGGCCAGTGTCCAGGGTCCTGTCCAGCTGGTGCCCGCCTACTGGCAATAGTCCCTTCTCGCCTCCAAGTCTTGGATCCGCACTGCCAACTCCCCTAAGCTAAAGCCGTACAAAGTTATGTTTTATAGTACTCCGCGAATGTGTACATAGGATGCCGAGGCCTGTTCACAACTCGGATTTGTTTTTTTTTTAATATGCCAATAAAATATGTTAACAAACAATAAACAACAATGTTTTGCATTCTGTTGAAGGAAGGATGTATGTTTGCACTTTCATATACATTATATATAGAGAATGAAGAGATCTGTGTAGTTATAATAGGAGATAAATAGAGCATAAATCAATGGCTTGCGTATGAAAAACTACTGCAATGATCCGTATTCTATTCAAATAGGCAAACCAAGATCCTTATAATAATAATGATTTTGAACATCCTTCCAATTTCAACGAACAGTTAAGATATTAACAGCCCCATCAACGCCATACGCAATACGCAGTCGGCCAGAGTTGCACAACCCAATCCTAATTGATTGGCTAATTGATTTGGACGCTGCAAATCTTTCGCCTCCATTAGCCACATTTTCCCCCATTTAAATGCTACTGCAAAGTGAGCTACTTAAGTGGATATTGAAACAGGCAGTAAAGCTGATATTAGCGTACTTTGTGCACCAATATGCCATTTCCTTGTGCCACAAGTGTCTCGCATATTGGCAACTCCTGTCACGTCTTATTGGCCGACAGATGTCGGTGCCACAAATGGATGTTTATGTTGCACGAGCGCATCCTTATCGGGAGATGGTGCCCCGCCGCGCCTGCTCCGAACGACTCCCATGGGCACCGTACTCGGCGGAATGGAATGGCCTCACCCAGTTTGCGTGCCGCCTCTGCCACGCCCCTGCCCCCTGGGTGTTATGATCCACCGATCCACCGACTGATCCAGATTGCCACAGCGCGCAAATAAGACATTAAGTAGATGGTGTTGATGAACCCAAACTGGATTCGATCGGCATCCAGTTGCTCGCTGAAGACCTCCTTGTGGGCGAAGACGAGTTGGAGTTGGAGTCTGAGATGAACTCGTGATTACGCGCCCATCTAAACTGGTCACCACACATCGGTTATAATCATTTTAAGTTTGCAAATCTGTTTTATTATATTTGCATATAATAACTGCCTAACTAAAATGACTTGGGAGAACATTTACAATATATATATTGCTCTATATTGGCTCTTGTGCATTAGTTGATCGGAAGTAACTGTTTAAAATACAATTAGTGGACGAATTAAAAACCTACAAATAATAAATATTGTCTTCACTTTCAAGGAAACTGATATATAAAAAAAACTTTACACAACCTTATCAGACGTTTGTTGGGGATTACAAAAAACAGATATGTATATCTCGGAATCTCAGGCAAAATAATGTCGAAGGGGGCTAAACAAATACTATGAGTTAAGTCTTTGGCTAAAAGGAAACAAGAATCTGGATGGAGAGTGTGGCCACCGGCACTGCGGTTTATGGTCATTTTCACACATTTACCCCAATTGGCGATTGACGTGTGCGCCTCCCGAGATAACGAGGTATCGTTATCCAAAAGCGGCGGCGAAAGGCGTCAAACGTTTACTGCGTGTAATGTGCGATCGAGGCAAATCGAGAGCAACGCCCATTCGGGCCCAGTTTGGACTTCCCGCCAACAGATATCCCGACCTGGGCTTATTTGCCTCGCGACCAGCCGGCTTACATAAGCCAGTGGCCACGACGCCCAACTCGGATTGAATTAACTAACGTAGCAATAAATAACAAATTAACACATGCGGACAAACGCTGAAACTGGGCTTAGGACAGGCGGCGCCACAGGATCCAGAGGCTTTGATGGGCGGCCAGCAGGGCGAAGGTGCCGGCAATCACGAAGGTCAGTCTGTAGATGGCCGCCTGGCAGTAGAGCAGAACCACGCCGGCCAGAACGTAGAACACGATGGAGAGCATCCAGTAGCCCTGGCTAAAATTAATTTTCGTCAATTCAAAATAACCAAGCGGGATGAGGCTGAAATGATTACCATTTCTGGGGGGCCCGCAGCTGCAGGAGCAAGCTAAGTGATCCCAGGACCACTATGGTCGGATACAAGCTCGGGTCAGGCAGGTCAATGGCATTTCTTGGGGAAAAGAAAGTGTGTTTTAGGTAAAAGGATTTGGAGCTCTGAGCTGGCACTTACCGACGACTGCGCACCCAGGCCAAACTACTGGGACCGTTGAGCAGCAGCTGCACGAGCAGGAGCAACAGCAAAGTGACGTGGAAGGAGAAGTTCTGCAGGCCCACGCAGTCCTCAGATTCTTCCTCCTGCTGCTGTTCGTCCTTCGGCTCCAGCGCCGCCTGTTCAGCAACTTCCGCCCCTGCTGCCTCTTCGCCGCTTAAGGACTCCGTGGAAGCCACAGAAGCAGGTTTTCCACGCACCAAATTCGCCGCCTTCTGCCACAGAAAGTCCTCCAGATAGTCCTTGTAAGCATTCGACAGCATCAGGAAGTAGAAGACAAAGGCCAGGAGGAGCCCAACTCCGCTGCAGGTTCCGATGGCTGTGGCAATGGTCAGGATGCCGTACGTGATGGGCAAGTGGGTCATGATCGAGATCATCACGTTGGAGGTGGCCTGGGAGAGGCGTGTGATCCGCAGGGCCAGGCGGTAGAAGGCGTTGCCATAAAGCGTCAGGGCCAACCAGGTGCCCAGGACGGCCAGTAGGGACAAGGCGATGGCGGCGCAATGGATCACAATCGAGGCATTGATGCTGTAGTCCAATGGCTCTGGCTCCGGCAGCACGCGGGTGGTGATAATCAGCTTTTTAAGCAGACGACAAGCTGTAATACAGTAGCATGTATATAATATTCGAATTAAAGTAATCAATTCGAAAACCAACCAGTGACCACATAGAGCGAGGTGTACTGCAGGTAACCCACATACGGTCGCAGGCTGCGGAATGTTCCCACCTCGTGGAAGGTCTCGACTTGCTTCCGCAGCACAATCAGTAACACGCAAACCAGGTGAGCCGGCAACCAGCCGTAAAACTCGAGCACCAGTCGAGACAGAGCCGAGGAGTATGAGTATTCATAGCTAAGAATACGAAACGATATGGTATTTGAAAAAGAAAGAGATAGAAATGGCACGAATAGTTACCTGATGCGATAGCGACAAGTGGGATCCAGATACAGATCCAGGGTGACGGGATTCAAGGTAGTGTTGTAGTGTCGGGGCACTAGAGTAGGCACATTAACATACAACTGCGGTTTCTGGTCAAACGATCTGCAACGACAAAGCGCGCGGGGATAAGATACTGCGAGCCATTAATCCTTTATATTCCACTTACTTAATAGTTTGGAAACGTTCGAAGCCCGCTGCCCAGGGGACACATATCCGGGCGGTCACTCTGAACTCCGAACTGATGCACTGCAATGGCTCCAGAATCACCCGAATGCTCTGGTACGGATCCACCATCTCGGATATGCGCACTTTATGATGCAGCGTGCCCTGCAGAGTTTCGTTTACGAGCGGCAGCTTGGCCATGGTGTACCAGCGAGGCATTCTGATGTCCGTGACCCGCTCTCGGGGGTCATAGATGTCCAGGTTGTAGCCGATTCGTTTGGTGCTCGGTGGCAGGCGCACCAGGACATGGGTCCACTGCTCGTAGGTCTTACGCAGGTTGTGCAGATCCAAGATGGCGATGCTCCGGGGATCGCGATCTTCGTTGGGCAGCCTCTGGACAAGGTGCATCAGTGAGGTGGCCTTTTCGCTGGAAAGATAAATGTTCACATTAGTTCTGCCTACCCTTAAACTCTCGAGGCATGAGCAACGCACCAATAAAGCTGTCCTGTCTTATTGTTCTCTTGGGCGGAGCAGCCAAACAGCCAGACTTCGTCATCCACGTTTAAGGCCTCGATGGCAGCCTTTCTGTACCGCTCCTGCCTCTGCAATCCAATTAAATCGAAGAAGGTCCCTTTGAGTCCGTTGGTAAAGTACTTGTTGATCACCAGACGGCGCTCTTCGTGCCAGTTTCCCGCGCTTCCGAGCCCCACAGTGTTCTGCTGACGCCTGCGTGGCTTCTGTGGATAAACCTTAAGTTTGGTATAAACACCTCAGATTGCAGGAACCTACCACAAAAGTCGACAGGGCCGCATGCAGGTTGCGCTGCTTGTTGGTGCCGAAGACTACCGACGAGCGGTCCTCGGGAATGTAGGCAATGCTGAAGAGAAAGCGGTTGATGGCCTGCATGAACTGCAGGCACCACACGGCGGACAGATGGTCGCAGCTCAGACTCACTTTGGGTATAGCTGAGGTCTGAAAAGCAACGCAAATATATAGTAACCTCGATTCTGGAGAGCAATTAGTCACTTGACTACCATGGCGTGCAGATCGTTGAACCGCGAACTGGTAAGTCCGGGGCGCACCAGCAGATCCCTGTTGCCGCCGCCCGTGGAGATGAGCAGCACGTTATCCAGCCGCGCCGAGCTGTCCTGGCTAGCCATTCGATGCACACTCGGCGGCCGCTGATGCAAACTGTCGCAGACATTCGTGGTCATCGTTGGCACCGTAGCAGTCCGCAGCTTGCCAAGCGCAGTGTCTGTCTGCACATAGAACTTGTCCAGCTTGGCGTCCAGGTTGAGCACGGGCTGATCTAGCGGCGTCGAGATGCTGACAATGGCATTGATGTGCTGCCCAATGGCGGGGTCTACTAACACCGACTGTGCCAATTTACCACCCATAGAATGGCCGATCAACACGATAGAGGGCTGTTCAGCGTGGCCCTCGTAGATCGACAGGATGGTGCGGATACATAGTTTTAGATAGCTCTGCTGGCGAGGCAGATAGCCTCCGTACAGAGCGGACAGCTCCTCGTCAAAGTCGATGGTGTAGTAGTCCAAATGGAGTCCCTCGTCGTTGGACATTGCCTTGCGCAGAGCCACGGAGGCCAGGGAGCGCACCTGCTTAAAAGAGCCGGCGTTGCCGGGCACAAAAATCACCGGGGCACCCGTCATCCGTCGCTTTAGTGGATCTAGCGGCTGTCGCAGGCCCTCGTAGTAGTAGTACAGGCCATAGTTTGGATACTGATCGCCTCCCTTGACCCCCACTTTCTGCAAATCGAGTGAAATAAGCAATTGGTAGAAGCCTTTTTTCGCGACTCAACTAAACTTACCGCAAACATAGGCTCGCCGAACATGTAGGTCATCCGGCAGGCATTGGGCTCCACCTCTACGTACAAGTGGAACAGGCCGTAGAGGAAACAACAGATGGAGCCGAGCACAAGCAAAACAGCGCAGTTTCGGAACATAAACATCGTCGTTTTTTAGTTTTTCATATCTCTGTTTATGTCGCAGTTTTGTTGTTGTTCCCCTAGAGATGAGCGTTCCGCTAGAGATGAGCGCGGAGCTATGGATGGGCGGTAGTTTGAGTAGGACAAGGGTAATCGGCATCAGACCCTAACCGATAGATTTAATTTATATTTGTTGGCTTACGGAAGAAAAAGGAATGAGTGTATTTGCTTTTTTTGTGTTTTTAAAGAAACAGACGTAAAAATTTGTATTACATATCCAAAATATTGATGGCAAATATTATAACACATAACATTCGGTGGTGGAAGATACATAGTTAGTGGTCATGCATCTATAGATGATCTCACCAAATATCATTGAGCTGTAAATGTGTCCTAATAAAATAACTGATATTAAAATCAAATCATAACCGATATCGACAACTCAAAAATGTACAATTAAATTTTTTTGTAAAGCCCCTGGAAAGCAGTAAAAAAAATCAGTTTATTTAACGCGGGGTGTGTTATCCTCCAATATTTTGCATACATTTTGTTTAATAATTATGAAAGTTTTTGTCACAATTTTATGTAAATAATAAGGGCTATTTTGTTAACATATTGGTATGCCGCCCATGTTTCGAAAATTTAATACACTCAAAAGTCAAAATTTAGTTCGGCTTAACACAGTCAAAAGTCAAAATGGGGAAGGTCCTGAGCTTTGTTTTTAGCACCTTAAAAACGTTGCATACCAGGTTTTTTAATTTTTTTTTCAAACTTTTATTGTAAAAGCTAGTCATACAATCAGCTAAATGTATTATATACGTGGACAGTTCTGCAATGTTACTTTTAGCCGTGACTTTTCGTAACTTGATCACGGGACACCACTTGCGCTCATCTCTAGTGACTTGATCAATATGCGTGTGTGTGTATAGAGCCGACCCCCGTTGTTGGTTTTGCTAGTTGTTCATTCAGTTGGCGTACGCGTGCGCCCACCTCCAATCCGATCCGATTCTCCCGATTCAAATACAGATTCAGATTCCGATCCGATCGTACCGGAATTGTCAACAATAAGACGGCATCATCGATTCGTTTTTCTAAGCTGGACTATGATTGTGTGCGGGTAGCCGCAGCAGCCTGTTTGTGTCAGTGTGCGTGCGCTTAATTCGCGAGTGTGTGTTTGTGTCTAGCCTGGCGCTATTGTCGTTGTTTTGGGGGAAGAAAAAGACAGTTAATGCCCTAGCAATAACAAAAACAACGCGAGAGAGAGACATTGTCGCCGCGCAGTCGCCTCCGCTGCCACCGTCGACGTCGCAGCCGCAGCGCGCAGTCGTCGATCCGCTCGCTAGTTGTTGCTGTTTAGTGTTCGCTGTGGAGAGTTGTTTTGATCTGTTCCGATTCCTATTTCGTTTTTGATATAGATCACAATATATATAGTTTGTTATACAAAGTGCAAAAAGTCAAGCAAATGCTGTGTGCCTGCAATTGTTGTTTGTTGTAATCGCACTCGCACCAGTGTACACATATACAAGCACGGAAAAGAGCGCATTCCAATCCCTGCACACACAGACACACCATGGAAATTTGGCGCTCGCTTACAGTGGGCACCATCGTGCTGCTGGGAATCATCTGCTTCTACGGCACAGTCGAGTCCTGCAACGAGGTCGTCTGTGCCTCCATCGTCTCCAAGTGCATGCTCACCCAGAGCTGCAAATGTGAGCTAAAGAACTGTTCCTGCTGCAAGGAGTGCCTTAAGTGTCTGGGAAAGAACTACGAGGAGTGCTGCAGTTGTGTGGGTAAGGAAGGTCATCGGATGGGCTGGGAGCACTGCGTGGTGGAAGGTGGTCATGCATCTATAGATGATCGCCAGTGATGATGTGATGGTCATTTACTTTGTTTTTGTTGTTGTCAAACGGGTCGTGTGTGTCTGAGCAAGTGTGTGTGCGGGGGGAGCCTGCGATGTGCTAACTTGTTATCGATAACTGGCTTAAGCTGGCTATCGAGCTTGCCTTAACCCTAACACTGGCCAAAGGGTTAGACTTGCAAAAACACTGCTTATTTAATTTTCTAAATTTAATTAATTATTAGCTTTAGGGTTGTTCAGAAATTTTATTTTAGTATGATCCAAACGTAAGCCTTGCAATGCTTACCTGGGGTTAAAAGATATGAAACTGTCTGTCATCTTAATATCAATTTAAGTTATGAGCCACGAAAAAATGTTTATTGATGGTGGAAATAAATAAATAATCGGATTGAAATCATCCCGGCCGGGCTTACTTGAAATGCAATTTACGTTCGGCCCACATGATGTTGTTTATAAACAAATCGAGCATGACGATGAAAACAAATATGCACACGAGATTGGAATAGGAAAGCATGTCTTTTCCTAAGGAATAAAAATAAATCATTTCAATAATCAGATGCACAAAAAAAAACTAGTCGTAAATATTAAACGCAGTCTACATAAACGAAAGGAATGTGCATTTTGCAAAGTATAATTTCAGTTGAAAAAACATTTTACGACTAAGTATATATTCTAAAAATAAAACCACCGCATATTGCAATTATTTGGTTATTCGGCTTATAATAGTTAGTTTTCTGGCAAAATCTTCATCACAATCAATACATATTTTTGTAGAACTTTGCCCGAAACCCAATGATACCCGCAACTCGCTGTCTAAAAAGTCACACGTGGAGGACTTCGATGGAGTGCCAGAGTTATTCAACGCCGTAGCCACCCCGGATGAGGGCGACAGCTTCGGCTACAACTGGAACGTGTTCACATTTCAAGTGGATTTCGACAAGTACTTGAAAGGTCCTAAGCTGGAAAAGGACGGTCATTACTTCTTGAGTGAGTGTCGAACACAACAGCTTGCGCCCTTAATCCCTATATTGGTTTTGATTTAAAAAGGAACCAACGATAAAAACCTGGACGAAGCTATCCAGGAGCGGGATAATATAGTGACCGTCAACTGCACGGTTATATATCTGGATCAGTGTGTGTCGTGGAACAAGTGCCGCACCAGCTGTCAAACGACAGGCGCCAGCAGTACGAGGTGGGAAACATTAGTGGGTCCAAGGGATCAGTTGTGATATGTGTCATAATAATTCCTTTGCCAATTCTTCAGATGGTTCCACGATGGCTGTTGCGAGTGCGTGGGCTCCACGTGCATTAACTACGGCGTTAACGAGAGTCGCTGTCGAAAGTGCCCGGAGTCAAAGGGCGAGATAGGTGACGAGCTGGACGACGCTATGGAGGAGGAGATGCAGGACTTCGGTGAGAGTATGGGCCCCTTCGACGGACCCGTGAACAACAACTACTGAAATGCCATCCAGAACAGAACAGAACAGAACAACGTCTAACAAAATTAGCTACTCAATTCAGTGACATTATTATTATCTAGTACGAAGTAATATTTGTATAGCACTATTATTATTATTTTTATTTACGAAAATTGAATAGGCGCTTTAAATTGTTTTACTTATTGAACCGGCCAAGATTATATATATGTTTATATATATATCAATAAATATTTTTTTTACTAAATAGGAAAAAAGGTTTCTTTGTTGAACGACGGTTATAAAGAAAATAAATATTTATATATAAAGTATATTCTTCACAATATATTTAACGGCCGAAAAAATTATCTCCATCGTACGATAGTTTCAGTGTGGACGTTGGCGATTAGGGCCTTTTGGTATTAGGAAAAACAAAGACTTCGTGCCCACTATTTGCGGCAAACTAAATTTCGTGTGTTTTTATTTTCATTAAATCATAAATTTTTGGGGCTGGGCTTAAGCGCGGCCGAGAATTTGTGGACTGTTTGACCGTAAATCAGTTTTTCATAAAGCTATTGACTTTATCGGGAACTGTCAACGAATAAAAGTTACGTATTCGAGGGAGTTACGTAGTCGCACTTGTTCTGCAATTTGGAAATGATGTTGAAGGGTCTGCGGCGAGTGCGGAATGTGCTGCAGCGCGGGGGCCATCAGATGGCTCAGATCCGCAGTGCCATGGGGCAGCCCCACAGAATTTCCCAGGAGCTGTCGCTCCTCCAACTTAGCCGGAGACAGGTGTGTAAACTGGGTCAATATTCCTTCGGACACATATAATGTCTTGTTGTCTTGTTTAGGTAATGCAGCTGCAGGCGGAGTACAAGGCGATTGTAGGCGTGATAGCCCGCTCCCTGCAACTGACGCCGCGAGAAGTGCGTCTGATGCACCTGCGCAGCCTGAGTTCGGCGCAAAAACCACCTCCCACACCCGCAGATGACAAGGGGGAAAAGGCTCCAGGCAAGACTCGAGAGGGTAACGCGAAGGAGGAGCAGAACCCAGCTGAGAAGAGCAGCAAAGCTCCAGGCGAGGAGGCCTCCAGTAGTCCCAGTCCTAATCCCAGTTCCAGTAGTTCCGCCGGCGAGCCGGGAGAAGATCCCAACAAGAACAGCAACGAGAACGATGAAAAGATGCGTTCCGTGTTGACCAAGGCAGTACTCTGGCTTTTCACCATCTACATGTTTGTAGCCTTCTTCTCCCTGCTGATCACACCGCGGTCCGAACGGCCAGAGGTAAGACAAAAGAAGAAAGTCACTGAAGAAAGTCAGTTACCTTACTCTTTTCCACTGAACAGGGCTCAACGCGCTACGTGTCCTGGAACGAGTTCGTGCACCACATGCTAGCAGTGGGCGAAGTCAAGGAGTTGATCATACGGCCCGACATGGAGATGGTCACCATCATCCTGCACGAGGGGGCCGTTATCAAGGGCCGCAAGGTGACTTCCACCATCTTCCACATGGCAGTGGCCGATGCCAACAAGTTTGAGGAGAAGCTGCGTGAGGTGGAGAAGCGGCTGGGCATCAAGGATGGCGTTCCGGTGACCTACGATCGCCAGACGGACACCACCGGCCGCATCCTCATGCTGCTGCTCATCTGCGCCCTGCTCATGTCCATCGCCACCCGCATGAAGAGCATTAAGAGCCCGCTAAGCATGGATTCGTTTGTGAGTGGTGGAGTGGAGCTCCGAGAAAGGGAAATTCGTGGCTTGACTTTCTCGTTCCTTCCAGAACCAAATGGGTCGGGCCAAGTTCACGCTGGTGGATCCCTTCGACGGCGGACGCGGCGTGCTTTTCCGTGACGTGGCTGGTCTTAGCGAAGCCAAGCAGGAGGTGAAGGAGTTCGTAGACTACCTCAAGTCCCCGGAGAAGTACCAGCGCCTGGGCGCCAAAGTGCCGCGCGGAGCCCTGCTCCTGGGTCCGCCGGGGTGCGGCAAGACGCTCCTGGCCAAGGCGGTGGCCACTGAGGCCCAGGTGCCGTTCCTCAGCATGAACGGCTCCGAGTTCATCGAGATGATCGGCGGCCTGGGGGCGGCACGCGTGCGCGATCTCTTCAAGGAAGGCAAGAAGCGGGCGCCGTGCATCATCTATATAGACGAAATCGACGCCATCGGTCGTCAGCGCTCCGGAACGGAGAACATGGGCCAGGGCAGCTCCGGCGAGTCGGAGCAGACGCTTAACCAGCTACTGGTCGAGATGGATGGCATGGCCACCAAGGAGGGCGTGCTCATGCTGGCGAGCACGAATCGCGCCGACATTCTGGACAAGGCACTTCTGCGACCCGGCCGCTTTGATCGCCACATCCTCATCGACTTGCCCACGCTGGTGGAGCGCAAAGAGATCTTTGAGAAGCACTTGTCGTCGGTGAAACTGGAGTCGCCGCCTGCGACCTTCTCCCAGCGCTTGGCCCGTCTCACGCCCGGCTTCTCGGGTGCGGACATTGCCAACGTGTGCAACGAGGCAGCCCTGCACGCAGCGCGCAACACACAGAAGGAGGTCAGCAGCAAGAACCTGGAGTACGCTGTGGAGCGACTAGTCGGTAAGTAGATCTCCGCTGCGCCCGAGGACAGCCCCTGACTGTCAACATTTTTAGGCGGAACTGAGAAGCGCTCGCATGCGCTGTCGCTGGCGGAGCGCAAGGTGATCGCGTACCACGAGTCCGGACACGCTCTGGTGGGCTGGATGCTGCCCAACTCGGACATCCTCCTGAAGGTCACCATAGTGCCGCGCACTAGCCTGGCGCTGGGCTTTGCCCAGTACACGCCCAGCGAGCAGCACTTGTACAGCAAGGAGGAGCTCTTCGACAAGATGTGCATGGCGCTGGGCGGTCGCGCGGCCGAGAACCTGGTCTTCAATCGCATAACGACGGGCGCACAAAACGATCTGGAGAAGGTGACGAAGATTGCCTACTCGCAGATCAAGAAGTTTGGCATGAACGCGAACTTGGGGCCCATCTACGTCCGGGACGCAGATGAAACGGAGGGCGGAGGTGCGCTGGGCAGCGGCGGCAAGAAGCCCTTCTCGCGGGCCATGGAGAGCCTGATCGACAACGAAGCGCGCCATGTGGTCGCCAGCGCCTACCAAACCACCGAGGGCATCCTCACTTCGCACCGCGATAAGCTGGAAAAGGTTTGTTGGTGCTGCTGCTTTATTTTGTGTTGTTTTTCTATAGTCTCGGCACATTTTAGCTGGCCGAAGCTTTGCTGGAGAAGGAAACGCTGGACTACGACCAGGTGGTGGAGCTGATTGGACCGCCGCCGTACGATATCGGCAAGCGGCAAGTGGACGGCGTGGAGTTCGAGCAGTCATTGAAGAACCTGGGCAGCGACGCGGACGCCACCAAAGCCTGAGACGCACAGCTGTAGAGGCGCAATTGTTCATCACACACCACGTGCCCCGAGTCGCTCACCTTTTGCCCGCCATTGGTTCATGTTCGTTAAATGTAAATAAAGTTGTTTACCTTTTTAAATGACTCCCGGCCGTGTTCATTACCTAATTGCCCGCTAATCAGCCGCGTCTGGCTGGCAAGGCGTTTTCTAACTACCGGACGAAAATATCTGTCCAACTCTAGTGCCAGTAACCCCTAGAAATCTGTTATGTATTTTTTGTTGAACTGAAAGAAATATATTCGAAAATGTATTTAGGAAATATATTGTTTTTACATTGCATTTAACGCGTACCCATTTTTCAAATGATAGTGAAAATATAAAGGTGATAGCACGATTTCTGGAATAAAGTCAAGATTAGTTTCCACCATTATAATTTAATGAAATAATCAATAGACCGTGTGTTGCCTGTATCGACAGCTTATACCCCTTCGATGAGGGTATAGCCGTGTGTTTTATCGGCGTCATCGCACCGACATGGCAGGAGATCAAAGTTTAATTTCACACTAGTCCACGCTGACCTAGAACCTGACACGCACTGTCAATTGGATAAGCACACTCAGTCACAGTCAGAGTCACCCAGAGACCGATCCGACGGTCACCTGATGGCAGCCGGAGTCCACCGCCCCACCTGCTGGCCCATATCCATATTTATCCGCAAGATACTCAGATAATGACCAAGTGCGATCTGTTTTTCAAGCTTTTGTGATATGTAGTTTGTATCGGAGTTCTTGCAGGAGTTTTTTTGAGTGTATTTATTTTTATATAGCGACTTTGACTAGCAGTATCTTCAGGGTCTTCCACATTTATGCACATTATATGGGAGCATTTCTAAATTCAGAGAGATGGAGAAGAGAAACCCGTTCTCCGTTGCAACCAATTTGAGAATCATTTAGTTTTCACTCATATTCATTTACTCGATTTATTAGCCGAATCCGAATATTTTTTTGTTACCTAGAGCACCGACAAGGAAACACTTAAACTTTATTGGTCGAGTAAAATATGAGACGATGACGAGCTTTTTTTTTTTTTAATTTGGTGATTTTTAACTAGCTAAAAAAAATTTTTTTTTGATTCAGAAAATTTGTACCAATACAATTTTCGTTCGACTACTTTTAAACTGAAATTCATCTCAATGAATACTCAAATCTCATTCCGTGTAAAAATAAAGTTTCAAGTCGGTTCAGTCACAATCAATTCGATCCGGACCCAGAAGCGCACTTGAACTCGCACTTGGCTTTCAGAGGATGCATAAATAGGCCCGGCTTTGGGTTGAAGTTTGTCAGTTATCGCTCAGCTAAATCGGTATAAACAAATCGGATTACGGATACGGAAAAATGCAGTTAACCTGTTCCTTGATATTCCTGGTTTGGACGGGTCTCCTGGGCCTGGTTGCCTATCGTGTTGAGGCCTCCAATGGGTTTCGTGAGTGTCCAAAATATTCGAAAGCTTCGCTGCGGAAATGTTCAAGAAACCATTTAAGAAATTTGGCTTAAGTTAGCTAAGAGTGTGTGTTCCAATTGCCTAACTGAATCTTTAGTTAATTTATTATTTTTTTTTTTTAAGTTTTTAAAGTTTTTTATGATTTTTTCCAAATTTTCCATCCGATTTTAAAGTGGCATACCTCAATGACCAAAATCCCATGCAATGAAGAAGACACCTCAGACCCCATAAACTATGTATGTACATATATTCTTGATCAGCATCACGATCTGAATCGAAATACAATCGTATAGATTGGCAATCTGATTACTGGGGATTCTCTGGCTTCCAAAACTATAATTTGTTTGACTGTAAGTTGTTTCTTGCTTAAACCGCTGAAAAATGTTTGGAGTCCCAAAAGTTGTTTTATACAAATCAGCGCTGCTGCACATTCTCCTACTTCGAATTTCTGTTTTCCTGGTGTTTGGTGTCGCAAACACAGCCGATTTTGCTTCCCAAATTGAATTGAGACACCAGGCCAACATAACTCATAGCAGGTTGCAGCTGGTAAATCTGATCTTATTCAAATAACTGTTCTTTTCGTAAGATAGCTGTCCTTGTTACCCTTCCCCTCCCTGTCCCGACCAATCAGAAAGCCATCTCGCTGGCAAGAACCGTTACTTCAAAGTAAGCATCAGACCAGAGATGCGAAAACACGCTGATTCATTGTGCGTGTCACGAAAGTGGCACGCCGCGTACGAGTAATTAATAAATTCTCATGTGGTTGTTGTTGGCGTGACAAGAACAACTTGTCACGCGCTCAACACTAACAAGTCAATTTTAAGCTGATCAGCTGATCGATTTGCACCTGCTAGGCAGTTATGTTGGCCTGGTGTTTGCACTTCTGTTCGTCGCAATTTGCTTGCGGAAAATGTTATTCTTTTTATCAGGGACGCAGCGGGGTGTTCAGGGGGTCCATAATCCAGCAAAATCGTAGACTCTTTCAAATCTCCTTACAGCGCACGGTCTTTCACCATATAAATTAAAAAATCTTTTATCGGACCCCCCAATCTTTTCGATCGGACCCACAACATTATTTCCGGCTTCCGCCCCTGCCTTATTACAATAGAAAAACCACTGAAAATATAGTGTTTTTTACCAAACTGTAATCTTAAAGTCAGATTTCGAAGTGGTATATCATTAAGTCAAAAAAACAAAACTGAGTCCGCTGAAAATGTATATTCCGGTCGAATTAATGTGGCTCTTTCCCGAATCGTCTGCAACAGCGTCGCCTCTGAAGCGCTGCAAGATGCAGGACGAGGCGTGCTTGGTAGCACAGGCACAGACCTTCATAAGGACCTTCAAGAAGGGCATTCCGGAGCGGCAGGTGGACAGCTTGGAGCCCATCGATCTGGGCACGATGCGTGTGGAGAGCGGGGGCCACTCGGAGTCGCTGCAGTTCAGGCTGGTGATGAGCGACGGCAAGCTGCACAACTTCGCCAACTCCGTGGTGGTGAAGAGCGTGAAGGGCTTCGGCAAGGACCCCGGCAAGCCGCTCAAGCTCACCGTGCTCATGGATGCCCCCGAGCTGGAGGTGCGCTCCAAGTACGACGTGGACGGCAAGCTGCTCATCCTGCCCATCGTCAGCAAGGGCGACCTCCTCATCCAGATGAAGGATGTGCAGACCAAGGTGAGGATCGTGGCGGAGCCGGTCAAGCGGGCCGATGGCCGTGCCTACCTTGCGGTCACCGACCTGAAGGCGATCACCAAGGTCAAGGGGTGAGTGTCTGCCCAGTACTCGTATGTCTACCCCAGTTCAACCAATATTCAACGGTACTTGCAGAGGGAAGTTCGACCTGTCGAACCTGTTCAAGGACAACGTGGAGCTGCGGGAGAGCACTCTGAAGGTGCTGAACCAGGAGTGGGACACCCTGGCCCTGGATGTCCAGCCGAAGATCAACGAAGCCATCTCCAAGGCCTTCAGGTCCGTCCTGCAGAGTCTGTGGAACAACATACCCTACGACGAGTTCTTCGAGGCGGAATAGCGCTCATTTGACGCAGCAGCAGCATCATACATATAATTATATGTACAAGTATATATCTCAAATCCTGGGTTTATTTATATCATAATACGAGTTCAAAACTCAAATCCTGATGAGCGAATTAAACTACGTCCCAAAAGTTGAGAAACAGGTGGTTTGGGTAACTCCAACGGATTGTAACACATTTACTATTGTTTATTCAGGTATACGGTACGATGCGATTCCTATGTGCTTGCTTGGCTTGAGATCTATTAGGTTATTATGGAGCTGGGGATCTTTCGAGACCGTCGTCTCGTCGGTGGTTGGTGGTTGGTGGTTGGTATTGGAGAAGGCGTCACCAGTCATCTGCTGTTTCGGTTGCGGTTCCCTTGAATCCGTAGTAGGTGGTATCCAACGGATACAGTCACAAGGTCATAGAACTTTATGGAGAGAAACTTGGGGCTAAGCCGGGGGATCATGGGGTGAAGACGGACTCTCGGACACTCACCCGCTTCCTGGAGCCCCGCCAGTCGTCGGTGTCTGCTGCTTGGCTCGACACGATCCCAGGGATCGACACACGCACCCGGCTGTGCTCGTCGGATCAGAGATCAGCAGCCACTGCGGCCGCGGCTCCTACCCGTCCCCGTGCTGCGTCTGGTCCTCCTCCGGGTGCTCCATGATCTTGCTCTCCGGGGTGCTGATGCCCTGCGGATTAGTGTGACAATTGAGTGGTTGAGTGGCTTCGGCGTGAGGAGCACTACTACGGGGAGAACCCCTAATTACCTTCAGCTTGCGGTGCTTCGGGTCCTTCTCGGTGTCCGGCGGACTCTCCGACCCGTCCGTCGTCTTGATGAAGGACGAGTAGAACGAGGAGAAGCTCGAGCCGTCCATGTCGTCGCTGTTCCCGTTGCTGTCCGTGTACTTCTTGTTGATGGCCGGGTGGCTGCTGCAGGGCGGGTCCGAGTGGTAGTCGCCCATCACGGAGGGCAGCGGCGAGGAGTCGGGCACCTCCTTCTGGCAGGACTCGACCGCCGCCGCGGTGGCCTGCGACCCCCCGGGCTCCGCCTTCACGGAGCTGCAGCTCCCCTGGAGCTGCCCCGAGCTCCGTTGTCCCTGGGCGGGCGAGGTGACCGCGTGGAAGGCCCCCGGCACCTTCTTCGCCAGCGTCGCGGGCGCGCTCTGTGGGTTAAGATTCAGTTGTTAGGTGTCTGGCGTTAAGTGTCTGGTGTTAGCTGTTAGGTTGGGTGGGAAACAATGGGACACTCCCGGTGGAGGACTCACCGCGTAGACCGTCTTGTTGTACGCCGACTGGGCGCCCAGCGGCTGCTCCGGCAGCTGGAGCGCGTTGGCCATGCCCGGGAACGGCATCGGCTGGTACATCATGGCCGTGGCGGCCGCCGCCGCCGGGTGCGTGTAGAAGAGCGAGGGGTGCGGGTACATCACGCCGGCCATGTACTGGAGCGGCACGGCCTGGGCGGCCCCCGCTGCCGCCTGCTGCGAGGTGGTGGGCAGCTCCACGCCGCCCTTCAGCGGGTGCTTGTGCATCCGCGGCGAGCGCGTCGGGCTGCTGGGCGCCAGCGAGGCGGGGATGTAGTAGAAGGTCGGGAAGAGGCCGGCGGAGGAGAAGCTGCTCTGGGCCATCGCCGTGTGCGTGGAGTGGACCGGCGGGGTGATGCCCACCGAGAACGGCGGCCACAGGTTGATGTTCTGCGTGCAGGAGGGGTAGCTCGCGGGACCCGGCGTTGAGCTGCCCACCGAGGAGTTGGCTCCCGCCACTCCTGCTCCTCCGCCTCCTCCCGCTCCTCCACCTGACCCTCCTCCTCCTATAGGGTTCCCCCCTCCCGGGGTCGCGGCTGTCCGGCCCTCCGGTGCTGCCGCACTACCCGATCCGCCACCGCCTCCGCCGCCTCCTCCTCCTCCGCCTGCCACGCCCGCCCCACCAGATCCGACTGCCCCCGCTCCCACCCCCAATGGACCGCTCTTCACCGCTTCCGCTCCAAGGGTCAGCTGCTGCTTGGGCTTGTTGGCCTCGCCCTCCCACGAGTGGGAGCCGCCCCGCTTGATCCCGTGGCCCGGGCCGCCGATGTCGAGCATCTTGAGCGTGTCGTTGGCCGACTTCTTGCTTTTCTCGCCGGTGCGTCCGCGCGCCTCGCGGTGCTTCTTCAGCATGAACTTCTCCATCTCGTCGTTGTGCTTGTTCAGCAGCGACTCGGTGAGGGTGACGGGTGGAGTGGCCGCTCCTCCCGCCCCGGAGGCTCCTCTGGAGGAGCTGCCCGAGTTGGTTCCGTTGCCCGTGCCCGTTCCAGTTCCTGTCCCAGTACCAGTTCCAGTCCCAGTACCAGTTCCAGTTCCAGTTCCTGTGCCTGTGCCAGTTCCAGTGCCTGTACCAGTACCAGTTCCGGTTCCAGTTCCTGTTCCTGTCCCAGTTCCTGTGCCAGTTCCGCCGGTGCCCGCTATGCTCGTGTTGGTCACGCTGCTCATGTGGATGTTGCTCGCCGTGGTGAAGTTGCCCGAGGAGCCGCTGCCGCCGCTGCCCTCGTGGACGGGACTCATCGGACCGCTGACGCAGGTGGCCCGCGGCTCGTGGGGCTCCGCCTTGGGCGGGTCGAGCTCCGCCGGCGCGGTGACCGGCTTGCTGTTGAAGAAGCGCAGCAGGTTCTCGTTGTAGTTAAGCTGGTTGTAGCTGGGCGGCGTCTCCGTGGAGCTCTTGCTGTCGTAGTAGTCGTGGTGCGGCGAGATCTCGCCGAGCATCACGCTGTCGCGCTCCGAGACGGTCAGCTCGTTCTCGTGCGGCAGCTCGAGCTTGAGGTCCGCGCGGGAGACCTCGTCCATGAGGGTCTCCATGAAGCTGGCGAGCGCCTGGCAGCGGCGCGACACCTCCTGCTTGACGGTGTCCGAGGGCCGGGAGACGGTCTCAGCCAGCAGCTTGACGATGTCCTCCTTGATGCGCGTGTTCCGGCTCTGGGCCTCCTCGGAGATCTTGAGCTTACAGCTGGGCGCCGCCTCGAACACGTTGCACTGCTTGGGTCCTGTTGGGCAGAGACTCTCGGTTACTCTCAGTGGTTCCTCCGCCTCTGGTGAGGTACTCACCCTGGAACACCCGGTGGTGGCCCACCACAAACTCCAGCTTGCGCGACCAGGGGTTCACAAAGCTGGTCCACTCGGTCTCCAGGAGGACGTAGCAGCCGTTCTGGATGAGGAAGCGGTACGGCTTGCTGCAGAAGGAGGCGCCGGCCGTCTGGCCCTTCTTCATCACCGTCTCGTAGGTCTCCTTCATGACGGAGAGGTCCTCGTGGTGGTAGAAGTCCATGATGCTGCGCCCGATGAGGTCCTGCGGCAGGTAGCCCAGCGCACTCACCGACGCGCTGTCCACGTGCGAGATGATCCCGGTGGCCGTGTGCCGGATGGCGAACTTGGGGCTCTTCTGGGAGAGGATCTCGTCGGGCACTGGATCGAACCGAATCGGAATTAGTAATCGAATGGAATGGAGTGAAATGGAGTGGAGGTCAGAATGGATAGCGAACTCACCCTTGTAGCTGCTCTTGATCGGAGTGGCGCAGATGACGAGCAGCATGTTGGTGCCGTTGGAGACCACGTAGTTGTCCGGCCGGGCCTCCTCCGGGGCCTCCCGGAAGGTGAGCCCCAGCCGGAAGGGCTCGTAGCTGACCGGCCGCCCGATGACCCCGAAGCCGCCGGACTTGAGGCCCCGGTAGCGGCGCAGCATCACGCAGAAGGTGCTCTTCGCGTCCTTGGGGGTGCTGCCCCGCGACTCCGCGATGGGGATGCCCGTGGTGATCTGACTGGCGAAGGTCGCCCGGTCCTTGGGGTGCACGAAGTCGATGAAGGACCGCCCCAGCCACATGTCGCGCGGGTAGCCGAGCACGTCGGTGATGCTCGGCGTGGTGTACAGCACGATGCCGTCGTGCATCGAGATCACGCAGCAGAAGCTCTCCTCCTTCACCCGCTCTCCCCGCTGTCCGCCGGCTCCCGCCCCTGCGGCTATTCCCACGCCACCGCCAACGCCGGCGACTCCGCCCACGGCCACGCCCGCGCTGACGCCCGTGATGGCCTCCAGCTTGCCGGGCGCCGCGTCCCAGCCCTTCTCGAACTTCCCCAGGCCGCCGTCGAGGACAGAGGCGTGGCCCGTGCCGCCACAACCGTCCGCCCCGCCGCCCATCGAGGGCGGCACAATGGAGACGGAGAGCGGCGAGGGGCTGGGGAGGGGGAAGCTCTGGGCCGCCTCCGCCTCCGCCGCCTCCCCCTCCTCTTCCTCCCCCTCCTCGTCGTCCTCGTCGTCGGGGGAGCCCGGATGCAGCTGCTCCGCCGCCTGGGGCTCGCTGTGCTCCTCGCCGCGCTGCTGGTCCTGCAGGATCTGCGCCTCCCCGCAGCCGCTGCCGCTCGGGCGCGGCTTCTCCTCCTTCGCCGCCTCCAGGGAGCTCGCCGCCGCGATCAGCGACTGCACCTGCGACTGCGACTGCGCCTGCAGCTGCGACTGTGACTGCGCCTGGGCGGCCCCCTTGCTCTTCTTCTTCTTGCGCGACTTGTCCTTGTTGCGCTTGATGATCATGTCGCTGCTGCTGGCCTGCGTCGAGGGCTTGCCGCCATAGCCGCTGCTCCCGGAGGAGTGGCTGCCGCTGAGGCGCGACTTGGAGCTGCCGCTGAAAGGGTAGCGGTAAAGGGATGAGGATATTGGATATTGGATATACCCAGAGTGTGCTCGAATTGCTGCTAGGAGGGACTCACCTGCGCTGTGACTGGCTGTTGCTGCAGCTGTTGGAGTACGCCGAGTCGGACACCTTGGTGTTGTGCGTGGACTCCGTGGACTCGCCGCCCTCCATCGTGCTTAGGTTCTCCAGCTTGCCGACTGTCCAAATGGTATGTTGCGAGGTCTGTCTGGAAGGAACAAGTGCGAGAATATGGTTACTTGGCCACTTGGAGTTCAAGTGCCGCTCTTCTCTCCCCCAAATTGAATTTGCGGATTGCCCAACTGCAGTGCAGGATCGACTGGGAGTACATCCCATTCAAAACAGCGAACGCGGACCGATTGCGAAATATGTGGCTTCTCCCCATGTGGCACATGACGAAATAGTCCACGAAATCTGCACATCTGGATTGCAGCTTCCCTTACTGCGTATTCTGCGTGTCCAAAGAATGCGTTTGAATTCATTCACGTTGCCAGAGAGATTTGTGTGCATGGAAGCAACATCTCCAAGTGGTAGATGCAAATGCACGTGTTGGTATTTGTATTGGTGTTGGTAGAATGATTCGTATGAAAGGTAATCCGCTTGGGTGGGTGCTAATCACTGACTTGTCCGCTGGGCAAGCTCTCCTTAGCGGGGCTCCACTGCACCTCAAGGGGGCTGCTGTGGGAGGGAGAAGGCGGGAGATGCACTCACGTGCAGCTGCAGGCGTTGCAGACGAATCGACTGTTCGTTGTTGTTTTCAAGCTTAAGCCGTTATGCAGTCGCACGCACACAGCTGCAGGTTCGCACCACCCACCCGCACACTGGCACACATATACGTACACGAATGGGTATGCCCATAGGTGCACATGCACGAGGTACAGTGTGTGCACAGTGCGCACTCGCGAAATCCGCTGAGTCGTTCGAAATTCCAGAAGCGCAGAGTGCCGCGTAACCAAAAAGCGATTATTCGGTAATCAAGCAGCTCATATTTCGAGGATTAAGTAATTGCTTGCCTTCCAATATTGCGCCAAAGAAATGGAAATGGAAGGCGTGGCGTTGATCTCCGCTGGAATTTCGCAAGTTCAGCTACCGCAAGCCCGAACCTGAGTTGAGGCTTTCAAGGGGAAACACAACAGGTTGCATATATATTTATTTTATCAGTATATGGCCAGTGATTACAGAAACCCAGGGACCAACCCTCAGCAACATCTAACTGGTGAACTAATATTAGAAATAAACGCACCCTGAATCATATTCATAATCAGGGGGGAGGAGGGGGATCGGGTGGCGGGATTACACCTGGTCGTGCGTCACTCGCGCGGATCTTATACAATGGCTCGAAGGACGAACAGATGAAGGATAACTACTTCTGACCAGGAGGAGCAGGCTGGGATTATGCATTTGGACTGTGGCTGCTGATTATGAAAGCATAACAGAGGAAGATGGGCTGTAAAGAGCACTGCCGGTGCCTTCAAAATAGGAAAGCGAATGAATCCAAAGATTGTTCGGCCCACGCTACGTATGCGCAATATTCGTTCGCTATATTAAGTATACGCGTAGTGAAGGCAAATTATCATAACGGTCGCGAGGCTGCAGGGCATTTGTATTTGAATTCCACAGACAAACCACGTTTAGGAGGGTCAGTAATGGCTCCGCAGCTTTTTCGCAGCTTTTGTTTACGCCGCAACCGAGCGACACAGAGAACAGTGCTCTCTTAAACGTGCAACGTGCACTGAGCGGTCGGCACTTACTAATAAACAATGCATACATACATATGGACGTTACGAACCGCGTTCTTTATGTAAGTTGGCCCCACTTGTTTTGCTTTGTTTTGTTTTGCTTTTTGCAATATGATAATCGCCCTCTCTCTCCCGCCGCCTCTTGCTCATTTGTTCTATTTGCTGCAACAACGTGACAATTGCACTCACACTCTCGCTCTCTGTCTCTCTTCCTCGTTGTCTCTGCCTCTGTCTCTCTCGATCCCCCGTTGGGTGTAGGTTTTGTTGTTGTAATCCAGGGGTAATGCAATGGCTCAAGTTTTCACTGCAATTATTAATCACTTTTGCGGCTGAGCTCCGCCACTTTCACTGCCACAAAAAGTGTTGTGGCTTCAAAAAAAAAGGTGTATTTGTTATCGAGTTTGGCCCTAGATTCTTCCAGGCAATTCTTTCGATTCTTTTGGTTCTTTTGATTTTTTCGGTTTACCGACGAGCGCGTAGTCAACCTTTTTGCTGGAGGCTCGCACGAATACTAACTGAGTTAGCTATCTGCCCACCGAGCGTTCGCCTTCTCAGAATTTTCCCGCTACTCTCGGTAGAATCGCTCGGCCGAAACACTCGGCTCCGGCTTTAACCCTTCGGCGGAGCTTTTGCATCGAATTCGCAGGCATCGAATTCGCAGGCATCGAGATCCCAGCGAAGGTTTAAAGCTTAAACAATTGTTTGAGCTGCAGCTAGTTATCCGAAAATAAAAATAAATATATTATATACCTATGTTTCGGAAAACATTAAATCTAATTCAAAAGTAATGCAGTATCCCTTGTTCCACTTAAAATTAATACTCCAAAAAAGTTGATCTCGTGATCCTAATTTTAGTTTGTTTTTTACTTAATAAGAACACACAAATAATTTCTTTTTCTTTTTTTTTTTTTGGTTTTCCAGCGACCAGCGACATCGCGAAAAGCAAACCCCGGAGGCCAACCGGAGGTTAAGAAAAGCTGTGGAGTCCCCTGGCCTTTTGGGGCTGCTCGGGTGGCCGCCGGGGGTGGGTTCTCGGGGGCCGGCAGCACGTTTTCCGGGCTCTTTTCCGGACGGCGGACTGGCGGGGAAAATCACGCATTGCGCCACGTGAGCGACGGCCTTTCACAGCCTACGGCTTTCTCGGCCGCTTTTGCACTCGGGCCTGCCCCACGACGACTCTGGCGTACAGACGCTGGCATTTCGCAACGAATCACTCACCCACTCACCCACACACAGCCACACACACCCACATACAGCGACACACAGGCACAGAGTGCGAAAGTCGCATAGCAGAGACGCTAGTGAAAGTGGCGCCGAGCTTTTCGCCCCCAGGCCGCTCCCCTCCTTCCCCCCGCTCCTCCCGCGAAGCTTCACCAGACAAGTGTGCTCCCTGTGCTCCGTGGCACGTACTCATGGCTCGGCCTTTCCTCCGCAATCCGCAATCTGAAATCCGCAGTCGATTGCCAACGGAAACTGCGATTTAAAAGGCGGCGGGTTTGGGCTTTAGCCCACAGGTGGCGCCACAAGCGGATTTTCCTTACGTTTTGTGGAGTGCGATTGCGAAACTATTACTACTTCGCTGTCTCCTTGCTTTAGCAACATTGTGGCTGGTCCATCAGGTGCCTTGGGAGTTACTGATTCCTGTCCAACTGCTATTCACTGCTACAAGTGGAAATCTCATATCTAAAAGTTCCAGAGTTCGAGAGAGAAGCACGGGGACTTCCCGCATATTGCTGTGTTGGCTCGATGATGCACGAACTCCCTTAAATCCTCCAAATCCTGTCCAAGTGCCGAAGGATGCCACTAGTTTTTATCGGCGCGTTCCATCCGGCTGCTGATCAAATCGGAGTAATTGAATTTTATTAATTGGCGGCTTTGCACCCGTCCGCTTTCGGGTGTTGGGTGTTGGTCGTCGAGTGGGTGTGAAAATCCATTCGAGCGGCCCACTCCACTCCACTCCATTCCATCCGACCGCCATTGTGGGCCACGTGTGGGTTGTTGCCAAAGCAAACGCAGCTCTTATCTGGCGTGCCACATGCCACGTGCCACAGGCAGCGGCGCCTGCCCCGGAATGATAAAGAGCATTCGCAATTCGAATTAGCCACCAAACTGCCGCTAATTTGATTTTGATGCTGGCGACTCGACTGTTGACTGTTGACTGTTGACTTTTCCCCACTCCTCCTCTCGCGGGTTGTTTTGATGCAAAGTGATATTATTTGATTGCCGCTAATCGGATTTCGGGGGTGCTTTCCGGCTTTCGGCTTTCGGCTATCGCCTTTCTGCCTGGGCGGCGGACTGTGAGCCGGATTAGAGCCGGGTTCCCAGGACCAACCCCCGCTGCCCGAGCGACCATTTAGCCAGGACCTGCTCGTGAATGCTGACGGCGATTAGAGGAGCGCGTCAGGTGGTCCGACTGCAGCCAGCCAGCCAGGCATCCCCGCCAGTCAACTGGAGCGGCGTTTAGTTCCCACACATCCAGCTAATCGACGATTAACTTGAGTAAGTGCAGTAGGTGATATGATATGTGTGATACACTCGCACGCTCACTCACCTGAATTGGGTTGGGCCAACTGGAAGCCCTTTCGGTTCCCTGCAGAAGGAGGAGACTCCATCCGAGAGGCGACCAGCGGATGGATGTGCAGCGGATGGCGATGGCTCTCCTGGCTGTCCTGTCCTCAGCTTCTCGCTGACCGTTCCGCACGAGACGCCGGAGCAGGATGACCGACTAGTTGGCAGAGTGTTGGAGGAGAAACTGCAGGTGGAGTTGCTCCAGGGTCGCCGTTTCCCGGTCAATCCCACGTCGTGGAGTTCTCTGGCGTCCCTGAACAAATGGATGGGCCGGAACAACCCCTGGATTCTCGATTGAGCTCCGCCCTCCTGCGCCTGCGCATTGTCCCGCCTCTGGCGCAGTTGCTCCTCCTACTTCTCCTGTCCATTTGGAGCTCCTTCTCCCCGCTCGTTAATTAGATAATTCGATCTGGAGCGTGAAAACTTCGAAGATGTTCAAGGCGTTGAAATTTCCACGGTCTGGGGAAACTTTCTCTGGACCCCAATCTTCGGCGGGATTAGCATTGGCATCCATAAAAAGGCGCAGAAAGATGACCTGAATGGGGTGCAAACATCCAATGGTTATTAGCCGTCCGCAGTAAAAGTTTGAGGGGCATGGCACGAAGCTTAAAAAGAGCTCGCTGAGTTCCACAAATATACTTTTTCCTTTATCGTTTCCCTATCTGCAGTTAAAACACTTTTGTATGGTAAACTGTGCTCTGAATTCCGCAAACTAGTTGACGCAAATCGTGGCAAGGAGAAGTGAAGGCACTCAAGGGAAAGCACGATGGGAACCCCTTGAACCCGAGAAAAGCAGGCGGCTGCTTCTCCTGTAATCCCAGATCGGGGCGCCCCTTCCCAAGCGTTCGCAGTGCTCCGTGCAATCTCGTTGAAACACAACACTACTTCTCGGCTAGCTACAAATTGAAAGTAATCGAACACAAGATGAGCAGCTACACGAACCTCCTGCGCCAGCAGAACGTGGTCGACGACTGCCAGCGGGTGAGCTGCAACCGGGGGCCGGCGACCAACCTCGCCGGGCGCTGTGTGCTCAGCCAGGACATCGTGCTCGGCTGCCGGATGGAGCTGGGCGAGCCGGACCTGCCCTTCATGCTCGACCCCACGTGGAGCGTCTACCTGCGCGCCGGCCACGGCGGCGGCGACCTCTCCAGCCTGGTGCGGTGCGTCACCTTCAGGATGTCGCCGCGCCTGCCGCTGCGGCTCCACGTGGCGGACAGCGCCCCCTTCGAGATCAGCGAGGTGCTGGGCAGCGACTTCCCCGTGGAGGTGCAGGTGCAGTACGCGGACGCCCGCATGTCCCCCACCTCGTACGTCTTCCGGCCGCGGGTGGTGCGCGAGGGCCACAGCGGGATCAGCGAGGAGCTCCACGACAAGATGATCTTCATCAACCCGCCGCCCGCGATGCGGCAGAGCCTCAGTCTCCCGCCCGTCCGCCCGGAGAGCCCGGAGAGGCTGGAGAGGCCGGAGAGCCGGGTCGAGCCGAAGGAGCGCGGCGAGGAGCAGGTGGGCGACGTGGCACGCCCCTCCCCGCCCCCGGCGACGCTGCCCAAGAAGCGGCTGAGTGTGGCTGGCCCGCGGGGCAGCAACCCCCCGTAGGAGGCCCCGCTGACAGGTAGATAGGTGCCTCCTGTTTTAGGACACTCTCGTCACGTCTAAGGATGTTCCAAGTCAAACCAAAAACCAGAGTAGTACCATATGGAGTATCCCCCGTGTGTTCTCAACTACAGGGTGCACTCGCAGCAGCAGCTCCTCCCATCGGTGAGTGGTGAGTCCGCCCCTTTCGTGTGTATGCCTCGTCCGGGGTGGTTCGCTTCGTCCTTAGCCCCGCCCCTTTCCACACGGGGGTTGCTTTCCAGCCAGAATCACAGTCAGTCAGAGTCACAGAATCCCGGTTGCACAGCCCGACTGCTCACTTTGCTGCGGTGCTTTGTTGGCGACAGAACGACAGAGCGACAGAACTATTGTGCGATTGAACGACGTACTGCATCCTGCATCCTGCATTTGGCATCCTGCATCCTTGAGCTCCCTGATCCGCAGCAGATGGCCTGGTTACCGAGCAGCGCGAACGGAGCGGACAACGCGGACGAGCGGAGCACCGCCTCGAGCGGCTCCTCCGGCCACAGTCAGGCCAACGGGTCCCCGCGGTCCGGAGGTGCCACTGCCACTGGCAACGGAGTCGCCAGACCACCGCCCGCCCTGCTGCGACACACCACTCCCCTGCACCACCTGCAGCCCAAGACGGAGTCCCTTTCCGACGGAGACGGCGACCCAGAGGGCGACGGAGAAGGCGACGGCGACGGCGACGCGGAGCTCTCCGACTTCTCGCTCAACGACACCGAGGAGGACGAGGAGGACCTGCGGGACTACATCGTGCTCAACGGGAACCAGGCGGATGGTGAGTTGGATTGCCCAGTTGCAAAAGTTGAGCAGTTGAGCAGCGGATTCTAGCCAAACTATGTACCCTAAAATTGCAATTGCATTGGTTTTCCCTCCAGCGAGTCGATCCCTGTCCAGCTCCCCGCGCAGCCACTCCCGCAACGGCGTTCTGACCGCGCCGCCCAGCTCCGGCAGTTCTGTCAACGGAGGCGCCTCGGCGGGGAACGCCTCCGGGGGGAACGCTTCCGGCGGCGGAGGAGGAGCAGGAGTGGGGGTGCCAGGAGTGGCGGGGGCCACCGGCGGAGTGCGCAAGGTGTTCACCAACACGCGGGAGCGCTGGCGGCAGCAGAACGTGTCCGGCGCCTTCGCGGAGCTGCGCAAGCTGGTGCCCACGCACCCGCCGGACAAGAAGCTCTCGAAGAACGAGATCCTGCGCTCGGCCATCAAGTACATCAGGCTGCTGACGGGCATCCTCGAGTGGCAGCAGCACCAGGCGCCGACCCATCCGGCTGGTGGCGGTCAGCAGCTGGAGCCGAACAACAACGACAACCGGACGGTCAACGGCCACGCGGCGGACGGGGAGCTGGACAACGTCTCCTGTCGGCAGATCAAGTGCGAGCGCGCCGACGTCCAGCTGCCGAGGAACGGGCTCGGAACAGGGAACGGTTGCGGGAACGCAATTGGAAACGGAAACGGAAATGGAAACGGAAACGGAGGCAATGACCTGCTCATGATTGCGCCGGGAGCCATCATCAAGAGCGAGCTTCTCCTGGAGCACCACTCGCCACTGCCGCTCGGCCACCCGAGCACCCAGCTCCCTTCCCAGCCCTCCCATCCAACGCATCCAACCCAGTTGACGCAGCTGCCGATGGGCGAGTCCCGGATCTCCGGAAGCATGTCCGGCGTTAAGGCGGCTGGCAGTCGGAGCAGCAAGCGACGCCTCAAGTCGGAGGGCGGGGCCACCGATCTCAGCCTGGGCAAACGCCGCCGGACCTAGAAAATCCCCTCCCCGGAAGATGCAATCTTTCCGACAAACGCACGTCAACTCTGCCGAAGCGACCGGAGCGACTCCCAAATAGTTCACTTCTCTCCTATACATACACATTTTTTTTATTAACAAATAAATTTGAAAGTTATTAGTGCAAGAAAAATTCGGATAACAATTGTTGAAAGCTATAGACTTTTTTTTTTTTTAGTTAAAGTACAATTAAATTGCATTCAATCGAATTGCTTGCCTAAAGAGCACACAAATTACCATTACAAAATGGTTGTTTTGCCCAAAACTATATAAAATGGCTCAAAATATCTCAGAAAGTACTCTCGGCATATATACATCGTTGAATTCGCATAAAAATTCAGAATCCGATGGCATTCACACCTAAAAATGTTGAAATTAGGCCATTTTTTGTAAAAAATTATGATGTTTCATCAAAAATGCGAACTAATCTTTTCCAAATCAGTTTTCTATGAACTAAGGGATAAGTTAAAAGACAATTAAATTGCATTCGGTGGCATAGATAGATGGGGCTTCTCTGGCTTGCAAAACTATACTTTGTTTGGCTGTAAGTTGTTTTTTGCCTAAACCGCTGAAAAATGTTTGGTGTCCCAAAAGCAGCTGATTTTGCTTACAAATCGATTTTATACACCAGGCCAACATAACTCGGTAGCAGGTTGCAGGTGGTAAATCTGAATTTACTCAAATAACGGTTCTTTTTAAGATAGATGTCCTTGGGACGTTTCCCCTCACCGTGTTCCACCAATCAGAAGCCATTTCGGTGGAAAGAACCGTTACTTAAAAGTAGCATCAAGCGTTGATCAGCTGATCGTTTTGCACTTTCTAATCGGTTATGTTTGCCTGGTGCTTCAAAACAGTTCGATACAATTTTCTAGCCGAAATTGTTGTTGTTTTCATACAAATTAGCGCTGCTGCGCATTCACCTACATCGTATTTCTGTTTTCCTGGTGTTTGGTGTCGTAAACACAGCCGATTTTGCTTCCCAAATCCAATTGAGACACCAGGCCAACATAACTCATAGCAGGTTGCAGCTGGTAAATCTGATCTTATTCAAATAACTGTTCTTTTCATAAGATAGCTGTCCTTGTTACCCTTCCCCTCCCTGTCCCGACCAATCAGAAAGCCATCTCGCTGGCAAGAACCGTTGCTTCAGACCAGAGATGCGAAAACACGCTGATTCTTTGTGCGTGTCACGAAAGTGGCACGCAGCGCACGAGTATTTAATAAATTTCCATATGGTTGTTGTTGGCGTGACAAAAATACTTTGTCACGCGCTCAACACTGAACAAGCCAATTTTAAGCTGATCAGCTGATCGATTTTCACCTGCTAAGCGGTTATGTTGGCCTGGTGTTTGCAATTATTTTGTCGCAATTTGCTTGCAGAAAATGTTATTCTTTTTATCAGGGGCGGACGCAAGGGGTTGAGCCGGGATGTCCGGACTCCCCCGAAATCTCAGACTTCTTCAAAACCCCTTGCAGCACACGGTCCGTCAACCATATAAACTAAATCAATTTTTGATAGAACTCCCAGGCCAAACTAAAAAATTGTTCGATCGGATCCCCCAAATTTTTTTTGCGTCCGCCCCTGCCTTATACATAAAGGCTGCTGCTGAGCATCCACCTACTAAGCCTTTATATTTGCCTGGTGTTTGCGATCTTGAAACCAGCCAATTTCAATATGAAATTCGATTTCTGACACCAGGCCAACATAATCCAAAGCAGGTTGCAGCTGGTAAAACTGAATTTACTTAAATAACCGTTCTTTTTTAAGTTAACCGTCCTTGGCACACTTCCCCTCACTGTTTCCACCAATCAGAACGCCGTATCACTCGAAAGAACCGTTGTTTCAAACTAAGCATCAGACCAGAGATGCGAAACCACGCTGATTCTTTGTGCGTGTCACGAAAGTGGCACGCAGCGCACGAGTATTTAATAAATTTCCATGTGGTTGTTGTTGGCGTTACAAAAATAATTTGTCACGCGCTCAACACTAATAGTCCAAGTTTAAGCTGATCAGCTGATCGATTTGCACCTTCTAAGCGGTTATGTTGGCCTGGTGTTGCAGTTCAGAAACATCCAAATGTGTATGGGAAAAGTGTTGTTGTTTTCATACAAATTAGCGCTGCTGCGCATTCACCTACTTCGTATTTCTGTTTTCCTGGTGTTTGGTGTCGTAAACACAGCCGATTTTGCTTCCCAAATCCAATTGAGACACCAGGCCAACATAACTCATAGCAGGTTGCAGCTGGTAAATCTGATCTTATTCAAATAACTGTTCTTTTCATAAGATAGCTGTCCTTGTTACCCTTCCCCTCCCTGTCCCGACCAATCAGAAAGCCATCACGCTGGCAAAAACCGTTGTTTCAAAGTAAGCATCAGACCAGAGATGCGAAACCACGCTGATTCTTTGTGCGTGTCACGAAATGGCACGCCGCGCACGAATAATTAATTAATTTCCATGTTGTTGTTGTTGGCGTGACAAGAATAACTTGTCACGCGCTCAACACTGAACAAGCCAATTTTAAGCTGATCAGCTGATCGATTTCCACCTGCTAAGCAGTTATGTTGGCCTGGTGCTTGCAATTCAGTTCGCCGCAATTTGCTTGCGGAAAATGTTATTCTTTTTATCAGGGGCGGACGCAGGTGGATTAAAGGATCAAATAAATGGCAATTAAATTGCATTAAATTAAATAGATTGTTGGGCTTTCCTAGTTTCGAAAACTATACTTTGCTTGGCTTTTAGGCTCACCTAAAAATGTTACTTATTACTTACTTGAAGCCCTGCTATGTAATGAATATCGCAAAAGTATGTTTAAAAAAATAACCTTACTGCAGTGCACAATATTAAAACGCATTTGCATGTTTTTTTGTTTGTAATTTTATTGTTTTTAAATTAATGTTTTCTTTACGCTTTTGTCTCGTGTTTCATTATCATTTCCTCTTTCAATTTGGATTTTCCATTTGTTATTTTTGCAATTAGTTTAGGTTTGTGTTTATTTGTTAATTAAGTTTAAGTTTGGTTTGGATTTCTCATGTGGTTGTTGCCTCATAATTTAAGCGAAACGCTGAAATTGTTTTTCATATATAAGTATGTTTTTCTATGCATATATATGTGTGTGTATATATATTGTTTAGGGCTTTTATTTTTTTTCTGTTGAAATTTTCAATTACAAATTAAACTGTGAGTGAGTGTTTCTTGCGTTTTATATAACTTGTCTGCTCTTTACCTATATTATTTACTAAAATGTTTTGGAAATTTAGTTGAAAAACTTCGGTTTTTTTTTTTAAATTTATTTGAAATTATAGAGTTATGTGCGTGTGAGTATGTCTGAATGTACGTGTGTCCTTGTGTGGGTGTGTACATATATGTATATAGTTAAATTTAATTAGTTTTGATGCCGCAAAACTTAACGTTCATTAATTGTATAAATGTATCATTTATTTAGTTAAAAAAAATATGTTTTCATATAATATATAAGGAGTTCTATGGAAATACATACAAATAGACTTGCTTTTTCTGTTCTGTCCTGTTGTGTTCTTTTCATTTCTTTTTTATTTTGTTTTGTTTAATTAGTTGTTTTATAGGGCTGAAAGTGCTGGAAAATAATTGCATATTTTCAAAACGAGATCTAAGCAGTTTAACTGGGTTGCTTCCATAGGATAGGGAAAGAGAGTTGAACAAATCAAACCGAGGGTAGTACTGTAGTCGAGCAGGAGTTTCCGTTTTTCCGAGTTTCCGGTTGATCTAAGGCCTTACATTCTAAAACCACCATCGGTTTCATTGTATTTTTACTTCAATTTGTATTAAATTATTTTAAGTTTTCAATTGCAGCTAAATGGTTTTGTCGATTACTTTTACATATACCAGGAAGGGTCCTGGCTTTACCATCTCGTTACCGTTACCTCGTCGTTATTTGCATCGTTAATTTAGTTTATGGGTGGCGTCGCGCGCTAAAAGCGTTTTCCTCATTCATACAATCATTTACTTGTTTGCTCAACTTGTTATATTCTTTGTATTTATGTATAGTGTTTAGTGTATATTGCATTTTGACGATCGCTTCCTTAGATAATCGTAGTTAATGCTAGACGTTACTTAAGAACAGGCCACGGAAAGTGTTTCTATGCGTGGAGTGTTATCTATGTATAACCTGGTAGGATTTACGAGCAGGATTTTAGGCGATTGGATCATGGGTTTCAGGATTGTTCGGGATCTGTTCGGGACTTTCCGGGGTACGGAGTACGGGGTACGGGTTCTACTAGGATTACGAATGTCTCGGTAATATCTTGTATATATATCTATGTTTATATAATATCTATATCGTACACATATAGATGCACTTGCGCGAGTGTAGTAAATGTGGCTTCTCCTTTCGCTAGTATTCCGCACTTTGTCGCATTGTTTTACCTTTACTATGGATTGCAAACTGCTGTGATCGATTTATATTTGTATAACCGCGTATATATAAACGTTAAATGGGGCAAAAAATTTTGATTTATTTCACTAAGATCTCCTTTATGTCTCCTTCTCTGTGTTCGCCTTAAGATTTATTACGTTTCGCGAGCTATTTGTCAAATGTATTTACTATATTGGAGGGGGGAGGGGAGAGGGGAGACGCGGGGTGAGGGGACGAGAGGATTCCGATTACTTCCGGTATTTCTTGTTTCTCAATAATACAGATTATTACTTTAATTATTTATGCATAGTTTAAAGTTCATTTTGTTTTGCTCTTTCGAGTTTATGCTAAATATTTGCTTGCGCCCAATGCATATAGCTAGATATACATACATACATGTGTGTTCTTGTGGTAGTGTGTACGGGGTGTGTGTGTGTGGAGTGGAGGGTGTTGTATACTTGCTTCTCTCTCTGCTTCTTGTGTGTTGTTTGGGTGGGTGGTGTTCTGTGAAGTGAATTCCTTTTGTCTATCAATTTTTCTTGGCTTCCGAGGGGACTTCTCTCCCCACTTCTTTTTTCCAGTGTTGCTGCGTGTGGTCTACGCGTCTGAGTGTATGGGTGTGTGGGTGTATGGGTGGTGTTGCTTCGTGGTCTCGCCCTTGGCCGAAAGTGGAAACTCCAGGATTCCAGGATTCTCGAGCGGAGAGCAGCAACCAGGACTACGTTAACAGAGCGCCCCAACCGCTTTAGCCCGACGCCGTGGCCGTGGCCTCGGTCTCCGCTGCTCCTCCTCCTCCTCCTCCAGATCCGGCTGCTCCACTGTCGCCGGCGTCGTTGCTTCCGCCATTGCCGCCTCCCGATCCCGATCCCGATCCCGCTCCCGGTGCCGCTCCCGATGCGGATCCCGAGGCATTGGCCTCTCCGCTGGCACTTGCGCCGCTTCCGCTGCTGTTCAGGGCGCTGTTCGACTGCGAGCCTAGAAGACAGAGGGCGTCCAAGAAAAGAGAGAGATAGAGATGTGGATTTCTGGTGGTATTGGGTGACCGGATGGCGAGAACACAGATACGGATACGGATTCGGATTCGGATTCTTACATATGTATATCATAGTACAAGATATCATAGGATGTCATAGCTACTTAAGTTAGGTTTCGGGTCGGGTTCCCACTTCAAACTTGCAACGATCCCAAGCGATCCCACAAGATCCCATTGATTCTGAGCACTTCCGGAGGGAAAATGAGGATGCCACCAAAAGCCCAACGAAAACGCAAAAACAAAAAGTTCACACTGAACAAAATGAGGGGGTTGAACGGTAAACGGTTGAGCCGTTGATGGTTTCAAAGGAAAGGCAACAAGAAACGGTTCACTTTCGTTTAAATATTGTATTTGTTTCTCTTTTTATTTGTTGGATTTGTTTAATCATTTATTATCATTATCATTACGGCTCTTTTGCTCATTATCATCAACGAATCTATATATTATCATGATTATTACAGCATTACATATACAATTGTCAGAGTATGCGTATGTACGTGTGTACGTGTGTGTTTTGCGTTTGTGTGTGTGTGTGTGTCTGCGTTCTGCGGTTGTGTGTGTGTATGTTATGTAATTAGCAAATTTAAAATTAAGGTAAATGTGTTTAGTTTTTGTTCTTTTCTTTCTTTTCTTTTCCTTTTTTTATATTTATTTTTAGGGTTTCATTTGTATTTGTGTGTGGTATGTGCCTAAATTACTAGGAAAAATGTATTTTATTCTGCGTGTGTATTTATAATTAGCGTAATAATTAGTTTAAGGTCGGTTATAATAAACTATAGAAATAAATATAAGTGTTTCGCTTTTTTTTCATTTTTATTTTCTCTCCTTTTTCTCATCTTAGCTCAGGCGGCTTTCTCAGCTCTTTCTTTTTTACAGTTCTGCCATTCTGACGAGGGAAAATAATAATATTCCGTAGCAGCTCTGGGTGGAAAGACGGGAGCAGGGGGGATATTTTGGGGGCGAGGAAAGGCGACACTGACTATGCATGCAAAAGGTAATGCAGCTCTACAGTTACAGTTACAGTTACAGTTACAGAAACCCGATAATTGGACCTTATCTACATATTGCAACTAAGCCGTCGGTTCTCAGATCTCAGATGCTACCATCCTTGTGTCTGCATTCTGCATTTTCTGTTCTTTATCCGATATCTCGACTATAACTCGTCCAAACACAATTTTCTCTCTCTCTCTCTCTCTCTCTCTCTCTCTCTTTCTATCGTTCTCTCTATCTCTCTCTCTCTCTCGCTCTCTCTCTTTCTCGACTACTGGCTAAATAATAATACATCCATCTAGATATCTGTACATATATATCTTCGGTCAAAAAAATATATACGGTCAAAGTCAAAGGTTCTCAACGTGCACGCTCTGTTGTTCTTTTTTTTTTTTTTTTTGTTGTCAACCAATTATTTGCTTTATTTATTACAAAATAATAATAATATTTATTTAATAAAAATAAAAATAATTTATTTATTTAATATGTATGTATACATAGTGCCTGTTGCAAAAAAAAAAATAGGGATTTGTATTCATAAAGATTATATATTATATATGTATAGTTTAAACAGTTTCGCTTTTTGTTTTGTTTGTTGCTTGTTTTTTTGTGGATTTTTTTCATTTGTTTATGCTTTAATAATTTCCATTAAGGTTAGGTTTAACATAACATTAACATTATGCTCGGGGCTTTGTTTTTCTTTTTTTTTTTTTTTTGTCTCCTCCTTTTCATCTTTATCTTTATTTTTATCTTTATCATTATGTTTATCTTCAACTTCTCTTCTACCTTTCTCCTCTTTTTAAGGTCGTGTGTGTCCAACTGCGTTTGCTTTAATCTATTCAATTTCATTAAAATGTCTGCTGTGTTTAAGTCTACACAAAACTCGCTTTCCATTGGATTATATGTTTATATGTTTTCCTCTGACTCCTTATCAGTTAATTATACTTAAATAAGGTGGTATAAAAAAATATGCAATGACTCTGTTCAATATACATATACATAGTTATTCCTTTAGACGTCGAAAAATAACGGAAATAACGAATATTTAACGAAGAGAGTGTGAGAGGGGAGAAAGGAAGGGGAGGAGAGAATATTTATAATAATATAATAATTAAAAGATATATCGCCACGCACAGTGCACAGTGTTGGCGAAATGACAATCGATCGATCAGCGCTTTGCTATTATAATTATTGTGTTTTTATTTACCATTATTATTTATTAACTTTATGCTTATTAGTTTTATTTTAGATTTAAAATAAATTTAATATTTTACCTACGTAAAATGTTCTCGTTTGTTATAACTTTTTGCTTATGCTTTTCTCTCTCAGCTATTTTGACGCTCTTCTTCGTATTTTCTCTTTCTGTTTCTGTTGCTGATTTGATTTTGTTGTTGTTTTTTTGTTTTGTTTTGTTTTGTGTTCAATTGCATTATTTAGAGTTATCAATTATTGTTGTGTATATAGGCCTTTTTGTTGTTTTAATTTTTGTTGCTGCTGCTGGTTTTGCGTTCTCCGTTCTTGTTTACAGTTATTATATATGCTTGTTGGTTGCTATATGCTGTTCTTGTTGTTGTTGTTGTTTTGGGTGTAGGTTTTATATATATTTAGTACTATATATATATACGGGGATATATATAAGTGTTTGTATGTATGTTACTATTGCCCCTATGAATCTGTAAGTAAATAAATCAAAAGAAACAATAATGAAATTAAAATTAAAATTAAAATCAAAACTTAAGTATGTGTGGTTGTAGCTCGACTAATGACAACAAAATGAAAATAAATGTTGGCTCGATGAAAGCGAATGAAATCAAGCAATTTACCATATTACTAACGAACGATAACACAGACATTTCTGAAAAGCATCTCATCAACCCTTTTGTTCCTGAACAATAAAGCAAAGAATGGAAGGCACCTTTTTTCGGGCGGGGATTCGCAATAGATGATGGAGTGACCGGCCCTAGGAAATGTGTTTTTAGTGTGACCCATGCTCTTATTAAAGCTCCGGAACTATTAATCAATCTGTTTCGATTAAAAAAAAATCAACTATGGGTTAACAATCCCTCTTCGATTGAATACTTTGAAAGCCCCTTTGAAGAGACCCATTGACATTTTGATATTCTTCACTTTGTATTGTATCGTTATAATTAATAATTTTGGTTAAACTGATACAAATTGCGAATGTGCCGAATTAAAAAAAAAAAAAAATAACACAAATCGTTAGCCACTTCTCAAATTTCCTAGGGACTGCATTTAGCTTCCTTGATGGTTGACTTCTTATTCAAAGTTCGTTTTCTCGGATCGCGGCTTTTCCCCTTTGCTTCTCTTTCCCTTCTTTAGATTTCCGGGTTGACTTGGATTCGATTGAATTGGATTGGATTGGATTGGAGATGAGATGAGATAGTGGGTGGATCAGGGAACTCGGACTTGGAGTGCTGGTGGATGGGAGCTGTTCGAACTTATATGTTGGCCGGGTTGCGCAGGAACGGCTTCCCTGGCAGCGGCAGCTTGCGCGGTGGCCTCAGCATGAGATTGACGCCAGCTGAGGATTCGGATGGGGATGTGATTGCGGATGAGGATGCGGATGAGGCGATGGTAGTGAAGTGAAGTTATCTGAGGTTGTCTGGGGCGATCAGAGTGCCAGCAGCATCGAAACATCCTATTGAAATTAGCAGCTTTCAGTAGCAAAGATGCCACTCCTTCTAAAGTAGAGGAGTTTCGTTCGAATTCACTAATTGCAATACGATTCCGATGGCACTGCTGGAGATCGGAGATCGGTGGTCGGAGGTGCGAGAGCAGGAGGAGGGCAATGGAAGGGGAGCGGGAAACCGCTGGCTGGCCAACCGCCTACTCACCTGTTACGTTGGCGCCGCCGGCGTTGGTCGCGGCCATGGCGCCGCCTGCTGTGGCAGCTGCGGCCGCCGTGCCGCCACCGCCTCCGCCACCAGCACCGCCGACGACGGCGGCGTTGCCCTGCTGCGCGTTGGCCCCGCCGGCCACGGCGGACGGCGCTCCCGAGGCTCCGCCGCCGCTGCTGCTGTTGCTGCCGGATCCGGGGCCCTGTCCGCCGGCACTCGCTCCGCCGGCGCCTGCTGCTGCGCCGCCCGATCCCGCGGCCGCCGCTGTCGGGGCCTGCGGCTGGGCGGATCCCTCCGCCGAGGCCCCGCTGCCCGTCGAGGAGACGCTGGTGGAGCCGCTCGCGGCGGCGGAGGCCGCTCCGCCGGCCGAGGACCGGTTGCCGCCCGGTCCGGCGGCGTTCTGCAGATGCTTGGGCAGCAGCTGGGGCACTAGGCTGGGCTGAATCGAGAGCTCTGCGGAGGAGGAGGAGGATCGGAGGGTTGGGATTAGCTATTACCACCATTGGGGGATCGATCATCGATCAACTCACCGTGCTCCGTGAAGTTAAACAGCGGCGGCATCTCGCGGCCGTTGGGCAAGGTGTGGTTGCCCTCCATGCGCAGCTCGTCGAAGAACGGATGTGCACAGGCCTTGAGCGGGGTGATCCGGGCGCTGGGGGTGTACTCGAGCAGCAGGGACACCAAGTTGATAGCTTCTGTAGGAGTGCGAATACGGAAAACCTGCGGAGGAGGGCGAGACAACTCGGTCAGTGGGCACGTGATCCTGCGACAGGGAGCTTCTCTCAAAACAAAAAAACGGGACGGGACTCGCTGGCCAGAAGGTGAGGTGAAGGATGGGGCAACTCGATGCAGTTGCAAGTTGATTGGACAGAGGACACAGGGCACAGAACACAGGTGAGAGCACAGAGGAAGCGTTCGTATTTACACAAGTTCATGGGACCTTCCTCCAGTTGCGGGTTTCACAATTGACAAGGCAAGTAACCAAGTAACCAAGTAACCAAATGGGTAAAAGTACTTTACGGGTCAAAACAAACGTCAGCGGAAGGCAGGGCAAGAAACCAATTAAATCAATTAACTGCAAATTCAACTGCAAACCATCGAGCATCCAGCAAACCAATCAAACAGCCAGAGCTTAACTCCTGTACAGCCGAGAGAGCTGGCGAAAAGCAGGGCGCATGAAGCTCAAAGCCATGAAACTGCATCCTAATCCTAGTCCATAGCTGGTTCTGTTCCGATATTGACATCCTAGCGGGATAAGCCAACTACTGCTCCTGATCCTGCACAGAAACCCAACCCATTAAGAGCAAACCCCGCGAACTATGCACAGCCATTTGAGCAACCCTCGCAAAGCAACTGAACCCGCCTTCAATTAAGCTCGAGTCCCTACTAACTATACTTACTATAATAATAACAATGCTCTTCTAATGCCAATGCAAGTTACCATATAATGAATTCTAGTTTAGGTGGACATCTCCCCAAACCCAAAACCCCAAAACCATTTGGACAGTCGGACGAGGAAATCAATTTCTATGATTCTGAATCAGCACCTGCATGAGTTATAGTAGCGAATGTAGCTGCGTTGGCATTATGGCAATTGGCAACTTTTTCAAACGACAATGGAATCGTGTAATTTTGCTTGAAAATTTGACATTCGCGGTTGATGTTTTCGATTCTTGGCTTACTCTCAGTCGTTGTTTCTGGTTAAGGGCGTTTGGAAATTGGGTGCGTTCGAGTAGTGACTGCAACGAGTATTTATGTACACACATTTTCGGTTAGAAACACTTGTGGAGAAGTGACGAACAGTGGCTTGGGGGACATGGCGTTCACCCGGACATCAGTGAGGAGTGAAGAGTCAAGAGTGAAGAGTTAAGGGGGGTTTGGGGGCCGGGCCACATGAGCGGAAAGCGCGAGGGGTCACCAACGAACGAAGGCTTCACATTCCCGCGAACGCCACTTACTTTCTGCCATGGATGACTCTTAATTTGCGGGAACTTGAACTCCGTGTAGTTGGGGTTCATCTCGCGAATCTGTTCTCTTGTCGGTGTGCCCAGGACCTTGATGACCTCGACCAGCTGGTCGACTCCGGAATCGCCAGGGAAGATGGGCTGGCCCAGCAGCAGCTCGGCCAGGACGCAACCGGCACTCCACACATCTGCAATCGAAGGAGAGGAAAGCGGATGAGTACACGACATTCTGCATTCCGTACTGGGAAACTGGGAAAGTGGGAAACTGGGAAGGTGCACCCACCGATCTTTGTTGTATAATTGATGGCGCCGAAGATGAGCTCGGGGGCGCGGTAATACCGGGAGCAGATGTACGAGACGTTCGGCTCGCCGTGCAGCAGTTGTTTGGCGCTGCCGAAGTCGCAGAGCTTCAGGACAGCCGTCTCCGGATCGAGCAGAAGGTTCTGCGGCTTGATATCACGATGGCAAATGCCCAGCGAGTGGATGTAGGCCAGGCTTCTGAACAGCTGGTACATGTAGAGCTACGCAGGGAAAAAGAAAGCGAGTTAGCCAGGATCCACATTCACTTCTACTCTCAGAGGTACTCACCCGAATAAAGTTGATTGGTATCGTCTGCTTGGTTTTGGCATATTGGCGAGCCACTTTGTATACAGTTTCTGGTATATATTCGAGGACTAAATTCAAAAATACTTCGTCGCGCTGCGTTGTCCGAAAGTTGGAAGGAGGGAAAGAAGAAAAAAACGAGATTAGTTTCTGGATGTTCAGAGCTTCGGGCGCACATGATCCATGGATGGATGTGTTTGGGAGTCAGTCGGGGATTCGGTGGTTGCTGGATCGGTGGATCGGTGGTTCGAGGGTTCGGGGGAAGACGACCGATGAAGTTGCGAGCTGTCAACATGCGCTTTGTTTTTGTTTTTGTTCGGGGTTGTAGTATACGTACAGTCGACAGGCGACACACTCAACGCAAACTAACGTAGCAACTAGCAACTAGCATAGCAGCAGGGTTCGATTCGATTCGTAGGATTCATAGGTAAGTATACCATGCGGTGCGGTCTTCTGTACGTTCCACTGTACTTTCTCTAATACATACACATGTAGCATAGCGAGTCGTTTATGGTGGATAGAAGAGAGATCGAGATCGGAATAGCGATCAAGATTGAGATTGAGATCGAGTGGGAGCAAGTTGCTGAATGATCTGAGCTGAGCTAGCGAACTGAAGACTGAAGAGATCTGGGATACCTGCGGCTTGAGCACACTCGCGAAAATGCCCAAATCGATGGGGAACTCGGCCAGCTAGCAACCGATTCAGGTTCGGATTTGGTTTCGTTTTCGGTTTCGGTTTCAGTATCGATATGCAAGTGAAAGAGATTCAATTCAGTTCAGTTCTGTTCACAGTTCGGTTCGAGGAACTAAATAAAATTAGACCTAAAATAAAAACTTAGTACGGAATATGCATCCGGAAATGAAGATCACTTCCAGAAATCAGACATCCTAGGGCAATCCGCATTAAGTGATTACCGATGCTGGCAACTTCAGCCGTTCGTTCCACCTCCCCACGAAATCCAGGGCTTGGCTCCGGGATTCGCTCTACTCCACCAAGTGGCAAGTGCCACCAGCCACCAGTCACCAGTCACCAGTGACAAGCCACACAAGTCACGAGCCACTTACCTTTTCTCCACTCGAATAGAAAAAGTACAAAAGCTTTACAATGTTACAATGCTCCAGTTTGCGCATGATTTGCAACTCGCGATTCTGCAAGGAAGAAGTGTTCGGTTCGGTTTTAGGACTCGATTGGAGATAGTGACCCATCTTAACCCACCTTAAATCGTCTGTCTTGTAAAACTTTTTTGATTGCCACCAGTTCGCCGGTGTCGCAGAGCTTTGCCTGGAACACGACGCCGAAGCTGCCGTTGCCGATGACCTTTGTGTCTGTATAGGAGACCTCTTGTACGCGATCGGTGCCTTGGCCGGGAGTTGCCACAACTGTTGTGATTTTGGATCCATCGCGACCTGCATTAATGGGATGAGAAAGGCAATACGTTAGTTCGATCGCTGGATAGTTCTGCGGCACTCCAACTTAGCCCACCCCAACTCAGCCTAGGCACACACACACATAAATATATTTGTACACAGTGAGGTTTAACTCGTATGAATAGATATAGATATAGATAGGTATATACACCTGTGGTCTCCCAGGCGCCCTCCAGCTTCTCCTTGCTCCTATCGACCTCCTTTGGAATGGACAGTGCAACACTGTGCTCGGGCCACAAGTCGTTCAGCTTGCCGATCAGTTGCTTCATGCCTGCACACAAACCAGACGAACCAATCACACAGAATAGAGTCAGGGGATCACTGATCAGTGATCAGTGATCGGTTATCGATTATCGAAACGGAAACAACATAGGGAACGGGTGGGAACGGAAATCAAACAGAGCTTGGAACAAACGAAAATGAAAGGTGGAGTTTTTAACAAAGAATAGTGCACAGCGATAAGATAAGCTGGCTGACTTCGGCCGAGAAAGTTCAGTTGTTCGAACTTTGTTCGTGGATTATAGATAGACTGGTTAGGTAACCCAAAACTAAGAGAGAAAGTGCAATAAGTAGAGGAATATTGAAAGGAAAGAAACGCAATTACAGACCTTTCAAATATCCCTAGTGATATTCTCGATCTTCACCAAAGAGATCGCGCCAAGAGAACACTTAAGTGACATTCAGATCGCAGATCGCATCAAAAGCAGGGCAACGAAATGATGCCCGAGGACCATCGAAGCGATAGTTCTGATTTTTCCCTAATATATCCCTTAGATTTTTTTGCTAATTAATTTTGGCATTGGCGCCAAAGATGCCGATGCCACGAGCGCAATAATGACGATGGCAATGATAATGATTATCTGGTAGCAGCTGCTACTGCCCCTCGAATCACTGTGGATTTGATTTATGGGGGTCGAGCCACCGAATTCGTTGCGCTGTAATTGCCACACGCCTCATGCTTCACCTACGATCGCGTATGGTGTGACCGCCCTCTGCCAATGGCTCAGCCTATCCCTGCACCTGGTCACACACATTTTGGGGTCTGGAAATGTGGGATGTAGGGTGTGGGACGTGGGATGTCGGGCATGGGGTGCACATGACTACTGGAAGCTCGTGTCTCTGTACTTGGATCCTTGTACTGCTTGCCACCTGCTCCTCCTCCTCCTCCACCGCCACCTCCTCCACCGCCGGTACTGGCAATGCTGGCCCCGCTGGCGCTCCTGTTCGGCGGCCTGGTCTTCTTGAGGGCGGCGGCTACCACCAGGGAGGAGGAGCAGGCCGACTGGGCCGCCCTGGCCGCCGCCGAGAGCGGCTTGTGCTTGCCGTTGGCCTTCGCCTTGCGACCTGCAGGACCGCCGGAGGACTCGGAGGTCGAGGAGCCACTGCTGCCGGAGGAGTCGCTGTCCGATTCCGAGTCCGAGTTGGACTCCGATCCGCTGGCGGCGCTGGAGGAGGAGCCCGACGCGGACTCCGGCTCCGACTCGGTGGGGCTCTCGTTGCTGGTGCTCTCCTCGCTGGAGGAGCGGCGTGGCTTGCCCTTCTTCCTGGCGCCCAGTGGAATGGGTGGTGCCGCTCCGCCGCGGAAGGAGCCCTTCTTGTTCCTGGCCACCTTGGCGGGCGGCTTGGTGGCGGTGGCGTCTATGGAGTTCTGCCTGGAGGCGGAGGAGGCGGTGCCTGAGCCAGCTCCATCCGACTCGCTGGCCTCGTTCACCGAGCCGCTGCCGGGTGGCCGCTTCTTCTTGCGCACCACTCGCACCACTTTGCGGACACCGCGCGGCCCCGCCACGGGCACCACCTGTGACTTATCCACCTTGAGTGGGCGTGATCCTCCACTGATCCACTGAGTCACCGATCCACTGATCCAACCGCACAAAAAAAATAGGAGCCAAATCGGTGAAGCCTTTTAACTTTTTGCTTTGTTCGCAGAAATGCTTTCGAAAGTGTTCTCCACCCACTCTTGAACTCGATTTAAGCAAACTCCTTAAGTTTGTATGAGCAACAAGTAGAGTCAATTCGATAACCGTGTGTTGTTCTCCACCCACTCTTGAACTCGATTTAAGCAAACTCCTTAAGTTTGTATGAGCAAGAAGTAGAGTCAATTCGATAACCGAAAGGCCTAATACATCGATAGACTTTTGATACTTTTTTGATTAATTTAGTAAACTTAGTTTAATAAATTTCGTTTTGGATTTGGATTGGATTCAAGGCAAGCTTACTTTTTGGAACATAAATTTTCTTTTGAAATTGCTTATACGTTTTTGTTGTGATATTTCAAGGTACATATAGATGTACGAAGACACCCTTTTATTATCGATTCAAAAATAGGTTCTCGAACGTTTTAGATCCACTTTGTTGCCTTACAAACTCAACACTTTTTCTCTCTGTGTGCGGTGGCAGGCTTTGGCCTAGTTTTATTTTCGGTCAATTGACGTTCCGTTCGCTTTATGTGCAGATCAATCGATCGATCGATCTTCAAATAGCAAAAAATGCAAACACGCGGCACAATCGAAAAAACAACAAAATAAAGTATCACAGCAAAGAAAAAATAGAGGGGAACCGAAATAGTGCGATCTTTGAGTTCGCAGGTGCTTATTTCTTTTCTTCGAGGGAAACGAGGGGTGGGTGGGTACTGGGTGGTTCTGATCCGATCCGATCTGTTCCGATCGGGGCGATGGATACGATAAGATCCGATCCGTTCCGCTCCGCTTTCGATTCAACGATCCAACGATCCGGTCGCTCGAACTACCGTTGCACAATTGGCCACAAAAAAACGGAATAAGCTGAGGACCATGGCAGCATCAGTATGGGGTAGTCTCAACGGGTCCGTCAGTCCATTATTGGACCCTCAGTGAGTGCGAGTGAAGGGGGGATTTCTCGTGAGAGATCAGCGTACCCTTCTTTTATTTTTGATTTCGTACCACAGGTCCCTCCCCCCTTCCACCCTTCAATACAGGGGTTGGAAACTCGGGTTCTTTATTGGTTATTAGTCAGACTTAACAATCGGTTCCTAATCGGTTGGACACCGTTAGTCCAGACGGCTAAGTTCTCCAAGAGAGCCACACGAACGAGAACGGACTGAACCCGAACTCTTTTGCACCCGACGAGACTAACGGGCTAAGGACAACATGAACGGCGGCGAAGAGGCAGGTGAGCAGCGCACAAGTGCCACACGAAGGCCGATCGGCTTCACACTCGATCCACACACAGATGCGATCCACGATCCACGGTCCACACACATTTCCCGATCGTTTAAAACGCGCTTTAGAAAATAAATGCCTAGACATCATCCCCATCATAATTATCACGAACAATTTGTTGCGGTTTGGGAACAATTTTAATTGCAGGTAAATTGCGATAAGGCCGAAGAAGAGAGGACGGGCGAAAGACTGAAGACCCAGCAGTCAGAAGAAAGACAGTGGCAGCCAAGCGTGGTCAAGCATGCGATAGCCACGCCCCCTTGAGACCTCCGCCTTTCTGACGACAGCCGACTGACAGTTCAATGCTGCGGAGAAGAAGAAGGTGAAGCGGAGAAAGAAGAGCAGGCGGGCAGGCAGGCAGGCAGAAGAATCGCAAGAAGAATCCGAGTCCGCCCGAAGAACAGGCGCAGAACAGAATAGCTATCAAGGGATATACGCAGTGAGTTCAAATCAAATATATTTTATTTTAATGAATCAATTAGAGCCCCGCGCTCAACGGAGATGAAAACAGCAACCACAAATGAATTCAAAAAGGGGTCGCGAAGATTTAACCAGCTTCTGACATTGACATTGTTTCCCATTGCCGCTGCAACAGAGGTGATTCTTATCTATCTAGGTGATAGATAGATATATAGATAGATAGATAGATATATAGATAGATAGATAGATATATAGATAGATAGATAGTTCTGCACAATAAAACACGTTCTAAGCAAAAAACAAAGGAATTAGTTATCTTTTCTCCAGCCATGTATCCACTTTTGGGCTTTCGGACTTAAAACGTAAGTTTCTCCCCTTTCATTGGCGTCACAAATCGATTTTCATTTGTCAGTTTGATCGATTCACCAGTTGTACAAAGTTCTTTTTTAGCTTCCTCCTCCGCCACATTCCCACATTAATGAATTAAATTCGAGCAGGACTTTCGTCTGTTTCGCGACTTACGCGACAAAATCAATCAAATAATCAATGTGACAGACACACTCTCGAACAAGTATTGAAAACTATATCAGAAAGAGGGAGAATGGCGGCAGAGGGGTGGCAGGGGGTGGTGCTGGTGGTGGAATAGTGGAACAGTTGGAGCTGCGCAAATGGGAAAGCAATTTGTTGGGCCGCCAACGTCGACAGAAACTAATCGATATACAAGCAGTTGGCACCACTCAACCACAAAAAGGGGGCGTGGGCGGTTAAGGACTGTCGATGTGGATGTGGTTGTTGATGTGGCATGCAAAACGGTATGACGCAGCACAAAGTGAAGGGGAGAGGAGGGGAGAGGAGGGTAGAGGGTGGGCGGTTACTGGGGTGAAACCCCCTTGGAGCGGAGGGAAACCACAGCAGACCAATGGAGCAATAGAAAAAACAAGCCGATCTACCCCTCAAATACCACTTTACCATTTTTCCAGAAGCCGTCGTGCCAAATACAAATTAACAAAACTCCTTTGGCTAAAATTAAACTCGACCACGCCCTCCAAACCTCCCTGTGAAGGCAATTCTATCAAACAAACTGAATTGTTCACTCGTGGAAAAGCAACGCAGAACCCTTTGACTCCCAAGCAATCTCATTCTAGTGGATTATTGTAATTAGTAGCACTCAAGAGCTACTATCGGAATCGGAATCGGATAGACTTTCGTCCATGAATCTGAGATCCATAGTCTTTATCCTTTATACTGAGTACTCCTTGCATTCAGGTATTTATTGCCATTAAATCAGTCAAGCACAACTTGACCTTGCTGTTAGCTGGAAATTAAAAACAAGAAGGGAAGCTAGCTTCGGCGAGCTGAACTGAATCGTGATGCTGATCAAGAATATATATAGGGGTCTAAGGGGCTATGAATGAAACTATAATACCCTCTGCCAGGGTATAAATATACCCTATCAATGCCATTTTTTACGGCGTGCCAACGTCCCTTTATTTCTGCTCTCTACTTTTTTTGTTATTTAATTAAATCGATTGCATTTATTTTATTTTTTGGCTCAGCAGGCTACCTGTCGATCACGCTTTGGGGGGAAAGAGAGGGGAGTTGGACAGTCGCTGGGGAGGAAGAGGGATGGCCAGATGACGACACCGCGACACCACGCGGGCGGAGATCACGAGATGCCCCGCGGTGTGCAGAATTTGGCATCACTATGGAAATCATTATCAACTGCATCATTATCTGCGAAGATAAACCCCGTCCGTTTATAGCGCACTATTTTCATGTGCGACTTTTCATTGCATACTTTTGGATGCCCCCGAGAAATAAGTTAGTGTTTTATCTCTGTCTGTATCTCTTTCAGTCGCTCGTCAAGAAGACCCCAATGTGCCAGGAAAGTGAAAAAAGCAAAGCAAGAATAGAAAACACAAATAAACCAGGCAAGAAGAAGCCATTTGGTCGAAGAGAAATCAATAAAAAGAGAAGTGGATCATGAAGAGAACTACTAGTGTCAATGGGGGGGGTCGAAGAGAAATCAATAAAAAGAGAAGTGGATCATGAAGAGATCTGCTAGTGTGCTCCACAAAAAATTTCTCTTTTCCGCAGCTGAGCAAACAGGTATTGAATTAACTAGTAAAAATAAAATAAAACAAATCAAGAAGGGAATCTAGCTTGGGCAACCTGAGGCTCAAATACCCTTGCATTTAGCGCACATCTAATAATTATTAATTCAAGAGTCCCTACAAAGTAAATCATTGGCCTACCATAAATATCAAATGTGCATAACTACAGGTAATAGGTAATATTTATTTACGTTTAATCACTTATCAGCCCGATAACAATAATTTCACTCGTCACTGTTTTGGTGATTTTCTCTTTGTTTATAATCTATGCAGTATGCAAATATCAACCAGAACAACAACTTGCCATTGGCACAAATTAATAAACACAGTAGCCGGGGATGCGAAACACACAGAAGTTGTGGCGATAAACAGCTGTCATCCGCTTTCAGCTGTTGCCAGCCCCCAATCTCCCCAGCAAAGTCTAAAAGGCATATTTTTCCTATATGTAGTATAATTCCAAGCGACTGGGCAATAACATATTTGTGAAAAACACAAACAGGGGGAGGGGAGGGGGAGGGAAGGGCGAATGCAAAACAACAATAGCCTTAGAAAACATTAATAACATTAACAAGACGAGAGACACGCCTCCGTTTTGGTCACAGTTTTGATGAATGTGTGCACATCTATTTAAATATATATATATATATATATATATCGCTGATTTGGTTTGTTTCTAAAAAATGTAGAAGCTTCTCAATATATGCATGCTTTTGGGTTTTGATATTTTTGGAAAAGTTTTTTGCTCGTCATCCGTTTTATGAGACGAGCGCGTGATTGTCGAGCGTTAACAAATACAAATACAAATACAAATACAAACACAAACACAAGCAACAACAACTAAGGCAGCGTAATCTCTGCTCCCGAATCCCCAATTCATCCCAACCTCCTCCTCCTCCGCCTCCGCCTCCGCCTCCCTCTCCACCCCAACGATCAGATCGGGTCGGTCTATATATACACACATGGCTATATATAATGAGAGCTGTAAGCAATATAGCCGCGTGTTTCTTGATCTTTCACTGCTGATCTCCGATCACGCCTGCAGCATTTGCCTTAGCCTCAGCTTTATCAAAAGCCAAAGCTCAGAAGAAAGGTTCTAACTTGTTTTGAAAAGTCTCGAATACTTTCAGTGGTTGTTAACTAATTTTGGCGCCTGTGTAACTAGTATATGTGATTAGCAAAGGCAAAGGCAAAGGCCCTGTCAGCCTCCTCCTTATCAGGCGACATCTGCGAGGGCTGCAAATCACTTATACGACTCGGGATTACGGGTGGGAACTGAGGCGTCACCTTAAGCCGGGAATGATCCGGTGGTGCTGATGGAGGTGGAGGTGGAGGTGGAGGTGGTGGTGCTAGTGGTGGTGGAGGTGGGGGAGGTGCCAAGCACGCTGTGACACGGTGCCTTCCACAAGGTACACTCGTAATAGTCGCAACAATCGTAATAAAGGGACTGATACCTGCTACCTGCTACCTTTCGCACAGCAGCGTTAACGCTCCGCTAAGCTCCAGCTCCAGGTGCATATTCCAGAGTGATGCAACTGGTAAACTGTTTACCCTGCACCCGTGCATTCTACTGCCTTAATCTCAGTGTGTCTGTTGCCTCGCAGTTATCCAATGGTAACTGGATCTGGGAACAAAGGGCTGGCTGCAGTATCAAGTGATGAAAGAAATAACCATAGCCTGATTGCATCAAAAGCAAACAAATATCGAAAGGCAGACGATTGAGTTCTCGTTTTTGAATATCACATCTTCAACTTTGTATCAATTGGTGTGCCTTTGTTTCGACCTAGAAGATACTGCTGTACGCTCAAGTAAAAATATTATAAATTTAATCCCGAGTTTGCCAGCCATTAAGTATAATGTGTAAGCGAATAGGTGAAGCAATCAGAGCCAGCTGGCGTAAATCAGAGCCCCAGTACCCAGTCTCTTCCGTCCTCGGCTCTGAATTTCCCTTATCAACGCCAAAGATAACAGAGAACAACAGAGAAATATGGCCTGTTGTAGATCATGGACAAGAAAATTCCGCTTTCCCTTATCGCTTGCCGCCTGCCGCCTGCTTTTTTACAGTATAAAGCCCAGATTTTTATATGGAAATAAAAGGATGAATCGCACATATGCGATGTGTTTATCCCCCAACGTTTCCGCTCAAGCGGATTTCTGCCGTATATTTATCGCAGCCAAGAAAGAAAAGGCTCCACGAAGCTATCAGGAAAATGCATTGGTTCATTGACCCATCTTCTGCATGGGGAATAACAAAAACAGAACAAAGTAATATTTCTCCAGGAAGCTTACTTCGAGTGGAATGTCACTCAGCAATGTCCCATTAGGATTGGATTTTATAACTACTGTATCCTCTATACTTCCCACAGCAAGAGGTTTATCAATTTTCATTAAATCCCCGAAAATTTTCCATAGCAGTAAATACTATCTGTGTGTGTATATATGTGTGTGTGTGTACATAGAACAATCTCACCCGATACGATAGCCCTCGGAAGTTTCGAGGAACTTGGGTTCCGATTCAATCAACAACCAACACTTACCTACAAAGAGAAGAAGGGAAATGGAAAGTTTTAGAAATCACAGTCTCAAACAAATGATAACACATTTTATAGTACTTGGTGGTACTGTATAGGGCTTTTGAACCTTTAGGATCTTAAAGTACTTAGTTTTAAATGCACAAGAACATTATCTAAACGTTAGGGCTGCCATTTGATAAGTAAATGATCTTTGACACTCAAGGAGTGCTATGTTTCGCTACAAGATGCTATACCCTTGACTTAATCCCTCGGGTTTTTAGTGCCTGATATTTCATAGCTACTTTAAATTAATGTAAACTACCATAATAATGACTTTATCTTATTTAGATTTTGATTTGATAAAATTTCTACATTAATAGGTAGGCAAAGGGTTCGAAATATATTGTATTTCATGTTGGTGAAAGTAGAACACTAAATTGTTTGATATGACATGGCCTGTTCTTATGAATAACTTAGACTAGAATAACATCATTTCTACTCATTAATCATCGTATTTTACCTAATATATTTTTGAACTTTTGCACCACTTTGGTCCAACTGACGCAGGACTGGGTTCTGGCCAATTTGGCAGTCTTAACGTTCTCGCCGCTCTCGTCGCTGTCCGCGTCTCCCTCGAACTCCGGCTCGGCTCCCTGCTCGATGTAGTCGGCGTCCAGGGACTGAGAATCATTTTTGGGGCGGGTGGTGGTGATGGTTGCTGCATTGCTCTGGGGGATTCGGTCGAAGTGGTTGTCGTGGCTGTGGCGGCGCATCTTGACCGCGCCGTCGTCCACGTGGCCGGTGGAGTCCACATCCTCCTCCAGATCGACAGCGGGATGACGATGGTTGTGGTTTCGATGGAGGTCGCTGGGGTTCGGATTGGGTACCGAGTTAAGTTTGGCCCTAGAGCTAGTATCACAGAGTGGTTGCTGTTGCTGTTGCTGTTGTTGTTGTTCATCATCTTTGGTCTCGTCCACCACCGCACCGCTGGCCGCCAAGTTGGACGCCACGGTGGTGTTCCGCTTCTTGCGCTGCTCCTCGCTCCTCCGCTCCCGCTTCATCAGCTGCTTCTGCTGCTTGGCGAGCAGCTGCTTCTGCTTGCGGGCGAACTTCTCCCGCAGCTTGGGGCTGCCGAACTCGTCCAGATAATACATGGTGTCCTGGAGGCCGTCCTTGCGGTTGATCAGCTTCGAGTCGATGTGCGGATCCTCGCTGATCTTCAGCAGGGGGAAGTAGATGTGGCCGTCGGTGGCCAGGCTCTTGGCATCGTGGCGTCGGGCTGTTGCCGCTGCCACAGTTAATTCCGCCTGATCGGGCGGCAGCAGTCGGGGGTGGGGCTTTGCCTCCTCGACCTCCTTGGCCTCACCGTCCACTTCGCTCTTGCCCTTGAGGTTTATTATAATGCCTGACTGGCTGTCCGACTGGTTGTCGGCCTCCTCGACGTCGTCGTCCACATTGACGCCGTCGTCCTCCTCCTCGATCTCCACATCATCACAGATATCTACCTCATCGATGCGATCCTCCACATCGAATCCCTGGGTTCCGGTGCTGTTGGTGCTCTTGTACTTGATGCGGCTGCGCACGATGCTGTTGCCCACACTCGCCACGCCCACGGCAACCGGATTGTCCGCGATGCTGAGCTCCAGGGCAGAAGAAGCCCTTATTCTCTGCTGCTGCTGATCCTGCGCCTCGGAGCAGTTGCTGCCCAGACTCTCGCTGCTGCTGTTCGACTGTCCACCGGACTCCTTTGAGTTGATGGAAATGTGGTTGGGCTTTCCCGCACCCTGCGAGGCCTTGGCCTTCGACTGCCGACTGGTGGTGACACCATTTTCGATGCCGCTATCTTGGCTGAGTAGCAGTTGCTGGCGTTGCTGCCGCCACTTACCGCCAGGTGGCGCCTGCGGCAGGCTCAATGAGCCACTGCTGCTGCGAGGTGGTGGCAACTGCAGTTGCTGCTGCGATGCACTGGAAACAATTACTCCGCTATCAGCCGAACCCGTCGACGTTTGTGATGAGAAGCGCTCGCTCAGCGGTATTTTAATTGGCTGGCTTATTACGTTGTTGTTATTGTTGGTACTATTATTATTACTATTATTATTATTATTATTATTGTGGTTAAGAGTATTATTTATATCATTACTGCTGGCGGGCAATAAGTTGAGAGCTGGTGCAGCTCCTGCTGCCTGCGTTGCTGTTGTTATTGTTGCCATCAGGTTTTTAATGCTGTGTTAAATACTCTAGGGGTTAGAGTATTTCTTTGTTTTTAAAAGTTATCAAGTGTCTTTAAGTGGCACAGTTTCGTGAGTTTATGTATTTTTAATCACTTTATCTTTTTGATATAATTTGTTTATCTTGGCGCTTCACAGTCACATTGCCTAATTTAATTTGAATTAAAAAAAAACAATTATTGCTTGTTTTTGATTTGGTTACTCCAATTTTGTTGACTTTGCTGCATTTTAAAAAACACTTTCAATTTTGGCTCCCTGGCTAAATTTAGACCATCGGTTGTGATTTGCTTATTTCAAACACCATACAAAATATAAATAAAAGCCAAACAAAAATCGTTTAAGTTCAGACGCACTCACACGAACAAAACCAAAAAAAAAAATTTATATATATTGAGAGAGATCTTTGTGGTTTTCAAAAGTATAGCGCCTATTTCGCTTATTTAATTCTGGTATTTTTATTTCGGCGTGCAACATGTGCGGCCGCCGTTGAGTTCGCGAATGAACGAGAACTCGAGCAACTCAAACGAAACTGAGAAACAGAAACAGAGCGCGAACGGCAACTCAAATTCCAAATTATTTTTGCTGACGCACGCACACACACCACATACACAAAGGAACTTCTGGTAGTGAAACGATACACAAGCACGCAGTGAAAGAGAGGGGCCAAGTGACCAGAGCGAGATAGAGAGCAAGCTTTTCTCAGTGAAATTTGCAACGCTCGGTATTGAAACACCTACGGAGGCCAAGACGTAATGGAATGAAACACAGCTGCAATACTGAGGTGCGAGAAAGACAGCATTTCCCAAAGTGATAAGCTTCTGAAGGCTTTTTCTTCTTTTATAGCTCTAGCGGTAAAGTCACAATCTTATCGAAACTTTAAAATCGTTCCTTATCATTATTAAAAATACAACCTTTATGATCGAGAAAAAGAAACATTCATAAAGTAACAGCGCATTTTATTCATTTATTAACGTAAGCATTGTTTTGGTTGCCGAGCCCATTAATTTACAAGCGCACGCAATTATAAAGAGTGCTAGAATGCGGAGGTGTTAAATCACACTCAAATCAAAAGCAAATGAAAAACAAACTAAGTAGCTGGTAAGATCGGTTTAAAATATTTCAACCAACGATGTATAAGGTTGAAGAACAACCATATCTTATCGAATGAATACACAAATCAATAGATTATTAATGACATTCGCCGGGAACAAAGAGTGCTCGACGTTAAATTCGTTTTATTCGTTTACTGAATTTTATTCGAAGCAATCAGCCACAGGATAATGACTGTATAAGAAAGCGTTAAGGGTTCTCCAGGAGAAAGTGTTTCAAGAACAAAGGACTTCGTCGCAGTAGCGCAAATAAGGAGTGTCAGCAAGTCAAATTATAATGAAATGAAACCTTTAGCCAAGGAAAGTACCACCTAAAGAACAACGGTAAACCTAAGGGTAAACATTAACAGAAACAAGAAAGGAAGCTAGCTTCGGCGAGCCGAAACTTCTATACCCTTGCTCGAGGTGTCTCCTTCACTGCGTTGCAAACTTCCCACTGAAATTATAATACCCTCTACAAGGGTATAAAAACCATCACTGGTCAGCAGACAGTGCGCAATAGACCAAAGGCAAGCCCCATTAAAACAACAACACATTATGGCAAATGACTGCACCGTCGTCTCCGTCCGTATATCCAAAACCCCGTATATGGTATACGGTGTACGATTTCAGGTTGAAAGCGGTTTTGCTGAAGATGACAAGTGTTCGAGGGCGTTGAGGGGCTGACGAAGGGGCGAGGCAGGGCATTGCCGAGGGTGCTTAGGTCAGTTTGTTGGCTTAGTTGGTTAGGTCATGCAACGTCGCAAATACAAAAGGAAAACAAGAAAAAATTAATGAAAAAAAAACCCAGCTAGTAGGGGGGACGAACTAAGAAAGCAAACACTCGCACCATGCAACAGGGTGGTACAGTTTAAACAGGGTGTTCACTGCAGGGATTCTAGACTTGCAATTTCCATTCAGATAACCACACCCTATATAACCCCCATTCGAATAGGTGTCACCTCTTAAGAGTTTATAGTAGAATTTCCATCAATAAATGATTGGTAAATAAAACCGAGAATAATTAATATTCAGTTGTCATTCTAATAATATATTTTTCTAGCCCCGATTCAAATATTTTTTTGGTTAAACATATTTACTATAACCTTCGAATCCCTTTTTATTCGACACTGCGTCATTTTTTCTAATAACTTGACATTGAGCTACGACTTAATACTTCTATCCTGCTAGCTTCTAAATATGTAGCTTTCATAGAGTTACTTTACTTAGCCTATACTTATAACCTTTAACCTTATACGTTTTTTAAGGGGTTTCCAGCGAAAGGAAGAGCTGGGTCCTTGGGCTTTGTGGGGTGCCTGTAAGCCTAAAGGTTGTGGTTCTTATTTACTTGGTCTTGGACTTAACTTGCATGCCGATATTGTGCTTTGACATTTGCCGTGGTTGGTAGTAATACCAATAATGTAATTGCCCCAAGACATGTTTATACACGCGAAATTCACTAGCTGGGAATTATTGATTCCTAATGTGGGAAAAATGTCAACGTAAAACATGTTTTCCCATTTATTTCGTGCCCCTTTTTTGGGGTCTAGGCTATCGAACTGAATCAAGACTAAAAATAAAATGAGACGCGGCACTCGGCATCGAAACTGAAATAAATAAACAAATAAAACAGAGAAAACACATAAAAACATAAAAAAAAAATGACTCTAAATACATCGGTACGTTCCTATTCCACTGTTTCGCCACCGCCTGTTGCTTGCCGGACGGCGCCATCTGTTGGCTGCGCGATCAACTATTTGAAAGGGAAAGTACAACCATGAGCATACAGAATAGCACTTAATAGAAAAGAAGAAGATACGAAGAGGAAAATACGAACAAAGCTAAGGTATAGTGCATTTCATTTGGTTAAAAATTAGGCAAAAAGTTGTTAAACAAGACGAGTAGAATTCTTTCCTTTCTTATCACAAAAAGATTACATCTAAAAGGTTCGTGGGTGGCCAACGGTAGCTTGTGAGGCGGCAAAAATAGAAGAACATTTTTATTTGAAAGCAAATAAGAAGCTAATGAAGCGGCTTGTGCATTGTTATCGCTATCGCGGCGCTTCCTTCGCCAGCTGCTAATGACCGAGTCGGCAATCAATAATTAGAGCTGACCAAGGCAATTAACCCATGACAGACTGCACATCACATCACACCAGCGTCGATCAACAACCAAAAGGCATATGACTTCGATGACAACAGCCGCTGTAGAACGATTTTAGTGGTACGATGACCGATAAACCAATGCAAACTGGTTAAAGAAATCTCAGTAAAGAATAAAAAAAATTTAATTCCATAAATATTATTTTTTTTAATCAAATATTCCTAATTGATTGCCTCGTCTGTTTGGCACCAACTGCTCGGGAAATCGATATAAAGAAACAATGGGAAATCAACTAGAAAAGGAAATATATAGACGACAAGGGCAACAACACAAAATCGTCAAAGTGGTAAACAGGCAAAGACAAAAAGAGAGCGCCGTCGGTGAACGAGGAAAAGCTGGAAAGCCCGAGGAAAACGAAGCAAATATTAGAAAGGGGGAGATTGGGGCAAGATGGGGGAAGGTACCAAAGCCAACACGCCATTAGTGAATGCCCAACCCTGCTAACAACCCCCACCCAATCACCCAACCACCCACGCCCACTTCCCACCTCCCACATTAATATATATAACGGTTTCATGTTCTAACTGGTAACTGGTAACAGAAGCAATCAAAAACTGGTAAAAACCGAAACGACACACTCCAAAGGTCCGAACTGCGTCTTTATAAATGCTATAATTCGTGGTAAATATCCGAGGTTCCGTAACACTCGTTACACAGAAAATATCTAAATACACATATTGAGAAATCTTTATAAACAAATATATATATTAATTAGAATAATCAATATTGATAAGACTTGAATGTAGGTGATTGCTTGTGTCATTAGAGCGGCAATTATATGATAATTATTTAACCCACTTATTTAACTAAGCCAACAACGCAAAACAACAAACAAAGGAACTCAGAATAACGTGAACTATATATATAGTTAAGTTCCAAGTTCCAAGATCAAAATTGAAATTGATTTCATAAACAAATGATTAGATCTCAGTAGTTTTAATACACTCGAAATAAGAGGTTACACTTGAACACATTTGAATAATCTTAGAATGATTTGCATTATTTTTTAACGTTAATAAATGTTTTCCCTCTTCACGTTTACCATTACCAAAGACCCTCTGGCTTTCTGCAATGTAAACTACAATTTACCAATTTCCAAGCTTCCTATTGATTGCAGAAAGATGACCCTATTCAAGGTTCCACTCACTTTGCTAATTAGGTACCCACAAAAACCAACAAAAAGTCGGGTTGTCGCCAAATCCAACCAATAAACGTCGAGTGGCCTTGCTCCCAGTGGGCGGAAGTGGGAGGGACTCGACTACTCAAAACTGCCAAAACCACACGTGCATACCCGCAATTCATGCCCGAATCTTATCAGCAAATAAAAGCAAAAAAAAAAAAAAAAAAACAAAAGTTCCAGCAAATTGCCTAATTAATCAAAAATAATATAAAACGCTTAGCCGAAAGTGAACTTTGCTCAATGTGTGCGTTAAGTACTTTTCCCTGTTAATGGGGAACGGGGAACAGAGTGGAATGGCACAGAGAGTTTTATTATAGCAACTTGAGTCTTGTATCGCCTATCTATATGACCCCGTCATATTAGAGTGTGCATAAAGCACGAATGCCACATACAAACCGCGAGCAAAGATTAACTTAAGTTGATAAGCTGCAGTCCACTCTAAAAGCCTCACCCTGCACATACAAAAACCCCCTCAAAAATCCCTTCTTGTTGCCAAGTCCTTTGTTTCCATTTTACTGCACTTGATTATCATAATATCAAGACAAACAACAATGTCGTATTGCTTACTGCAAACAATAAACAAGGCAACATGTCGATAACAATTACGAAATATATTTGTTTATTTTGACAATGGGTGAATTTCCCAGCGTTGGTAAAAATAAAACCAAACACAACTAGCTTATCAAACAACAACAAAATGAGTCAGCTTAAAAAAAATGTTCGCACATTTTAAAGTATATCTCTGCATTCTTTAAATGTTATATCCAAACAATGTCCTATGATATCCTTTTATACATAAAAATCTAAATCCAAGTTTGTCACTGTTTCAACTCTTTTTATGACTCACCGAAACAACTTCATATGTACATATGCTAAATTGTCTGGCCAAGCCACTTACACTGGCATTAGCT